TTGACGTAAAATTCAAAATGGCCGACTTCCTGTTGATTTTAGGGCATCGCTCCAAGAGGCTTTTTTGTGCGTCTGGACAAGATACACGTACCACAGAAAATTTGTGCACGTAGGTAAACGTGCGGCGGGGGCTGCTTCGTTAAAAGTCACTTCCTGTTGCCAGCAGGTGGCGCTATGACTGTCTGTGAATGTCAGCATGTACATGTGTTCAGGGCGGGACTCTCATCCTACATGTACAGTTTGGTCCAGATGTGAGCATGTACACTGAAGTTACGACAACTTCCGTGTCATGGCGAAGAGTTGATCTTTGACGCCACGCCACGGACACGCCCATTGACGAAAACTCGCAAATAGCACAACTTTTCATCTTCAATGCCTTTAGAAGGCACAGCACAAATTTGAGTCGGTCGGACTAAATCCCTAGGAGGAGTTCGTTAAAGTACGAAGTGTGTAAATCATCCAAAATTTGACGTAAAATTCAAAATGGCCGACTTCCTGTTGATTTAGGCTATGGCTCCAAGAGACTTTTTTGTGCGTCTGGACAAGATACACGTACCACAGAAAATTCGTGCACGTAGGTAAAACGTGCGGCGGGGGCTGCTTCGTTAAAGTCACTTCCTGTTGCCAGCAGGTGGCGCTATGACTGTCTGTGAATGTCAGCATGTACATGTGTTCAGGGCGGGACTCTCATCCTACATGTACAGTTTGGTCCAGATGTGAGCATGTACACTGAAGTTACGACAACTTCCGTGTCATGGCGAAGAGTTGATCTTGACGCCACGCCACGGACACGCCCATTGACGAAAACTCGCAAATAGCACAACTTTTCATCTTCAATGCCTTTAGAAGGCACAGCACAAATTTGAGGTCGGTCGGACTAAATCCCTAGGAGGAGTTCGTTAAAGTACGAAGTGTGTAAATCATCCAAAATTTGACGTAAAATTCAAAATGGCCGACTTCCTGTTGGGTTTAGGCTATGGCTCCAAGAGACTTTTTTGTGCGTCTGGACAAGATACACGTACCACAGAAAATTCGTGCACGTAGGTAAAACGTGCGGCGGGGGCTGCTTCGTTAAAATCACTTCCTGTTGCCAGCAGGTGGCGCTATGACTGTGGTGAATGTCAGCATGTACATGTGTTCAGGGCGGGACTCTCATCCTACATGTACAGTTTGGTCCAGATGTGAGCATGTACACTGAAGTTACGACAACTTCCGTGTCATGGCGAAGAGCTGATCTTTGACGCCACGCCACGGACACGCCCATTGACGAAAACTTGCAAATAGCACAACTTTTCATCTTCAATGCCTTTAGAAGGCACAGCACAAATTTGAGGTCGGTCGGACTAAATCCCTAGGAGGAGTTCGTTAAAGTACGAAGTGTGTAAATCATCCAAAATTTGACGTAAAATTCAAAATGGCCGACTTCCTGTTGGGTTTAGGCTATGGCTCCAAGAGACTTTTTTGTGCGTCTGGACAAGATACACGTACCACAGAAAATTCGTGCACGTAGGTAAAACGTGCGGCGGGGGCTGCTTCGTTAAAATTCACTTCCTGTTGCCAGCAGGTGGCGCTATGACTGTGGGTGAATGTCAGCATGTACATGTGTTCAGGGCGGGACTCTCATCCTACATGTACAGTTTGGTCCAGATGTGAGCATGTACACTGAAGTTACGACAACTTCCGTGTCATGGCGAAGAGCTGATCTTTGACGCCACGCCACGGACACGCCCATTGACGAAAACTTGCAAATAGCACAACTTTTCATCTTCAATGCCTTTAGAAGGCACAGCACAAATTTGAGGTCGGTCGGACTAAATCCCTAGGAGGAGTTCGTTAAAGTACGAAGTGTGTAAATCATCCAAAATTTGACGTAAAATTCAAAATGGCCGACTTCCTGTTGGGTTTAGGCTATGGCTCCAAGAGACTTTTTTGTGCGTCTGGACAAGATACACGTACCACAGAAAATTCGTGCACGTAGGTGAAACGTGCGGCGGGGGCTGCTTCGTTAAAGGTCACTTTCTGTTGCCAGCAGGTGGCGCTATGACTGTGGGTGAATGTCGGCATGTACATGTGTTCAGGGCGGGACTCTCATCCTACATGTACAGTTTGGTCCGGATGTGAGCATGTACACTGAAGTTACAACAACTTCCTGTTTCATTGCGAATCATCGACGCCACGGACACGCCCATTGACGAAAACGCGCAAATAGCACAACTTTTCATCGTCAATGCCTTTAGAAGGCACAGCAGAAATTTGAGGTCGATCCGACTAAATCCCTAGGAGGAGTTCGTTAAAGTACGAAGTATGTAAATCATCCAAAATGGCCATAAAATTCAAAATGGCCGACTTCCTGTTGACTTTAGGCTATGGGTTCTTGAGGCTTTTTTGTGCGTCTTGATACGATACATGTCCCCAGAAAATTTCGTACATGTAGGTTGAACGTGAACGAGGGGCTAATCATTTCCAATTTTCTAGGTGGCGCTAGCGAGTCATTTTGCCACGCCCATGTGCGAAACTTGTAGAATACGAAATTTTTCACCGGTTCTGACATGTTTGCAAATTTTGGTGAGTTTTCGAGTATGTTTAGGCCATGTCATTTGGGCCTACTTTGCAGAAAAAAAAAAAAAAAAAAAATAATCCGAGCAATTTCAATAGGGACCTCGCACGGTCGTGCTCGGGCCCTAAATATATATATATATATATCCGAGCAAATTCAATAGGGACCTCGCACGGTCATGCTCGGGCCCTAACAAGAAACAGTCACACACACTAAATAAGCAACACAACACAGCCATGAGAGCTGGAATAATATTAATTTAAATAAGTAACTGAAAGAAAGGCATCAGGAATAATTCTACCAGGGACAACCTAAGTTTGTTTGTGTCTGTGTGTGTCTGTGTGCGTGTGGGTGAATGTGTCTGTATGTGTGTGTATGTACATGTGTGTGCGCATAAGCCTGTTAAAGAATGTAGTTGTTAGAGAGAGTGGGACGCCACGACTGTAACAGGCAGGCAAGAACCCCAGTAGCCAATAGGGGTGGAAGAAAGAAAAAGAATAAATCAAATCAAAAAAAAACAAAGACTCCCAGATGCACCGCGATGCAAACGCAGAAGACCCCGACCCAAATGCCAGTTGACAACGTAATGCCGACGGAACGCAAAAGAGGAAGAGCAGCGCCCGGACCGACCGCGGCGCAGACACAACATAGACCAGTGGCCTCCCCCATCCAGCACCCCACCGCCGCGCAGCAAACAACCACAATGCCCAAATGCCACGCAATCATCAACACCAATGCACAAGTGACGAGCCCAACGCGCACACTGCGCGAGCATGGCGACACCCATGCCCAGCAGCCCCCGCGAATCCCGCGTGCGAGGTCGGGCAAATGAGAGAGAGCAAACGGAACAACACAACAGCGAAAGCCAGCGGAGAGAGACACCAGCAGCAAGTCCCAGCCCGGCAGCAAACGCGCCGCACAGGTCACCGTGCACCCGCCAATAAAAGTCCACCGTCCCCCCAACCGCCGGAAAAACTAAGGCCGCCGGCGCCAGCCGACATCCCCCATGCCCAGCGCGCCCCCGGCCGCCATGCAACACCAGCCAAACCAGCAACGAGGCAAATCACCTAGCTCAGCTGCATGCCACCAACAACCCACCATCCATCAAGGGCCGAGAACTCCAGGCACAAACCCAGAACAAACCGGAGCACAGCCCTGCCCCGCACCCACACTGCACATCCGGAAAACTAACTATATACCTCAGTATCCAGAGGGGTCCAACAACTGGCCGAACAACAACTGGCCGATCAATCCACGGTTCTAATCCCCTAGCGCCTCCAGGCTGCATGTTGAAGTGTCCTTGGCAAGAACCCTCAATTTCCCCTGGCGGCTGTTCCGCCAGCGTGTGAATTTTAGTTTATGTTCGAGCACTTAGGCTCAGTGTGTGGATGTAGGTTAAAAGTGCTTTAAGTGGCCAGAAAGGCGCTATACAAATATGGATCAGCCTTTTAGGAAAAATAAAAAGCATTTTTAACACTGGATTCAAACTCAGATCAATGTGGGAAAATAAACAGGTGAGGAATCCAGTGGCCTACGGCATCATCACCTCTTTCCCTTCTGTCAGCATAGCATAAAACAACTTCAAGAGCAAACAGCCAGCCATCACTCTTTAAAACGGGAAACAGCAGATCAACTTGTGACCACACTGTCTGTGTTAACCAAGACCATGTCCGTATTTTACTTGTTCCCTTCACAACCAAGCCGCCATTTAACACAGTGTTGTTTACAAGATGTTGATGGGTAATATTTATGTTAGTAGCCTACTTAAACATGAGTAGGGTTCTAAAGACATTTTAGTCTGGGCTAAAGCAACACCGTCACCCTGTCAAATTGGCACTCTTGTCATGGAAATGACCACATCCGGTCTGGGAATATGAACAAACGGGCCTTTATGCGTTTCTGTTTTCTGGTGATCTTATTTTGTGTTATTGAAAATAGAAAATAAAAATCAAATTTTTAAAATTTCGCTCATCCTTTTTGATACTGAAAAAAGAGAAATACTTTGTCATATAATTTTATTTATTTGAACTTTGAGTAAAGCCGTTCGGATGTCTTTACTTTGGGCAGCAATTTACTCCTAATCCAGAGTGTGCAATCCACCATTTTTTGTGTTTGATTTTGTCCATGAAAGTCACAAATAGAATTGGAAACGCTGATCGACCATGGTGGAATCCACATGGTATATTGGTATGTTGCAACTACAATTCAATGCAGCAAAGTCATGAACGAGGTTGGCCTATATTTTGAGATCATGTCATAGCCAAAATGATTATGTTCACCAGAAATGTCATTAAACTGTGATGCAACCGACGGATTGAAACTGAACATTTGAAAATAAGCTGCACTGATCTGGTTGAAGTCTCTGTTTGTTATTTGGCAGCTCTGTGGTCCTGTCCTCGTACTACATCTCTTATCTCATTTGTCCTTTATCTCTCCTCCTGTTTGCCACTCTCTCTCCTTCCCTCTCTAGTCTGTTAACCCATCCATATCTATATAGGCTCACTGGCTGCAGGAGTCTGCTTCTTCTCTCTGCTCTGCACTATGAAGGAATTACCCATCCTGGTGTTGCTGTACTCAGCGGTGTTGCTAAGTAGCGCTGCTCCAGTTTTGGAGCCTGTAACATGTAGCGAAGATAGTCGTGCTGCAATGGCACGTCTGGCAATGTTTCACATCAACGAGCACCATGACCACGGCTACAAGTTCAAACTCAATGAGATCCAAGGCAACAAAGTGGAAAAGGTATGGGAAATGAGCACATGTGGCTCAGATGTCCAACTGTGGTTCAGTCTTGCCCTAATCCCAGGGCAAGACTGAACCCAGAGTTACTGCTAAGTGTGTGTGTGTGTGTGTGAATGGATGAAGTAGTAAAGCGCTTTGTCCGTTAAGATAGAAAGGTTCTATATGAATGCAGTCTAAATGCAGTTGTTCAGCTACTTTGACAGTTTCCTTTTTATGAGAATTTTATGTTACTACAGCTCAGGGACAAATATTTTCTTTTTACTGGATTACATTTATCTGACAGGAGTTACTCTCTCTAAATAACAGCCATGTTGGTTTCAACTCAACAATGACCTTAAAGAATTGTACAGATTTCAACCAAAGTTTATTTGTTTTTTTCTCTCCGCTTTTTGTTTCTTTCAGTCCTACAGTACTTTCCCACTTCACTAGTTTCTTCTGTTTCTCCTTTTCCCGTCTGTCTTTTCTTTATTATCAGTACTTTTTTAAACTTCTGATCTTTCTTATTTCTTCTTACTACTCTTACCGATACTCCTTTTTACTTTTACGTTACTTTTACTAAATAATTTGGGGTTTTTTTTAAACAGTATTTAAAAAAGAATTAATACAGAACAGGATTAGAAATTAATGTTTCAAATATAACAATAGCTATAATTGCTACTGTGATTCACTGCCTACAGGTTCCACTTGTAGAGAAAGGAGCAGCTGGTTTGTCTCAGCCAGCATGTCCAGCATTAAGAAATGTCAAACTACCCTAAACAGTTAGACAACAGACAGAAAACTTTCATTTTAGCTTGTCTGAGACATTGCTGTTAACCGCACTAGTGTGCTGTGCTGTGTAAAACGTAGAGGATGAGAGACTGCAGACAGAGCAGATTAAAATATCGCTTTCTTCAGTGTGGTAACAAATTACACTAACCCTTAAAAAGTACTGATTAAAGAACCAGTAACGTCTGAGCTTATCAATACTGCCATCTTTAATAATTTAGCCCTCAAGCCTGAGTAGGCTACTTTCCACAGCAGCACCCAATTTCATGCTGATCAACTGTGTAGCTGTACAAGTCCTTTAAGATTTAGAAAACTCTTATGTGGTTATGTTGTTTGGTCAGTGTTCATCCATTCACTAAATTATTTAATTCAGTCTGGAAAACTATAAAACAAATAAGAATTATCTTTGTGTTTAAAACTGTTTTCAAATAAACAATTTTTTTTGGTTATTTTGTTATGTGCCGTTTGTCTGCCATGCACATGCACAACCTGAACTGTAGTATGCACACCTCATGAGGATTTGGTCAGTTATACCAGCGTCTTTGATCGCCTTAACCCCAGTACTGCTCATCATCATCAGTGGTGGAGGGAGTCAATTGGCAGCATCATGATCACATGCAGATCCACACTAGGAATGACTGTGTAAACTAGGCAAAGTGTGGAGATTATTTTATAAATATATAAATCTTCTGGGTATAAGCTTTTTTAACAGTGAAGTTGATACTTCCCCAGGTGTTGTTGATTCATTATCATTACAGTGCTTAGCCTACTGTAGCTTATAACTCAGAACATTTCTAATAATGATGCCCATATGATTATTACACAGGCTACACAAACACAGATACACCTCAGAAATCAATAAAATGTATGAAAGTTTTCAACTTTTTTCACACTCCTGCAAAGTGCATGCAGCACCCACTTTCTGTATATACACATCACCATGAAAAGTCAGAAATCCACAAAATAGGTAAAAAAAAACATTTTGTAGATTAGCCATTTTTAGATCATAAGAACATAAACGAGTTTTTCTTGTTTGACAGCTACAAAGAAATCCCTCAGACAATATATTGGATCAGTTCATCCATTCATATAATTATTTCATTCAATCATTGTCAAAATATAAAAATGTTTATTGTTTATTTTTAAACACTAACACAAAATAAACAAACTTTTTTAATTAGATTTTTGTTTAAGAATTGTGACAAAGTGAGTAGGTTCTTCTATTATGTAAAACTGAACTGTCAGTGCTCTATGGTAGACAAAACGTTTTTTAAATGTTTCTCAAACATAATTTTGACATTCCTGTATTGCAGCCTCTTTTTGGTTGATATATATGCTGATTATATTAATACTAAGACATAGCAATGTATTAGTCAGGCTTTACTTCCAATACATGTTAAATTTCTTTTTTCAATAGTGCTTTTCATGACAAGAAAAACAAGATGGGCTACCGTGTTAGGGAGGTGTAGGGACATTAATAACTTCATAATACCTCAGTAATTGTGATCTACGCTTTACTTTGTTGTTTCCAGGCTGACAATGGCTGTAACGTTGAGTTGCTGTTGGACCTTCTGGAGACAAAATGCCATGTTGTTAACCCTCAACACTTTGAGGATTGTGAGCTCCGTAGAGTGGATGAGCGGGTAAATGCTAATCAAACCATTGTTTACTCCAGTTCCCCTTTATTAGTCCTGCTTCTAACTCATATGCAGCTGGAAGGTGGGCACACTGATTTTGACATCTTTTCTATAATGGAGATGTGAGGCATCTAGAGTAAAATTTGTAAAATGTGTCTGTTTCCCTGTAGGAGGTGATGGCCAACTGCACCGTAATGATGACTGTAAAAAATAGTGATGCCAAAGTCACCAAATATGACTGTGACACGCGACAAGGTGGGCTTCACTCCTGTTACGTATCTAACCCTATAGTTTAGAGCTTCCCAAACTTTGGAAGCTTGATGCCCCCTAAAAATTCAGCAAAACCTCCAGGGCCTGCCTCTCATCTCATTTCATCATGGACATACATAATAAACACTGGCTAGTAGATGGCTCATTGCACAAAACAATAGTGTATATTTAGTAGTAGCAGTTCCAATAAAACCAGAGAGAGAGAGAGAGAGAGAGAGAGAGAGAGAGAGAGAGAGAGAAAGAGAGAGAGAGAGTGAGAGAGAGAGAGAAAGAGAGAGAGAGAGATACTTATTGCATATATGTGACGTTCTGCTCTAGCAGCATTGTTTACCTAAACAAGCATGCCAATAACACATATTAAGTTGAATTCAGACAGAGAGAGAGAGAGAGATAGAGATAGAGAGAGATAGTCTGTTGCAGGTAAAGATGATAGGTGAAGATAAGTTTTATTTACCAATAGTGTACCTAAATACTCCCACATTCATTTTTCGGAACTCCAGGAGACCTTTGAATTCAATATGATCTTTTTTAAGCAAAGTTCTAGTGCACAGTCATGATTCAAGTCTCTGAGAATGCTATATTTGTTGTTTTGAGTTGAGTTAAATAAGATGATGATGAGAAACTGTCATTGTTCACATTGCTGTGGAACCCTCATAAAGCAGCCTCATTCATAACAATAACTCTGTGTGTAGTAAAAACGAACATGGAGATGATGATGATCTGCCCAGACTGTCCCACGCTGATCTCACTTGACAGCCCTGAAGGTATCAAGTCTGTTAATGAAGGTGTGAAAAAATTCAACCAGAACACCACCAACCAGCGCTACTACATCCTGCAGGAAGTGGGACGGATAAGCTCTGCGGTACAGATAATCTCTCTCACACACACATGTTCGGGCATGAAAGATTCTTCTTTTTTGTGTGATTATCACAGACAGAGACAGGGTACATGATCAAACAGTGTATGAATGTTTGTACCTGTAGTTGTGAATTAAAACTGCTCAGTAACGTGTGTCTATAATCTCACATTAAAATAATAATAATAACATCAGTAGCACATCTGCATCCCTTCCCTTTACACCCTGCACCTTACCTTCTTTTTCCCAATGTGCTCTTATTCTTCTTGTCTCTCAGTACATGATGGCGACAGGGATGAGTTACTTTGCTGAGTTTGCCCTTGTGGAGACTCATTGCCCAATGGGATCGAGAATCATTCCTGAGGCATGCAAACCCCTCTGTCCTGACAGAGCTGTAAGTACAACTCATACATACAGAAGTTTAGGAAACATTCAGAGCCACAATTTGACAGGTTATGTGTTGAATTTAAGATAAATTATAATATGTACCATAAAACTTTGATTGATAGCCGGGCTTTTATTTGCTAAAATCACTGAAGTGACCCTGCCTAGATTTGGGACAGGTGTCCATATTGGACAGGCCTTTAATTCCTCTTGCACAAGACTGAAATAGGTTACTATGAAACAGTGTATTTATTTTGAACAGAATATTACTGTTAAAAATTGATAATATCAAACACACGTCATAATTTCACTCTATAACTTGTTATATTGTGAAAATCGTATTGTATTGTGAATAGGATTATAAATAATCAAGGAACGGACACATTTAGACTTTACGAGCGCTTCAAAGGTAACGGAAGTCAGCACTTTTTTTCCCCATTCCTTGTACCATGCTGGTTTCACCGATAAATCTATAAGAATTAGACTTTGGGGCTTGTTGTTTCCGTTAAATGAACTGAACAATTGACTTGTGGAGATGTCCATACTGACACATTGATCATACGTTTAAACATTTATATTTGTAATGATATAAGCAGCTTAGAAGCAGCTAAAGTGGGCAATCTGGCTGGGTTTAAGAGGTTTTCACAGAAGAAGTGCTATAAAAATAAAAATAAAAATATAATTATGGTCGCAAGCGGCAATGATCGTGTACCAAGCAAGACCCAATGCAGATGACTTAAGAGATTAAAGTGATGAAAGATTTTGGACTTGAAGCCTTTATTAAAATAATAACTGAAACGCAAACTTGATTTTTACACCATGACCTTGATATCAGAGATTGTCACTATATGGACCTGACTAGTGGGTGAAATGTTCAACCTACGTGCAAAATTTTGTGCTTCCAAGTTTTAAGGTTAATGCTGCACTTTTATTGCAAACACTTTTTAGCAGAGAAAAATGTGTCACAGGATCGAAATAAAATAGGAAAACTTCAAATCACTATTATATGAACACCTCAATTGTTGGCAAATCAGACTTGGTCATCAGGGGATTTGAACCCTGGAACTTAAGCTACCTAAAGTAGTGGACTGACTGACTGAGCTACTGGTGAGAGTTTATGCCTACACATCTTCTCACAGGTAGAGGCAGTGACCTCACATGTGCCTGATATTTTTGTCAGGTTAAACTTTAAAGTCTACAACAATCAAAATGTTGTTGATAAAATTCTGAAAATAACAAACACATATCATTCTGCTGGTTTTAAGTGGGTTGTCCATTATTTTGATGGTGTTTGATCCAACACAGAGCAGAAAAGAAAATGTTGTGCATACTGTACAAGTTATAGCAAGATACTGAACATCACTGACTTCTGAATTGACCATAGGTTGCAGTGAGGCAAACATTTGTCAAATATCATTAGATGTGCTGAAAAAATCAGCACTGTAGAACGCACAGGTGATTTTCTAAGATTTTTGGAAGTTTGGAATAAGAAATGTCTAGACATTTACATTTGTTGTAATAAGCCAAGCAATAATTACCAAATTTTATGCATCAACTGAGTAGTGACCCTAGATCGTACAAACCGAATTTTGTGCAAATCTATACAGCAAATTACAAGGTATAACCCTTTTGTATGTGTAGTGACCCTTGCGGAAGAACATCCCAGGACTGTTCAGCGAAGCTTGGACCAAGCATCTGAACAGAAGTTTGGTTACAATAGCTAAAAATTTACGGGCATTTATGTAAAAAAAGTAAAAATGTAAAAATTTCTGAAAAATAAAACATATCAAAATTCGTTTTATATCTTTTGATCAGCGCTAGATGATACAAAAAACCAAAGCCGTTTTCGAAAAAATTTAGTTGATTTTTTTAGCTCCACCATGAGGTCTATGATTTCTTTTAATGAGTAGTCAGTGGAATTTGCAACCCACCTGCCAATTTGGCGACTTTTTGTCCAGCAGTTTTTGCTGCCCAAACACTTTTACTGGAGAAAAATAAGAAAGAAAGAAAGAAGGAACCCAATAGGGCTCCTGCACCTTTGCAGCTTATGGTTTTTGGACAACAATGGAGCTCATTGGCACAGAGAAATAATATATAGTATTTCAGTCTTTGGATACACACACAGTACTTGTGAGAACGATCAGTTCACTGGTTCACTTGGTTTAAGTCTACACGTGGGATGTGTCGATAACAAGGAGGATACAGAAGACAGATTCATAAAATACAAACTTAAAACCTCTATAACCCTTTAAGAACATACTTCAAAATTATTCCCATAACAAATTTCAAGAACGTCCGAACAACTAAAATGTCTGGGTTTCCATTATTCCATCCTTTTAGCAGCTAGCATCCAGGACTGTACACAGACTGGATCAGAGCCAGGCAGTCCATTGTGTTCAAGAATGGTAACAATACAACTTTGGTTGTGATGTTCTATATTTCATTCACTATTGGTCACTCAATTTCCTACTTGCTCTGTTTGCTTCCCTTCTCTCGCTGAAGCATCATGCTGTTTGCAGTTCATCTTATTCCAGTACAGACGGACTCCAGTCTGTTGAGTGTGAATTCTATCCCCCATCGGTGAGTCCACAATCTAAACATACATGTACTCATATTCTACTTTATGCTGCAATTCATATAGTTCTCTCTCCAAAACTCCAGTTCTTCTTGTGGAGTGTCTTCTTTTACTCAGTAATTATTTTGTTTTTTTATTATAATATATATAATTATAAAAATAAATCTGTTAATCGGAAAGGTTGGTGGTTCAATCCCTGGCTCCCCCTGGTTGCTTGTCGAATTGTCCTTGGGCAAGATACTGAACCCTGAATTGCCCCTGGCGGTGTGAATGTTAATTTCCGTTTGAGCACTCAGTGTATGACTGGTGGATGTAGTGTAAAAGCGCTTTGAGTGGTCGAAAAGACTAGAAAGGTGCTATACGGAGCATTTACATTTACAGGTATAACTTGCAGAAATACACTTCAACTAACTCTGTTGGATTTATTCTAAACAGAACAGTACTACCCTTGGCCCTGGTGAACAGGGCCCAGGTGAATGTAGGCATCGTGGTCGCCCCTCACATGCTGGCGGTCACGGACACCATCGCCATACTCACGGTCACGGACACCGTCCCAATGCTAGCAGCCATGAGCACCATCAACATGCTGGTGGTCACGGACACCATCGCAATACTAGCAGTCATGGACGCCACCCTGATGCTAGCGGTCGTGGACCCCCCCCCCACGCTGGCGGCCGTGGACCCCCTCCTCATGATGCCGGTCAAAGACAAGACAGGAAAGTTGGACCCCCTTTCAATTCCTACCACCGCCTCAAACCCTTCCTTTCCTGCCATGGATTCCGGACCAATTTTGACCCAGCTCTCCACCCCATTTGCCCCTGGCCTCACTCTGAAACCAACCCAGACCCAAAACTGAGCCAGTCCTGAGATAAGGAACCATGAGTGTTTGTTACTGTTCTGAAGACTTCTCTTAATAGTCTCTAATGTATGTAAGACGTGCTAAAGTCCTTACAACATACAACAGAACATGTAAAATAAACCATTAAAGTGTCATTATTTGTGATGCAAAGTACTTCCATTGATCTGCCATGTGCTGACTACCAAAAGAAATCATAAACTTGACAAACACCAAAAAGCACTAGTATTTACACATTTTTACATTTGATGAGGGCTTAAAGTTATACAGTAAATACTCTAAATTACTGTGAACACCAATTGGAAAAGCTTTTTAATAAAGACTACACGTCATAACTGAAATCCAACTGAAAATAAAAACAAGATAAACACTTAATGATGGCAAACACAATTTACTGTATTAAGAAAAAAGTGAAGAATTTTAATTTGAAGACTTTATACATTCTCCATGATCAGCATACAGACAGCATTTACTTGAACCACAAAATAGAAAATAGACATTTAAGACCATTAGCACCCATAAAAATAACAATAGCTTTTTAATAACATTTATTTATCAGTAACAGTTTTGTACAGGAGCTAACACACATAAAGCGGAAGATGAAGCTGGAATAAACTTTCTGTTTGCTGATCCTTATATGTAGCTGGGTTCTGCTTTATGCAGAGAAGTACGCAGAGGCCATGGAGGGCTTTGTTCGCTGAGGGAACTCTGAAAAGAAAATGGAAATAAATATTGTGTAGTATTTACTGTTTATACTGAATATTCTGAAGCTTGTAGTCCATGCAGTGCTCTAAATGATGAGCGGTTTTACCTTTGTTTTGTTTTTTATTTATAGTTTTTATTTAAGGGCAGGACAAAACAAAAGGTAAAGGGTGGGGGGGTATTGGTACAGATTAACATTGAGAATAATAATAATAGTGCCAAAGCAGTTTCCAAAGTTAAGTCATTATTGTTCATATATTCTCTAATGATAGTCCATGGGGCACCTAGTCTATTATCATAATCCTTGAGGTTTGAGGCTGCATTCTCCATCCATAATGAGTCCAGGAAGTCTTTCAGCCAGTTGTATTTGTTAAAACAGTCTGGTTTATGAATTTTCCAATTTATGAGAATTATCCTCTTTACAGATAAGAAGGCTAATGTGAATATTCGTTGCATTTTACCTTACCTTTGTGAAGCAGATTAGACGACAGGCCGTAGATCGGGATGCTATCATCTTTTCTGTCAAAGTACTTAGAATCCAGACCTGTGGAGTCTCCACTGAGGACAAGAAAGTAGGTAGGTAGATTTATTTTGTCACAATATAACAGGTGAATAACACATTTCAGCATAAGAAAATGTAAACGGAGTCAGATGCCTCTTTAGACATAACGTACCTCACAGTATAAACACCTGTATACTGTGCGGAATAAATTCAGAATATACTTATCCGATGCAATTATCCAAACTCACATCTGTCTGTTAGCTGGCTGCGCTGCTCGCTGTTCAGCAGGAGTGATATCAGCCGCCACAGGAGATACAGCAGGTTTGCCTGTCTGAGGATAAAACTGTGCCTAGAACAAAACATGGATACCTTTAACTGGTCTCAGAGGTAATAGTTGATAAAAGGTATAAATTGTAGGTAAAATCTTGTTTTTCAAGTAAGGCATGAGGCTTTAACATTACCACCAAAAACTGTGACATAAGTGAACATTATTTTAGCCTAATCAAGTTAAAGACAGTTGCTTTCTATATTTGATGTAAAGTATAAAAGTGTTGTTAATGTTTACAATAGTGTGTATGTAGAAAGGTTAAAGCCAGGAAAGGGCTAATGGCCTTGGTATGGCTGTAATCACAGCCAGGAGGTATTTCCTACCTTCATTCCTGTTGTTGTGGATGAAACTGAAGGATTCTCAAAAGGTTTAGGAGACAGTGGATCTCTGGACATCTGCTTTTCATTTAGCTGCTTGTTAAGCCAACTTATAACTGTGGTAAAAGAAAAATACAATAGAAGAGGAGAGAGGTGTTAAAAACTGGTAAAACAAACTGACATGGTGCTTTGATCCTCTTACTTTTAGATAACTTATCAGTGTGATGTTTAATGTTGTGAATTATTCACCACTGCAATTCACTGTCTTGACATAGCTATTTTGTTTAAAACAGTCTCTTCCTTCTACTGACATTGTTTTTAGCCGAATATCCATTTTTCTTGAACAGGCATTTATATTATATTATTATAATACAACAGATTGCCCACAAGTGAGCTGGTTACATGCTTCTTGTCAATCATTTTCATTGGAACTACTTTGTCTTGAAGAAACAATCCTTATGAGAACTACTGAAGGTGAAGTTTGTGGTATTGTGATGTAATTTGTTTTATATATAAAATAAATAAATTCTAATTTATTAATGTTGTGAGCATCACAAAACTGTATTGGTGTTAAGGATGGGTGTCAAAAAACACTGTTTAAAACTGTCAAGTATGCACATGCTGCTGTACAGACAAAAGTGTTGTAAGAGTAGGGGAGCCAGGATGTATCATTTACATTTATTCATTTAGCTGACGCTTTTATCCAAAGCGACTTACAATTGCTATATACGGATGCTGGTCATATAATTAGAATATCATCAAAAAGTTGATTTATTTCAGTAATTCCATTCAAAAAGGGAAACTTGTATAATGGATACATTCATTCCACACAGACAGACTGATATATTTCAAGTGTTCATTCCTTTTAATTTTGATGATTATAACTGACAACTAATAATAAACCCCAAATCAGTATCTCAGAAAATTAGAATATTGTGAAAAGGTTCAATATTGAAGACACTTGGTGCCACACTCTAATCAGCTAATTAACTCAAAACATCTGCAAAGGCCTTTAAATGGTCTCTCAAAAGACAACCATTGACACCTTGCACAAGGAGGGCAAGACACAAAAGGTCATTGCTAAAGAGGCTGGCTGTTCACAGAGCTCTGTGTCCAAGCACATTAATAGAGAGGCGAAGGGAAGGAAAAGATGTGGTAGAAAAAAGTGTACAAGCAATAGGGATAACCGCACCCTGGAGAGGATTGTGAAACAAAACCCATTCAAAAATGTGGGGGAGATTCACAAAGAGTGGACTGCAGCTGGAGTCAGTGCTTCAAGAACCACCACTGCTGCTGAGTGGTCCAAAGTTATGTTCTCTGATGAAAGTAAATGTTGCATTTCCTTTGGAAATCAAGGTAGAGAGGAAGAAGAGGAAGAGAGGAGAGGCACAGAATCCACGTTGCTTGAAGTCCACTGTAAAGTTTCCACAGTCAGTGATGGTTTGGGGTGCCATGACATCTGCTGGTGTTGGTCCACTGTGTTTTCTGAGGTCCAAGGTCAACGCTGCCGTCTACCAGGACGTTTTAGAGCACTTAATGCTTCCTGCTGCTGACCAACTTTATGGAGATGCAGATTTCATTTTCCAGCAGGACTTGGCACCTGCACACAGTGCCAAAGCTACCAGTACCTGGTTTAAGGACCATGGTATCCCTGTTCTTAATTGGCCAGCAAACTCACCTGACCTTAACCCTATAGAAAATCTGTGGGGTATTGTGAAGAGGAAGATGCGATACGCCAGACCCAACAATGCAGAAGAGCTGAAGCTATCTATCACTATCAGAGCAACCTGGGCTCTCATAACACCTGATCAGTGCAGACTGATCGACTCCATGCCACGCCGCATTGCTGCAGTAATTCAGGCAAAAGGAGCCTAGTATTGAGTGCTGTACATGCTCATACTTTTCATGTTCATACTTTTCATTTGGCCAACATTTCTAAAAATCCTTTTTTTGTATTGGTCTTAAGTAATATTCTAATTTTCTGATTTTCATTGGTTGTCAGTTTTAATCATCACAACTAAATGAAATAAACATCTGAAATATATCAGTCTGTGTGTAATGAATGAATATAATATCCAAGTTTCACTTTTTGAATAGAATTACTGAAATAAATCAACTTTTTGATGATATTCCAATTATATGACCAGCACTTGTATGTCAGAGGTCACACGCCTCTGGAGCAACTAGGGGTTAAGTGTCTTGCTCAGGGACACATTGGTGTCTCACAGTGGATTAGAACCTGGGTCTCTCACACCAAAGGCATGTGTCTTATCCACTGGATTCTCACCATCCCTATCAATGCGGAAATTAAGGCTTATAAAATTGCTGCTTTCCTGGAGAACTGATTAACGCTGTCGCTGTTTTGATGGGTGTCTTGCGCTAAAGTGTCCCATGAAATGATATTACTTCCATCATGTCAGACTTGGAAGACAGCAGTTCATGGCTGCTTATGAAGTCAAGAACAAAGACAAAACCAACTTCGAGGGGCTGACACCAATTCAAGACCAAAGGAGGGTGAGACCGAGTTAAGACTAAGACCAGTGGCCCACATTACATGACACACAATAAAATGTGGAACATGATCATACGTACTTCTCAAATTGATCTGAAATATCCACATTCCCATAAAAACACCCACATACAAACACTAAGAGCTGAAATCAACTTAACCATCTTGATTCAACACTCCTTGTCCATGTTCTACCATCCACCTAACACTAGGGTTTGGCTATCGTTTAAAATTGTACGATATCAAAACCAGTACCCTTAAAATGATACCGATACCAACAGAGTACTTCATTCGATACCTTGCATTAAATGCCAACTGTTGAAGCCATAGTAGTTGATTGGTAAAGTATTATTTTTATTGTTGTTATGGACACGCAAGTTATCTTTCATTATTTCTTGTTTCAAATCACTGTTCCATAAAAGTATTGGGAAATTGTATCAGATCGCTCTTCATCCTCACTAGGTCATCCTCACGGGTAGTATTAGCCTATAAGGGGAAAGACTACAGCTTAGGAGTTTTTTATATTTGAATGAGAGAGGAGTGAAACAGTTTAGTGACCAAAAAAGTTGCGGGAAACAAATTTAAGGTATTTTTTTGATACGCGTGTTAAAAGTAAACAACTGAAAATTATTTTAACTTTCGATCAATAAACTGAATTGAAAGATCTCCGCGAGTGCTTTTTCCTTTAGTGGTGAGTTGCAAACATCCAAAAACGACAGTAACAAGTATAAAACGAGTCAGAGAGTCTCTTTAAACAAGTCACTAAACTATACTAAAGACTCACAAACAGAGGAATAGAGAGGCTGCACGCCCAGCTGATCAAACCAACTACATTTGAAGCAGCCGCAGCCGGAGACTCCTTGAGTAAAATCAGCTGATCGATCAGTGACAAGTGATGTGAATAGCTAATAAAAATATACAGAGAAGTGTTGAATGATACCAGAAGATGAAACCAACGGAAAGCCAAGCTTGTGGTGATAAACTGGCAATAGTGATGAAGATGCCTGAGACCGCAGCTGAAGGTGAGCGGCTGTTAAAAATCACACATGGACTCTGTGCATGCAGGTTTTTTTTTTTTAATAAAGTCTATGGTGCAGGCACATAAGGGAAAAAAGGCATGCTCTTCTCTTTCTTTTGGTTGGTTGCTTGCGTGTTTGGCTGCAAGCAAAACCATACAAATAGTAATTTTTTGCTGTGATCACTGTGAGAACTACATTATAAGTTGCTGATTTTTAGGATTTCACTGTAATTAACTTGTGAGAAATTAGCATTGGTCACAGGGTTTTTATTCCTAAACAAAGTGTTGTCTGATTTACAATAAATGTCTGCTGGCATGTAGGTGAGTTTTAACATAGACCAATCAAGAGACAGAGAAACATCTGATGCCACATACATTTGCATTTCCTTTATTAACTCAGGAAGAGTGTATGCTAATACTCTGCCATTTGTTTTCCTTCATCTACCATTTGTTGGCTGTTGTTTGCTTTGTACTTGTTCTGTACTTAAGGAAAGGAAATGCTGAGTTCGGGAGAGTAACCTTGCGTTCTCTCCGTGGCCACGTTACATAAAGAAATGATTCAACACATCTATTTGACTCCGTATTCTCTGGGAAGGAATTGTTATCCCCGACATCACACAGGGATGAAAGGGAAGCGGCTGGACTACAAACGAGCTGTTTTCAAGCGGTTCAGAGCAGAGCTTTCTGTGGGAGATGGGAACTCCCTTTGGGCTGGACTTTGGGCTTTTTCTCTTTGCAAACCTATTACTTGCACAAAAAAAGTATACTCCATAAAAGGAGAGGGGAAAAGCCAAAAAGCATAATACCACCTCTTTAATAAAGCTTTGTGTTATTCTAAATTTTGACACCAAGATTAAAAATTTTAAAGCAAATGTTTATTGGTTTCACATATCGATCTAATTGGTTACTAATAACCGGTATCGGCCCGGAAAAAAACATATCAGTCGATCCCTAGTCTCAATACACTTGGAGGAGGTGCGCCGTGCCAGAGAGCAAACGAACGGCAGCCAGTTGTATTGTATTGGAACTCTGGAAGGAGAAACGCAGAAACCTCCTGTGTTTCGGGATGATGGAAATGTGGAAGTACGCGTCCTTCAGGTCTATGGAGGTGAGCCAGTCTCCTGGGCGCACACACTCCAGCACGTATCATATCGTCAACATGTGAAACGGACTGGAAGTTATCACCCCCTAGAATGAAGGTCTCAAGGCTATTTATACACAAGATGAGGCCGTGGTAGTGGACGTGAACAAAGCTCTTCAGGGCTGCGCGCCAGGGATAAACCCACTCGCGATTGCCTTAGAGGGCAAAGCAACAAAACAATACAATCAAAAAACTCTTAGGATATGAAGTGCTATTTGCAATGAGTCCTCTAACATAACTATAGTTAGTCCATTCCTCATTGAAATTATCCTCACCATTCTCATTTGTTTTTAACACCTCTCTGCTTTCATTTAGCTTCTGTACCGTTGTCTCCAACTGCTCCTTTAGTTTTGAAACCTGTAACATACAAATGATAATGTCATTAAGTTCATATCAAATAATTTCTTTTGTATTATTTAGCTAGCAAATAGAATTAGCCCAAAGGCTATTTTTCATCTGTTGTTCCCGGCAGGTCACAAGGTGCAAAACAACACCACAATATAACAATATATTAAATATACAACACAATATAAAAAACACCACAATGTTCTGCAGATTAAAGTGCTGATTATGTAGTAATGTGCTTTATATGCAAGTGCAAATTAATGTATTATAGGGCTGTTTAGTACAATGAAGTGCTGTGTACTTGGGAGCCAGACAATTTGTCAGTAACAGTAAAGCATGCGGAAATAATATGACATTTTTATTTAACATATCAGGGGTGACTAATGATGATTTTTTTTTTTTTTTATATAGCTGACGATCACCCACTTACAAGCGCTTACAACTATTGTGATGTCAGATATCGAGTTTATTTACTGTTGTAAACATTGATGTCGCTGCACTACGTAGAAACAACGGTTTCTATAATTAATTAAAAAACAAGCAGGCAGTTAATATGCACACTTTAATATTTGTTTATTTATCGCAAGTTATACATCATCTCACAATATATACAGTACAGGCCTACCTCATGCCCCTTGGATCTGGTCTTACCAAATAATCATCACCAAATAAAAATTAAGTGTCGATAGTGGTATCGATAAAGACTTGGATTGTTAAGCAGTCTCAATAATGGAATCAATATTAATAAAAAATTAAAGCTGCAAGCAGCGTTGGGCATGCCCTCACGCTGTGACATGCCCTCACGCTGTGACATGCGTTGGGGTGTGGCTGGAGGTTGGGAGACGCGCGTTTCGTAGAGTGGTCACGAAGATGTCACTTCCTGTGTCCTGCTAATTATATGTTGTGCAGCAGAAGGTGACGTGTAGGCAATGCTGAGAAAATGCCATGGAAAATCCCAGAATTTTTGTCAGAAACGGCTTACTTCATGTTACCAGTGGGTACCGCTATGACGCTGAGTGAATATTTTGTGGATGTGTTCAGGACAGGACTCTTATCGACCATGTAAAATTTGTTACAGATCTGAGCATGTACACTCAAGTTATAATAACTTCCTCTTCTATGGCGAACCATTGATGTTTGACGCCACGCCACAGACACGCCTATCGACGAAAACTCCCAGATAGCTCATTAAAATCAATCCAATTAATTCCCTAGGAGGAGTTTATTAAAGTACGGACCTTGTAAAAGGCCAAAAATGGGCTGTTGGATAGACTGAATTTGACAGTTTTTGATATTCTTTTGACATGATTTTGAAAAGTGTGGGATCCAGTGTAACGCCATGGTACTTGAATTCATTTACAATATCCAGTTCTTCTTCATTCAGGAACACACCTGAGTGTGTTCTGTCGTTTACAGGCTACTCCCAGGATTCTCAAAGTTAAATTTAAGACTTTAAGACCTTTTTAATACCACCTAGGATGAAATTTAATACCAACTTCACTGCCATTTAATGAAAAATCTGAATTAATTTTAAGCCAGAGAAAATTATTTTTGTTTCATACAAAACATTTTATTATAATAAATTCAAATTCAACACACTATAGCTTGGGGTGTGTTTGTACTTTGATATGAATCAAGGACGTCACTTTGTGTGGAAAAGTGGTGGGGACATAAGGGTTCAGATTAGGGGTGTGACGATACATAGCTCACATGCACGATTCACAATATTGGGTTCACGAGAACAAGACAAGAAGATATTTTAACACTATTTGATGAAATATTCAATGCTGAAATATATGGGAGTCTGGGGGTCCCCTAGAAAATTTTGAGCACTAAAACAATTAATTCCCTGCATTCTGGAGACATTTTCTGCACCAGTTTATGGAAGAATTGTTTTTATTTAAATAAAGTGATTCAGATTTTTTGAACAATGCACATTTGTATCTTATCTTTAAATTGCATGTTTTCTTATTGTGCAAATAAACCTTTCCCAAAGTATTTTAATTTGTTTAAAGTAATTTTTCAGAACATATTTGGCATAATTGTTGCCACCTTCCAAGCTGATGGAACAAAGGACTGTTTAATTGATAAATTAATCATATGTTTAATTGGGCACACTAGGGAATCTTTGTGCAGTTTAATAAAGTTAGTGTCCAATCCATACTTATCCTTAGCTTTGGAGTTATTTAATTCAATAATAACAACAACAACAACAACAACTAGAATTGCAAGCAGTTGTAAGCGGGGTCCAAGCCTCCTGGCGCAAGCCGGCCCCCCTGCGGAGGGCGCGCGATCGGTCCGGGCGCCCTGCCACCATGCCGCATAAGGTCATAAGGTCCCACCTTTTGGCGGCATAGCACCAAAATTGTCATGTGTGATCAGGGCCACATGAGGATTTCTCCAAATTTGGTATCAGAGTTGTGGTTGTGGAGAGCTAAAATGCATGTAAGTCAATGGGATTTTTTTGAATAGCGGCAACTAGGGGCTAACTGTAGCAAATTTTGCACAGCCCCTCAGGGGGGGAATGCCACGTAAGGTCCTCAAGTTTTGTGTTGATCGGCCTTTCCAAGCCTGAGATATGTTAGACTTCCTGTTTTCACAAATATTTGTTAGCTTGCAATTGGGACATTATTTGTCGGATCAAAATTCCCTCTACAAACTTTCTTCGGCTTGGTCCAGGGATGGTCCGTGCCAAGTTTCGTGCCGATCGGACTGAAAACGTCATCGCACAGAGGCGTGTCCAATACCATCGGAATCAGCAGCATCCCCAAAACACATAGACGATTTATGAATGTGCAATGTAGTGAGTTGTAGTTATCCTGCAAAATGTCCTTTGGTTGAAAATCCCATTGAAATGAAGGGGTTATTTGAGCTTAGATTATAGCACCACCTTTTGGCCAAAGTGCACCAAATTTTTGAGGTGTCATCAGGCCCCCCATGGGGAACAATTGTAATGTAATCTCACATTAATGCTCCAAATTTTGTGTGGATCGGCCATTCCAAAGCGAAGATATGACATCATTTCCTGTTAGTAGTGTTTTCTGCAAACGTTTGCTAGCATATAATTGCGTAATTTTTTGCACCAGTTTAGGCCGCAGTATGAGTTTTATGCACGGAAGAATAAAAAAAATAATAAAAATGAGAACGAAAACAACAAGGTTCCCAGCCCACTCGGGCTTGGACCCCTAATAATAATAGAGGTAACATCTGGTCGAAGTAATTTCTTCGATATTAAATAGGCTGTGTGTAGTTAACCAGATTAAAAACATTTGCTTGAGGGGTGAATAGTTGTGATATTTCTTGAACAAAACTTTTAAAAGATGAATTGAATTCTGCCGCCAGGATGAGAGTATTTTTCACCAATACATAATTAATTTTAATTCTTCGAAAAAGAAATGGAACATGTTAAAGTACACTGCTCAAAAAAATAAAGGGAACACTAAAATAACACATCCTAGATCTGAATGAATGAAATAATCTCATTAAATACTGACAACAAAATGACACAAAAATTATCAATGGAAATCAAATTTATCAACCTATGGAGGTCTGGATTTGGAATCACACTCAAAATCAAAGTGGAAAACCACACTACAGGCCGATCCAACTTTGATGTAATCTCCTTAAAACAAGTCAAAATGAGGCTCAGTAGTGTGTTTGTGTGTGGTCTCCACGTGCCTATATGACCTCCCTACAACGCCTGGGCATGCTCCTGATGAGGTGGCGGATGGTCTCCTGAGGGATCTCCTCCCAGACCTGGACTAAAGCATCCGCCAACTCCTGGTCAGTCTGTGGTGCAATGTGGCGTTGGTGGATGGAGCGAGACATGATGTCCCAGATGTGCTCAATTGGATTCAGGTCTGGGGAACGGGCGGGCCAGTCCATAGCATCAATGCCTTCCTCTTGCAGGAACTGCTGACACACTCCAGCCACATGAGGTCTAGCATTGTCTTGCATTAGGAGGAACCCAGGGCCAACCGCACCAGCATATGGTCTCACAAGGGGTCTGAGGATCTCATCTCGGTACCTAATGGCAGTCACCCCACAGCATTACTGACCCACCGCCAAACCGGTCATGCTGGAGGATGTTGCAGGCAGCAGAACGTTCTCCAGACTCTGCCACGTCTGTCACATGTGCTCAGTGTGAACCTGCTTTCATCTGTGAAGAGCACAGGGCGCCAGTGGCGAATTTGCCAATCTTGGTGTTCTCTGGCAAATGCCAAACGTCCTGCACGGTGTTGGGCTGTAAGGCCCTCATACCACCCTCATGGAGTCTGTCCGTTTGAGCAGACACATGCACATTTGTGGCCTGCTGGAGGTCATTTTGCAGGGCTGTGGCAGTGCTCCTCCTGCTCCTCCTTGCACAAAGGCGGAGGTAGCCGTCCAGCTGCTGGGTTGTTGCCCTCCTACGGCCTCCTCCACGTCTCCTGATGTACTGGCCTGTCTCCTGGTAGCGCCTCCATGCTCTGGACACTACGCTGACAGCAAACATTCTTGCCACAGCTCGCAGTGATGTGCCATCCTGGATGAGCTGCACTACCTGAGCCACTTGTGTGGGTTGTAGACTCCGTCTCATGCTACCACTAGAGCACCGCCAACATTCAAAAGTGACCAAAACATCAGCCAGGAAGCATAGGAACTGAGAAGTGGTCTGTGGTCCCCACCTGCAGAACCTCTCCTTTATTGGGGGTGTCTTGCTAATTGCCTATAATTTCCAGCTGTTATCTATTCCATTTGCACAACAGCATGTGGAATTGATTGTCAATCTGTGCTGATTCCTAAGTGGACAGTTTGATTTCACAGGAGTGTGATTGATTTGGAGTTACATTGTGTTGTTTAAGTGTTCCCTGTATTTGTTTGAGCAGTGTATATTCCTGACATGAAAATACTGAGTAAAGTTTAGAAGGAAAACATCACTCAGTCACAGTCATTCCTCCTCCTCTCTCTGCTGCTGCTGGTAGAGAGGAGCTGGTTTCTCTTAACAAGCAGTAGAGTTTACAAGGAGTTGCTAAATTTTAAGGGATGTAGAGTGTTTCCCCTAGGATGGAGTTGTAGCAGCGGAAGTGAAGCAAAATTTATAAAAAAATTTTAGGGGGTCCAACTCCTCCCCCAAGAACATTTTACATTTTCCAATGAAAAAATATATAATTTCACATCACATTGGACCATTATTTTCACCATATCTCTGAACAAATAGTTGGAAAAGAGCAGATAATAAATAAAGATCGGTCTACTGGGGCGGAACTACAACCTTTAGATTTGGGGAAAGTAATTTGGTTGGTTATGATGCTCTCAAAAGTGATGTTACATTTATGGCACAGCATGTTTTGGGCATCACCCCCTAAGCCTTAATGGCAGGAAAACCCTGCAGTATCATTATAGATACGATTGTTCATGTTTGTCTTATGTGTCTTCATTTTACAGCTTTTGACATAAAATAGGCAACATGAGAAACCTCCTCCCTTCTGAGGTGCATTTTATTTGCACAGTAAAATGCAAAAAGAAATGTCTCCTCAGGACTAGTTTGCATCACTAATTAGCTTTACTAACCTCAGCTCCTCCAGTCACCACAGTCCTTTTTTTCCCCCCTAACAACCACTTTCCAGACTCATCTGAAAACTGAAAAATAATTGAATCAGTCTGTACAGGACAGAGCTAAAGGCTACGCCAATTTACACTCAGTTTGTAACTGAGGTTCTCAACATTGAATAAGTAGGTAGTAATAAAATACAGCTACCAGTTACTTTCTAGAAATTGAGCTAATGTACATACACATAGAGCCAAAAGACCTAGCCTACTGTAGAAGCTTTCCTGCTCAGCTGCGCAGTCTGAAGGGGAGAAGAAGAAGAAGACATGCTTTATTAATCCCACAAGGGGAAATTCATTGTTCGGAGATGTTAACTAGCACACACAGGCTTCACATGTCCAGCAGGTGGGGAAACAACAGACTTTTCTTGGTCACGAGAAGCTAACACAGCATCTGTCAGCATCAACGAGGAGAGGATGCGAGCCAAGCATTGAGTGTTGCCGTGCTCGCACAGTGTGCAAGTGACAACATTTGTAGCGCACAGTTTTTTGATCGTGGGAAATTTTAGTAGCGGCGGTCATGATTCAGCAGCGCCGCACTGCCGCTCCTGAATGCATATAGGGTAAACACTGATGTACCATCTCAGCCTAAATGTACACGCCCTGTGCCCACTGATTGGAGAGTAGGGCTGTACCAGGAGGAGCATAGTGCTTGTGATTGGCAAGCAGAGATTAGATTTGAAAACGATTAATCATTCATCGATAATTGTTATACAGATGATACTCAATTATATCTATCAATCAAGCCAGATGACACTAATCAGTTAGCTATTTCAAGCTGCCTTTCATGCCTTAAAGATATAAAAACCTGGATAACCTGTAAATTTTTGATGTTAAAGTCAGATTAAACTGAAGTCATTTTAATTGGCCCCAAACACCTCTGAGACACAATTTCTAAAGACATAGTTACTCTGGAATGCATCACTGAAAATAAGGAACATCCTGTCTCAAAATGATGCAGAAAAACTAGTCTATGCTCTGCTGGGCTCAGATGATTACACTTCAACGCACCTTGCACCCGTTATCCTCATTGTAATATACATTTTAGGTCTGACCCCGAATACTCGAAGATTCAATGCTTTGATGGGTGGAGCCTGATTCAACCGTCAATCTCACAGTCAAAGCTTCACAGCAAAACAAGAGGAACAATTGCTGAAGAGACGGAGCCCCAGCTTCACTGGTGTTGTGCCAAGTTGTCCGCACCTTGTGGGATTTTCGTATAATTTCACCGTTGATGAACCACACAAAGAATATTTCAGCGTTTTTAAATAGTTACTTGAAATAGACCTGCAAGGAACCGTGAAGTGCATGCAGTTGTCGGCAGCACAGAACGCACGTAAAAACTCTGCTCAAGGCCAGTGAATGGCAGGCGAGAGAGAGAGAGAGAGAAAAGGGTCTTCAAAAAGCCTAAGTTGAATGAACAGAGAGTGCAGCTCTGCAACTTCTCAAGATTAAAGCAGAGCTATCATATGTAACCCAACACCCCCGGCTCGCAATTGCTGTGCACAAAAACACACGACTGGACTATCAGTCGACTATAGGCAGGACTTGACTATTCTGATTCGACTATGTAAATCCTTCGTCGGGGACAGCCCTAATATATTTACTATAAAACTAAATAAAACAACATCCATACTGCCTCTGTTTGTTTTCATCTATGTATTTTTTATTGGCATGTAGTGAGCTCTGTAAATATAAGGAGCGAAAAGTCCACAGAGTCAGTGCTGCTTTACGTTATTAAGAGATTAAGAAAAGCCAAAAGACTGTTATATGCAGTGAAGTTTCCATGATATAAAGACATACCTCCTCGTCCTTGGTGATGAGGTGCTGCTGAGCGCTACGGAGATCCTTTTCAGCATTCTGAAGTTTTTCTGATGTGTCTTGCAGGACCTTCTCCTGGGACACAGTCACAGTGTTTTTCACTTTTATTTTTCCAATTAGGACCCGTACCTCCCCCTGCAGCTTCTTAATGATACCATTAGCCTGGACAAAAAAAATAAAAAAAATCACATCAAAAGGAGGTAAGAATCTGGACCATAATTGAACATAAAGTGCAGTTATTTAGGTACTCCAACAGGTGCTTCTATTATTTTGTTCACCCAATTTATATCAATGAAAGTAGGCAACAGTAAATAACAAACGCCTCTCACCATTATGCAATACTGTTCAACAACATCATAAACTCCATCGTTGAAAACGAGCAACACTTCTCTAAACAGGTTCAACAAAAACTGAATATAAAAAAATTCATGAAAGTAGTATACCTCAGATTGTTGGTTAAAATTTTAAATATTAACCAAATCTTAAAAATGATCCACAAACATAGGTGTGTACACAGGTAGATAAATATTGATGGATCTTGATTAGGGCTTAACGATTTTGGAAAATATTCTAATTGTGATTTTTTATTTTAACCAATATTATGATTGCAATTCATTTTTAAGCTCTTTACCTTCTGTATAATTCAAAACGGACAAGCAATAAATCAGTGTATACTATGACCAACACAATATTAGACAGATTAAACATCCACTGTTCTTTCATGTAGGTCAGGCCTGTGTTATGATGAAATTAGGTGATGCATGTATTGCATGAATTATTATTATGAGCAATGGTGGAGAAGAAATATCAAATTATAACAATATGAGAAAGATAACTTGAGTCAAGTCATGGCTTTAAATAATGATATAATATCATTAGGTCGGCCTACCTACAGACCACAAGAAAAACTAAGTTCACCACAGTGTATTATACAGTTAACGCTCAATATAAAACCCACAGTTCAACCACCAATTAATGCGTCCTTTTCTCAGTTCAAATCTCCTAGGAGTCCACCTTTTTATCTCCCAGTAAGCAAACAAAAAATACTCAGTTTGAGGTTCAATTCAAAAGTTGGCCAACGAAAATAAAACCAAGTGACGCCTCTGGTATTTAATAGACAAGCTTAGTAATTCTCTGACAACACCGGAGTTCCCCTCCCCCACAGCCTCCGATGCTGGTAAGCAGTGCACTGGCTGTAACCAGGCTGTAACTCAGGACAGACTGCTTTTCGGACTTGTGAGTTTGATTTGAAACGCCGTTACATAGATAGTTACTGAGCTGTCTGGTGGCTGTGTGTGTGATGCAGGCGCCGATCACCACAATACGCTTACCTTACTACACGTCTTTCTGTTGTGCATTTTTCCTGTCCGTCAAAGCGGACGATTGCTGGCCGACGATTTCAACCACCGGCGGGTACTACTTTCATTCCCTGTGTGACACTAGAGTTTCTACATCTCGGGCAAAGCAATTCTGTGGTTTGAATCCTACCGCTTGGGGAGTTCCTACAATGTTCTGTGGCAAGGACAATTATCTTCCTCCCAATGCCTCTCCGCAGGGGTGCCCCGAAGCTTGGTGCTAGGGCCCCTTCTCTTCTCAATTTAGACCACCTCACTGAAGACAATCATTCGCTTGCACGGCTTCTCTTACCACTGCTACACAGATGATACGCAACTCTACCTATTCTTCCCACCAGACGACCCCACCGTCTAAGCGCGGATCACGGACTTTCTCTCGGACATATCTTCCAGAATGAAGGCTTGCCACCTTCAACTAAACCTCTTTTAGACTGAACTCTTGGTCATTCCAGCCAAGCAATCTATCCACCATAACATCAAACGACAAACTTACTCATCAACCATCACTACAAACAGGATGGTGAGAAACTTGGGTGTCATGATTGATGACCAGCTGTCCTTTTCAGACCATGTTACTGCTGTCTCTCGGTCATGCCGCTTTTCTCTATACAACATAAGGAAAATCAGGCCCTACCTCACTCAGTACACCACCCAGCTTCTGGTACAGGCCATGGTTATCTCTCGCATCGACTATTGCAATGCCCTCCTAGCAGGTCTCCCAGCTTGTGCGGTGAAACCCTTACAAATGGTTTAGAACGCAGCAGCACGTCTGGTTTTTGATCAGCCCAAAAGGACTCATGTCACTCCATTCCTCAGTGACCTCCACTGGCTCCCCGTGGCCTCCAGAATCAAATTCAAGTCACTAATGCTGTATACAGAGTGACTACAGGGTCTGCACCCAACTATCGAAACTCCATAAGACAAGCTTACATTCCTTCTCGGCCACTACACTCCTCCAACCAGCGCCGCCTGGCTCTGCCATCCCTTCACACAAAGCAATCCCAGTCCCGGCTATTCTCATCTGTGACACCACGATGGTGGAATGAGCTACCACACGCCATCAGAGCAGGAGCGTCCCTCTTTAACTTCAAGAAGCTCATGTCTTCCTAGAACACTTCCTCTTATAATACCTCTAACCCCTAACATGCACTTCCTGTGCTCCTTTTCTTCTATCCCCTTACAATTCTCTTGTACTGATTGCACTTTTTTTTGTTAACTCTTACTTCCTTCCCTAGGTATTTATCCCATTGATGCCATACGTGCTATTAGCTCTTACTAGTATTTATTGTTGCTCTTATTAGCCTAGTATTTATTGTCAGTTGTAGATCTCATGCTGTATTGATGCTCTGTTGATGCTTGTATGTTGTTTCTCAAATGCAAGTTGCTTTGGATAAAAGCGTCTGCCAAATGAGTAAATGTAAATCTAACAGCCAACAGTTACTCAATGACTAAAAGAACTGAGGTCAAACAAAGTGTGGCTTATATCTAGCAGATGGGCAGCTTGCATGCAGCTTCACAAACCTTTATCAGCTCCTCAGACAGTGATTTCACCGTTGCTTCAAGTTTTCTAATCTGAAGTTCTTTACTTTCAGCATTTTCTTCCATTGACTTCTAGAAAACACAAACATATATGTTACAGAATTAGATTAGATTTATCTTTCTTATGATCATCGAACTCCATTAGAAGACCGAAACCAATTATGTATTGTTATTTCTTGACACTCCCTGATTCCCATTGGTTTTTACTGAACATGCAAATATTTGAATACACATTGTTTCATTAAAAACTCAAACTAAAAGAAAAGCTTAGTCATTTCCTAAAACACCTGGCCACTGTAGTTTTGGCATGACACGTCACTCAAACAGGAGGAAATAGTGACTTTATCAAGTAAGCCGAGGCCACAGTGGAAACTCATGTGATCATACAGTGCAATTATAGCGGACTAACATGGGCCTGTGGAGAAACAGGCACAGAAATCCAAATGAGGAATTGTGACTCCAAAAATGTATTAGACAGGTGGATGTGATGAAAATGTGACTAGCATAAGATCAGGGTATGCTAAGTATAACTTAAGCTAAAGTGCGCTGTTGCTTTTCCCCTCCATCACTCAGCTTTTTAGCTAATTGAAAAAGGACGCCTTTGGTGCAGTAGATCTTACCTTCTGCTCCTGAGTGGCTTCCAGCACCTCTTTTGTGCGTCGCATGAGCTGATCCTTATCTTTGATCTCCTGTTCCAGAACAGCCACTCTCATCTGCAGCTGGCTCACCAAACGCTCCTTCTCATGGACCTCTGTGTCCAGAGTGCTGTTCTCCCTCCTAAGAGACAGGACCTGCTGCTTCGAACGCTGGCACTCCTAAACTCATAACAGCAGGATATTAATCCCACGACAGATGTAGTCAGTAATCGTTATTTAATGAATCATTATCTATAGGAGGTTGACAAAAGAACAATAGCTTACACCACAGTACAAGAGTGCTGCATATAATGTTCCCTTCACTCAATCAGAGGCTGTGGTTTGGTTCTGTTTTTAAACAAATAACCCATCCAGTGCTATTCATTCAGTCAGCAGTGGGCAGGATCAACTCTTTGCTGGTGCAATTTTACTATGACATACACTGTAATGAAAATATACTAACATTGTGTTTTCAACCACAGAGGTATTAACAGTGGGGATTTCTGGGGATCTAATTGTTTAAAAGGTTCAGTGTGTAAGTTTTAGTGGCATCTAGTGGTGAAGGTTGCAAATTGCAACCAGCGGTTCACGGTGCATTCACATGGGCCTCGGATGATCCCTTTTTCCGAGTTGTGAAGTCGTCTTCCGACTTCAGTGTTTGTTCATGTGCTCTTAAGTCGGAATGTGGAATCAACATGGACGCTAGGGCTGGACCTGAATATTTGATTGTTGGGTACACATTCGATTTTCAGTTTTGGGATTCGAAAATTTTTATTTTTTTCTCCGCACACCTGACCTCCGCCCACAGCAGTGATCATAACACTACAGTTCACATCAAAGGGGAAACTAAATGAAGCCCTCAGCTCTGTGGGAGCACTTTAAACTGAGTGATGACAACGGTGTGTCAGTTATGGAGTTACCAATGACTGAGCGAGCGGTGACTGATGGTGATGATCAGACAGGTGAGTCTGTGTGTCACTGAGACATAGAGAGCACTATATGATGCTAATCTCCGCTTTCATAACATTTTGATGGCCAGAAATGGACAGCTCTTTTCTGCAAAAGCTCTAAAAACCAAGTGTACACAAGCTGCTCAGCAGCAAACAGCAGTCAGACACATCGACTAGCTGATGAATATAGTGGAGCTGTCTGTGAAGGTTCTCAATCATCCAGGTCATAGTAATCCAACAAAGGTTGAGGTCAAGGGCAACTGGACTTGGTTGAAGATACTAGATAGGTTGATAGGTTGAAGATACTATAGTGGAGCATTTAGCTGCTAAAGAGTCAGATACTTTCCTCAGCAGACCAATCGACAATGTCTATTATAAAAATCCATCGAAGTGAAATTTCATTGTCAACACGTCGTTAGAAAGATGCAGTTTAAGGGAGCGACAGCAATCTTCTTATTAAGAACATTCCTGGTTGTTCATTTCTAACTCCAGGGAAGTGCTGGGGGCAGTCTCGCTTCCACTGTCTGACTGCTCGAGTGTAAGACTACTCAGGAAGAAGAAGCATTCACGCGAGAAGCGGACAGCAACGCAGAAAGAGGCTAAAAGCACTTTTGAGAAGTTCTGAGGTGAGAAATCAATTGTATAGAAGAATATTGGCAGTTTTACGAAAGCGGATGGCGAATACAAAATGTGCTTAAACGTTTTTGGGGTTGAGAAGGTCCACAAGCGCCCGCGAGGTTAGCGGTGTTAGCTGGCCGGCCAGTCTCGCCCACAGAACCCTCTGGTCCCAGTTACACAGACTCAGACCACAGCATCAGCAACAGAGGAAAGGCTACAATTGTAAGATAGTTTCAATGTTCCGCTGTTATTCTGTCTTTACAATCTGAGTAATGGTATTACTCAGTATTTGCTTTTAATGTGCTTTTATTTTATATAATTCCAAAGCAAAAATCTTTGTTAAAAAGTTAACATTTTTAAAGTTAAAACCTACTTGGCAATAAATCAGATTGTGAGCTTATTGTTTTGGGTGATAAAGCACATTCATACACTGGTGGAACAGCCAGGGGCAATTCGGGGTTCAGTAGCTTGCCCAAGGACACTTCGAAATGCGGCCTGGGGGAGCCGGTGATTGAACCGCCAACCTTACGATTAACCCGCTCTACCTCCTGAGCCATAGCCGGTTCAAAGCTTTTTGCAACATAACAATTTCAAAATAGTTTCACACTAGGGTTTGGAAGATAGACGATGCCATGATCTTTTAGCGTCTAGATTTCAGTGAGCTGAGATGCCTGCGGAGCCCAAAGGATACTAAAGGACAGTACCCACCCAGCCCCAGCCTGTTCACCCTGCAGCCATCTGGCAAGAGATACAGAAGAATCTGCTGTCGTACAACTAGACTACAAAGCAGCTTCTTCCCCCTGGCTGCGAGACTCCTAAATTCATCCTCAGTACTGCACTATGTACAATAGTTTTATTTCTATGACTTATAATTTATCCACCCATCTAGTGTATATAACTTTTGTATATAAAGTTTGCTTTTTGCGAGCAACATAAAGGGAACTACAACTTCATCTCAATATACTAACTTGTATTGGAAGCACATATACATAATTTCCAGTTATTGCCCCAAATTTCATGTTTCCAGCTCAAAATGTTTCCACTGGCCCAAAGATAGTTATTGCAGATTTAAAAATTCCAGTAAATCAGGGCCAGTGAGTCCTCATCTGGCCTCCACATTCACTTACCTCCTCTGTACCGACTAGTTTAATCTTCAGGTCTCTGATGACAGACTCGTTCTTGTATTTTCTCTCTGTCAGCTCTCTGCAGGAGGCCTCCAGCTCTGTCAGTCTGCTATGAAGCTGCTGGCTGCTCTGCTTGTGTTCACGCTCCAGCTCCTGGCGAAGCTTCTCAGCCTGCTGCTGAAGTCTGCTCTGTAACTAAAAGACACACCAGAGAAATATCTCTAACAACTCCTGCAACACCAGATTTTCTTTCAATCTGGGACTTCTTTTTAGATGGATGTTTTGTCTAGTTTGATTTTTATCATTTCATTTCCATTAACAACCACATCAGACACATAGTCCAGTGTAGATGAGGAGTCTTACCTCTGCAGCCTTCTCTCTCTCTGATTGTAACTCCTGAGAATGACGACTTGACAGACAGCTGGACTGACTTGTCCACTCTGAACGCAGTTTGTCCAACTCTTTTGTCTTCTCAGACAGAGTCTGTGAGAGAAATGATAAGTACAGTTTCTTTTTTAACCATTCCAATAACAGTCATTCTTCATTTTACAGAAAACTCTGTGTATATAATTACATATATTTATTACAACATGATTTATATATAGTAATGTTATTGGGTAGGTATGCTACTGTTGTTTTTAATTTCATGATAACTAAGTACTGAACTATCTTGTGAAAGCAGTAGGCCTAAAAACATAACTAGAACTGCAAGCAGTTGTAAGCGGGTCCAAACTGAAAAACCTATTTTGATTAACTCTTGTGAAGCAGCAAGTCCAATCGGCACCATTCTTGGCACGGACCATCTCTGGATCAAGCTGATAAAAGTTTTTATAGGAATTTTTGATTCACGAATAAATGTCCCAATTACAAGCTAACAAATCTTTGCAATAAAGGCTAAAATCAGGAAGTAATGTCATATCTTAGACTTGGAACGGCCAATCAACACCAAACTTGGTGACCTAATGTGCCATGGCTTGCTGAGTGGATGTGCAAGATTTGGTTCAATTAGCCCCTAGGTGGCGCTGTGTAACAGCAATTAGCCATTCCTCTATAACCACAAGTCGCATTGACCTGTCACTGGAGCCGAATTAATCAGGATGGACTCCTGACACAAGGCACCAAAGCTGACCCTAATATGCCCAAACCTTATATCTATGTGTTTGGGAGATACTGCCGATTCGCATGGTATAGGACACGCCTCTGTGCAATGACGTTTTCATTTCCCCAAATCGCGAAAACTGAAAAACCTATTTTAATTAACTCCTCCAAAGCGGCAAGTCTGATAGGCACCACACTTGACACGGACAATCTCTGGACCAAGCTGATGAAAGGAAATTTTGATCCGCAAAAAAATGTGGGAGTTATAAGCTAACATTTCTTACGCCGAATGCAAAACCCAGGAAGTGATGGCATATCCTAGGTTAGGGAAGTCCGATGTACACCAACATTGTGTACCTTGTGTGGCATGCCCTCCCGACGAGCTGTATGAAATTGTGTTTTAATCAGCCTCTAGGTGGCACTGTTAATCAATATGCAATGACACTTCCATAGACATACATTCATTTCATATCTCTGTAACCACGAGTCCCTTTAATTTCGAATTCTGGTCATTTATTCACCACAGGCCCCTGAAGCCAAGGCAGGGCGCCGGGAGACCATTAGTATAAAGTCGGCTGTAAAATGCTGATTTGCTGATTGTGGTGCTCTGTTCCTATCACGCCAAACAATTCTATTCCCTAGAGAAGCTCTTTCTCCATTGGTTGATGTAGTCTTGTCATGCCCCACTGTGATTGGTATAGCCATTTCAGAGCTCAGAGACCAGTCATGTGCTCAGATCTATTTTCCACCTCACCAAGTACATTCTGGATTCAGTGCTGCAGCAACTATATGTACTGCTTAAAGTGTATCACTTTACTCTGGTTATGGCAGTTGTGTGATTAAAATAGGGTTCTAAACACAAGTCCAGTGAAAAAGCACACCTGTTGAGCATAACTCAGCTGCCTGGACAGATCATCTTCAGTCTTCTTTAGCTTCATCTCGAGACCCTGCTTTTCTGCCTGAAACATCGATATGACACATCTTTAGAAACATGGCTTAAACTGGATTCTAGCTATAAAGCTTTAAACAGAATGTATGATTAAATAAGATAATTCCACTTTTAAGCTTAATGGTTTCCTGTGAAGCTCTTTACATCTGTTGATTTTTCAGTTCCTCTCCTCCTGTGTTTATTTGTTTTTTTACTGTGACCTCTTAAAAGCAGAACCCTGCAAGACTATCAATGAATTGAAATGCTTTAACCCAACTGACTGAAATGTACAAGCAATATATACTGTGACTAGTGTGTGCACAGTCAACCACTGCAACAGACAGCAGAGATATAAAAGCAGCTGGGATTGTTTGGATTAATGTCTCCCTCTGCAGAACTCCACAAGACAAACCTCAGTTTGATCAGATACACATTTTACAACTCAAAGCTCAAAAGGCCAGACAATATTATGATGAATTATGCTGAATGAGCCAACCTTCAGAGAGGAAAGACACACTGCCAGATAATCTTTAACCTCTTTATCAGATCCTTGAGTGAGCCGTAAAGACAAGTGGTTCAGGTGTTTGAATGCGTTTGTCTCCACGACGCTGAAGTTGGCAGGCCCTTCAAGCACTGGAGACTGACATGACAAGTGCAGAAGAAACCTGTGGAAAAGCATAAACAGCCATGTAGTGTTGTTTTACTGGAGTACATAATAATAATAATAGTGTCTCTAATGATCAGATTAACCTTTATAAGCTGATTTTAAAAAAAAAGCAGTCACATGCATGACTCTCAGCATTATTTACACTTTTGTTTATCTCACAATATTTATGGAAAAATTACTGATACAAACCAATATGTAACGCAAAGCTGAATTGATTTGAAATTGAACAGGGTGATGTGTGGTATTTTGCATTTCTGTGTACCTTGGATTGTCTGACTCTTGCTCAGAATGGCACAGATTAAGAAGGTCAATAAACTTCTGAGGGAAAGATGCAAAGTCTATCAGAAGTCCCTGCTGGACTTTCAAACTACATACATCAACAACAACAACAAAGAAAGCAAACATCAGTGACAGTTAAAGAAAGCTTTTTCATGGCATCCTAAAATCAAATAGTGAGCATTGAAATTTATATAATTCAATACTTACCTTTGGAAATCTTCTTCTGATATAGAGAGGTTGAAGAGAAAATATGGATCTACATCATCTGTTAGTTTTACTAGAAGATCCTAATATAAACAAAAACAACGAGGTTGAGGTGGCAATTCTTTCTAATTAGCCAACTAATATACAGGTGCTGGTCATATAATTAGAATATCATCAAAAAGTTGATTTATTTCAGTAATTCCATTCAAAAAGTGAAACTTGGATATTATATTCATTTATTCCACACAGACTGATATATTTCAAATGTTTATTTCATTTAATTGTGATGATTAAAACTGACAACTAATGAAAATCCCAAATTCAGTATCTCCGAAAATTAGAATATTACTTAAGACCAATACAAAAAAAAGATTTTTAGAAATGAAAAGTATGAACATGAAAAGTATGAGCATGTACAGCACTCAACACTTAGTTGGGGCTCCTTTTGCCTGAATTACTGCAGCAATGCGGCGTGGCATGGAGTCGATCAGTCTGTGGCACTGCTCAGGTGTTATGAGAACCCAGGTTGCTCTGATAGTGGCCTTCAGCTCTTCTGCATTGTTGGGTCTGGCGTATCGCATCTTCCTCTTCACAATACCCCATAGATTTTCTATAGGGTTAAGGTCAGGTGAGTTTGCTGGCCAATTAAGAACAGGGATACCATGGTCCTTAAACCAGGTACTGGTAGCTTTGGCACTGTGTGCAGGTGCCAAGTCCTGCTGGAAAATGAAATCTGCATCTCCATAAAGTTGGTCAGCAGCAGGAAGCATGAAGTCCTTTAAAACTTCCTGGTAGACGGCTGCGTTGACCTTGGACCTCAGAAAACACAGTGGACCAACACCAGCAGATGACATGGCACCCCAAACCATCACTGACTGTGGAAACTTTACACTGGACTTCAAGCAACGTGGATTCTGTGCCTCTCCTCTCTTCTTCCAGACTCTGGCACCTTGATTTCCAAAGGAAATGCAACATTTACTTTCATCAGAGAACATAACTTTGGACCACTCAGCAGCAGTCCAGTCCTTTTTGTCTTTAGCCCAGGCGAGACGCTTCTGACGCTGTGTCTTGTTCAAGAGTGGCTTGACACAAAGAATGCGACAGCTTAAACCCATGTCTTGCATACGTCTGTGCGTGGTGGTTCTTGAAGCACTGACTCCAGCTGCAGTCCACTCTTTGTGAATCTCCCCCACATTTTTGAATGGGTTTTGTTTCACAATCCTCTCCAGGGTGCGGTTATCCCTATTGCTTGTACACTTTTTTCTACCACATCTTTTCCTTCCCTTCACCTCTATTAATGTGCTTGGACACAGAGCTCTGTGAACAGCCAGCCTCTTTAGCAATGACCTTTTGTGTCTTGCCCTCCTTGTGCAAGGTGTCAATGGCTGTCTTTTGAGAGACCATTTAAAGGCCTTTGCAGATGTTTTGAGTTAATTAGCTGATTAGAGTGTGGCACCAAGTGTCTTCAATATTGAACCTTTTCACAATATTCTAATTTTCTGAGATACTGATTTTGGGGTTTTCATTAGTTGTCAGATATAATCATCAAAAAAAAAGGAATGAACACTTGAAATATATCAGTCTGTGTGGAATGAATGTATGTTATACAAGTTTCACTTTTTGAATGGAATAAATAAATAAATAAACTTTTTGATGATATTCTAATTATATGACCAGCACCTGTACAACTACCATCCATCCATCCTACTAATATACAAATAGAGAGAAAACTATTTAAATTGTTTAGGCCAAATTCTTACTCACCCTTTTGTGTACTGAACTTGCCAACTGAAGCCCAATTGTGACACGGATATTTGCTTTCCTATAAAATGAAAATATCAAAACTGATAAACTGGTTAATAAACATCTGGCTTCAAACAGTATGTATGCCATAATCTGAGCTAATATAAAGATATTGTTGGACAGTCATTTCAAACCTGCGGCCTTCACATTTTTGTAGCAAGACATAGACTGAAGACTTCACAACACACACACACACACACACACACACTCACAGTGTGCAAAGACACACGTATCCTGCCAGTAAAACAGTGTTGCTAATTGGCGAAGTTAGGGTGGCGACCATGATTCAAAATTAATTAGACATCCAAAACGAGAGACAATGAGGCCTTGTTGGATTCTTGAACACCTAGATCCAGGCTCGATAGGAGTAAACTAAGATTTATAAACATAGGAGGCCCAGGTAAAGGAGGGCCTGATAAGGGAAGAAGACTAGATAGATGAATACAATGGGCCTTTGCAAGTGGACTGCAACTATGAAGGCTGTGAAGGTCATCATGTGATACAGTACGCAGCACACAAACCTCTGCTTGTGTTGATGTTAACTCTCTTATCTTATGCACATACACTTTTTATTAATATCAAGATGATGTCTTAACATAACCAATGTCACACAGTTTACGCAATCTGCTCCTGGACCAGCTGGGATACAGTCTATGGGTTAACCGTACAATTTTTGGATTTTTCTATCTTCTGGAACGATATCAGGGAACTGCTCCAACGCCTTCTTAAACTGTATATCAAATAGAAATCTTTCTTCTACTATATAAGAGTACGGTCTAGACCTGCTCTTTTATGAAAAGCGCTGTGAGATAACTGTTGTTGTGATTTGGCGCTATATAAATAAAATTGAATAACATGGTCTCATTACATTCCTTACAAGTCACCTCAAAAAATCCCATCATGTGACCGCAAGTAATGTGTGTTGTCTTGTGTACTATTATGTATTTTCATGTATACTATGTTGCTGTCTGCATTAATTCTTTTCTGGGAAGCGCGTGGCGGAGCTGAATATAGCTGCGGCCCGGAGGCTTACTCCAATTTCTTGCAATTTCCCCACTGTGGGACAAATAAAGGCTTCATTCATTTATTCATTCATCAATCATTCCAATTCCCAAGCTTGATAAAGATTTCCTCTCTTACTGGTCAGTTGGAGACCAATTCCCTTGTTATGTAGCCTGTAACTGCTGGCACTTGTCTATGCTAATCGTCTGAATGAGGGATTATCACAGATCATTGATAAGTGTCAATCAGCCAAAGGGTCGAAATAGACATAATTACACCAGGGGGGAGTTCAATCACAAAACGTTGTGCAACGTTCCGCAACGGGCTTCGAGGTATGTTTTCTTCCGTTTAGTGGGCGTGTCAGAGGTGTCTTCCCTGCGTGTCACAGGTGACTCCCCCTGCAGTCCATAAAGTGCCTCTGCGCCTCAGCCGTTCCAAACCCTCCCTGCAGCATTTGGATCACGCCTCCTCATTTGAATACACGACTCAATCCTCAATCCCCAAATCTCCAATCCCCCAATCCTAAATGGCTAAATGCCCAATCCTAAATACCAAATTCATTTTCGACTTCGACTTTTAGTTTTTGATTTCGACTTTTAGTTTCCGATTTCGACTTGGTTTTAGACTTCTGACCAAATAATCCCTCCATACCGAACAGACAGAATGCATTTTTGCAGTGATAGGTACCTTTTTTAAAATTGTTTTGTATTGACAGTGAGTGTTTTGCGGGCTGTTTATGGGCCCTGGGCGCCTCACGTTTTGGGCACCTGCTGCAACTTGTTTTTTCGATGGAACTCTGGGCAGAAAAGCGCCCGACGTCATTCACATTTTTTTTTAATTAATGAAGAGACGGGTGGCAGAAGTTTACAGTTGCTTGGTTTGTCCGGAGACTTCAAACTGTCCCAGACTCATCCTAAAATAAGCCTTGAACCAACCATCATAAAGACAAAGCACCTGGACCAGCTGGTGGTACTACCAGCGGCGTCTCCTCTTTCTGAGGGTCTCATGTACCCACATGGATCTCAGGTTTCTTGTATCTTTCTAATTTCTATAAATATTTTATGGAAATTGTGTTTTTCCCCAATAGCTTCTATGTCATGTGATTCAGGGACTCCAAACCAATACTGAATTGCAGTACTAAACTGGGAAAATGAGGCACTACTTCATATCATATTTGAGTGCATATTCTATTTTCTATTAATATTTATTCACATTTTCTGGAAAGACAGCTTTCCCCCCCCAGTGGCTTCATGACATATAACGACTCCAAACGAATGGCGACTTGTAGTACTACACTGGGCTATTGAAACACACCTATTCAGTTTAGATTTGAGTACTTTTATTAATACTTACAGCTATTCTACAATGGAGAAAATAATTATATTATTATTAAGAAAACCCATTGAATGGGAAGGTGTGTCCAAACTTTTGACTGGTAGTGTACTTCTTAACATCCATTAGTACACTGCTCAACACACTGTACATACTTACTGGTCTAGTCTGTAAAGCTAACATTAAATGCTCATTTGTTTTCTGCCTTTATAGTCTTTCCACTTAAAGCGCTTTAGATTATGTTATCCATTCACAGACAGACTGCAGAGGTTAAGGTGCCAACTGCACATACATACAGCGATTTGGGGTTCACCGTCTTGCCCAAGGAAACTTCGACAAGAAGCCGGGGATCGAACCATGACCTTCCGGTTAGTAACTCAGCAGCTGAAATGCAGGGTATTATTCAGTAGTGATGTGCGATACCACTTAATTCCTATCCGATCCAATACCAAGTAATACCCAGGCTGGTATTGTATTTTTACCATACTTTATTTCTAGTTTAATGTGACCTCCCTCTCCCGTTTCTGTATTTATGAGAGAAATAAGGAGTAGGCTGTGGTCTTACCACTTCAAAATAATAGCTGCATAATGACAAGACATCAAACTACTGTCATATTCTTTAATTATAATAAAAATATCCTACTCTGTACTGCCACTTCATAACATCATCCTATTATTGTGACAGACTTAATCTCAGATGTTTAGCGAAGTTTGCAGTGTTGCTAAAGTATTTCACGGTTTTTGCACACACATCATCTTTATTACCTTCTATTTCTACAGTCAGCCAGAGTCAGTATTCAATCGCGGGAAATGTAAAGAGCTGCAGCGGCTCACTTCAAAGAAGCTCCGTCACAGAGCCGTAGTGCAAGCATGACTTTGACAGGTGGAAGGAAAAGTAGTTCCTATCAACCGAGTACAATTAGACCATCCTGGTGACAGTAAGATACTTAATAATAAAGATAATAAAACACACACTCACTCCAAATGACTGTGTATGAGTATCGCTCCTAGAGCAGGAAACGTTGGTATCAGAAATATCGATACTTTAGGATCGATCCGCACGTCACTATTATTCAGAGGTTATCCCTCACAAGCTGTATTACCAGACGTCACCTGATTACAGCAGATGACATCTGCTAGCTGTCATCAATAAATCCACAAGAATAGTTTATTGAAGTTAGAGACAGAAAGCACAAGATCAGGCCAATGGACATGTGCTACAATGATGATACAAAGTGATTTAAGGTAATTTCCCCTTTAATTTGATCAAAACCTGTATGGTAAAATAACTTTAAAATGTGTATGGTCTTTGTCAGTGTCACTCTGGCGCCATTCAAAAAACCTCTTAAACACACATTTTTATGACAGCTAAAATATGAAGCAATTGTCATTGTGTCGGGCTGGCTGACCGCAGTTAATTACTTCTATGAACAACATACGAGAGTAAATCTGTTAAACTCTGAGGTGTGGTGGTGCTTCAGCTCCGTTCATGGGGGGGCTGCTATACGCCTCCATGTCACGGTTCTGGTGTTTGAAGCCCCGAAGCTTTCAGTCTTTTTTCGGCACAAATAGAAAGAAAGCCCCAAAACTTCATCTGCCCATCTCCATCCATGAGATTATCCTGGGGTGTTTGCAGTCTTACCTTTCCTCGTTGTCCCGGCACCTCACGAGCACTTGTAACACTTTGCTGAACAGTTCCTCCATGTTTGAACAAAGTGAACGAGTCTGTTACTAGGAAGGTAACGTGAACCGGTCAACGTTAAAGGCTAAGATGTGAGGGGGAGCTATTTATACTGAGATGCGTTGTCTTTCATCACACGGACTCTTCACACTTTCATTGTTATTTCCTTGGTATTTTTGATTTGGCGCTTTTCACCCGCCAACTGAATCACCCTGGAAACGGAAACTGGCTGGATGACGTTAAGTGCGGTTGGCACCTACCGCCACCTACCGACTAGGAGTGGCTCCGGCTCCTTCTTCTTCTTCTTCTTCTTTTACCGGTAAATTTTTCCCCCTCTTTATTGAAAATAGCAAAATTTACAGACAAACATGGCTGCATAAAACCAGTTTCACATATAGGGTGCTTCTCAAGTCTCCTTTTTTAAAGGTCATCTTTATTGCAAAAAAAAGGATACATATTATAAGTGACTTATCAAAATATACATAACAATTTACATTTATGAGAATTTTGCTAAAAGAATTAATAAATTTATAATGAAGTACATCTTTTCTTTACTTTGACTTCTATAAAAGCAAAATACAACATTATTCCACAATAAGGCAAAATCTTTAAATATGGTCTGCTGAGGTTTTGCCAAAATGTTCTGGTGTGTGAGCAATACCAAAAGAGGTGCAAAACAGTTTCTGGGTGGTCTTCACAAAAAGAACAGTTTGTATTGATGTCTCTTTTAAATTTAACCATGTAATAATTATCAGGGTAATATCTGTGAATTATTCTGAACGACACTTCTTTTCACCTTGTTTACTATCAAGTATCTTTTTTCCAGTCAGTGTCATTTACAAATCGATTTGGAATAGAAACAATTTCTTTCTGAAATAAAGCATGAATGTTCTTATTATTTTGAGGAAGTTGGGAAAAACAGATTTTTCCTACAGAATCAGCCACATCGGGGAGGGAAACAGTAGTAGGTAAAGCATGATTGTGCCTGATGGAATGGCGTCAAATACAATTGAAAAACGGAGTCAGAGGAGAGTGTAGAGAACGAAGAAGACACAAGAGGAGTTGTAAATAGGAAAAGGAAGAAAGATAGTGATTCAAGTGATGGCAGCCAGGCAAGAAGAACAGATGAGAGGTTTCAAGTAGGAATGATAGCAGTGACAAGGGATCTTCAAGGACTCGCACAAGGTTGGAAAGTTTGTTGGAGACAAACTCGGAGATGTTTAGTCCATTAAAATAACAAGTAGTGGGATGGTTGTCATCGACTGTGTTTTAAGGCGTCAGAGAGACCAAGTGTTGAAGATCAAAACATATAAAGATTTCAGCTGTTTGAAATGCTTCCCACTCGGGGAAAAAAACAAAAAGAAAGGAGTAATAAGCGGTGTACCATTGTCAGTGAAAGACGAGGACTTTTGGAACATTGAAAATGTTTGTGAGGCGAGAAGACTGACAAGATTCCGCCAAAGAGAAAGGGAGGAAAGTAATTCAGTGTGCCTGACTTTTGTGGGAGATTTGCCTGAGAGGGTCTACCTAGACTACATATGCTATAGGGTGAGGCCTTATGAAAGAGCTCCATTAAGGTGCTTCTGTTGCCAGGAATATGGACATGTAGCAGCAGTATGTAGAGGAGTCAGAAGATATGGGAGATGTGGGAAGGACAACTGTAAAAGATAGGAGTGTGAAGAGAAACAAGAACAAGCTAAATGCATTCACTGTGCAGGAAATCACCATGCGGGGTCTGCTCAATGTCCGGAAAAAATAAAACAAACAGAAGTGAGTAAAATCAGAGCACAGAAGTGAGTAAAATCAGAGCAGAAGAGGGTCTAACATACGCTGAAGCTACCAAGAGACTGGAAAGAAAGAATGAACGAGCAGCAGTACAAGAGGAACAACAGCCGAAAAAGAAGGGAGAGGATCAGAATGTGATATTCATGGTAAAGAAGCAATTCCTCGCATTTATTGCTATGGTGCCTAACTGTGCTGTGGAAATTAAGAGCAAGTCAGAAAGGATCAAGATGTTACTGGATGCAGCAAGGAGATTCCTAGGCATTGCAGACATATCAGGGGAAGAAATAGACACAACTCTGAGGGAAGGATTAACATCATCTCAGACCATTGAGTCTGGGATCATAGAACAGCCAACGGAAGGGGAGAACATTGGGTAGTAACTGTAAATATATTGCACTGGGAGACCATTTCACTCAGTAGGTGGCGGTAATGCAAAACTTTGGACGCCAACCACTGCAAAACCCCGAAGAAGAAGAATGTGAACAACGATTATTGTACAATGGAATGCAAGAAGCTTAATAGCAAATGGTCAGGAGTTTAAGGGATTTATTAAAGATTTGAAAAATAAACCAGAAATCATATGCGTTCAAGAAACATGGCTTAAATCAGAATTAGAGTTTGTTATTAAAGGATATGATAGCATCCGTAGAGATAGAGGGGAGGGTAGTGGAGGAGGATGTATAATATTTATAAAACAAGGAATGCAATATAGAGTTTTAGGGAAAGGAAAAGAGTTGTAATATTTAATAATTGAAGTATGGACTAGAGAAGGAAATATCAAAGTTGTTAACTTTTATAATCCATGTAATATGTTGTCATTAGAGTTGCTGGAGGAACTGGTGATACAGTTAGTAGGGAAGGTGATCTGCTGTGGGGATTTTAGTGCCCATAGCACATTATGGGGTAACTGTTATGATACTAATGGAATGGTGATTGAGGAGGTGATGGAGACGACAAATTTAGTGTGTTTAAATGATGGAAGTGGTACAAGAATTAATATCAGAACTGGTACAGAAACAGCACTAGATCTTACATTAGTGTCAGATTCATTAGCAGGCATTTGCACATGGGAAGTAGTTAGAGGAACGACTGTAGGAAGTGACCATTATCCCATTGTAATAGTAGTAGTTTTGAGTCTAGAGGAATATGAAACAAGAGGATTTCAGAAATGGTCATTCAGTAGTGCTGAATGGGATAAATTTAGGAGTATTAGTGATGAAGAAATTCGAAAAATTGATGAGGCTGCAGAGAAGTCAATAAAGAAGAAGGCAGGTAAGCGCAAAAGTAAGATTGTACCATGGTGGACAAAGGAATGTGAAAGAGCGATAAAATCTCGAAATAAAGCTTTTAAAGCATTAAAAAGGAATCACTGTTTTCAGAATTTTATTGAATATAAAAAGTTACAAGCAAATATAAGGAGAATCATAAAAAGTGCAAAGAAAGAATATTGGAGGAATTTTTGTTGCTCAGTAGGAAGGGAGACAGACATTGGTAAAGTTTGGGGGATGATAAAAAGAATGAATGGGATAAAAAGAGAGTATGGGTACCCAGTCTTAAATGATAGACAAACAATAGCAGTGAGAGATGAGGAGGAGAAAGCAGAGATGCTGGCTAAAACTTCTGTAACAATTCACAGTTCAAATAATATTAGTGAAGAGGAAAAAAAGAGGGAGGGAAACAACAGTACGGGAGAGTGAACAAGAAGAAAATCCTAATGCCCTATTAAACAAACCCTTTACAATGACAGAACTAAAACGCACTCTCCAGAAAACCAAGATGTCAGCACCAGGAAACGATCAGATTTGTTATATAAAGATAAACCAGCTCAGTGAAAATTCAAAGGATGTATTACTAGAACTATATAATAAAGTATGGGAGGATGGGAAACTGCCACAGAGCTGGAAGGAGGCTGTGGTAGTGCCAATACGCAAACCAGGAAAAGACTGTACAAATCCGGGGAATTATAGACCAATCGCTTTAACATCCAACATATGTAAAATAATGGAGAAAATGATAAATGAAAGGTTAACATACTATATGGAAAAGAAAGGATATATAGCCAAATACCAAAGTGGCTTTAGGAAAGGAAGAAATACAATGGATCCAGCTGTATGTTTAGAACATGAAATTAGAAAAGCACAAGTAAGCAGAGAAAGTGTAGTGGCTGTCTTCTTTGACATAGAGAAGGCATACAATATGATGTGGAGAGAAGGATTGTTAATTAGACTGTCTCAATTAGGAATCAAAGGACGAATATATAGATGGATTAAGGACTTTTTACAAGGGAGATTAATACAAGTTAAAATAGGGAAGAGTTATTCAAGAAAATATATTGTTGAGAACGGAGCACCTCAAGGGAGCATAATAAGTCTGTTATTATTCTCCATAATAATTAATGATGTTTTTAGGGAAATAGAGAATGGGATGGGGTTATCACTTTTTGCGGATGACGGGGCAATTTGGAAGAGGGGAATAAATCTGAAATTTATTGTAAAAAAGCTACAGAAAGCTATTATGGAAATAGAGGAGTGGTCATATAATTGGTACTGAGGTAAAACTAAAGTTGTATCATCAAGAATTAGAAAGACTGAAACACTTTAAAATTTTGGGGTTATGGTTTGATGAGGGAATAACATGGGGTGTACATATCCAGAAAGTACTGAACAAATGTAGGAAGGTGTTAAATGTTCTGAGGTGTTTGGTGGGAAGTGACTGGGGGGCTGACAGAACAGCACTGAAGGCAATTTACTGTGGATTAATTAGATCAGTACTGGATTATGGTTGTGTGGTGTATGTATCTGCATCAAGCACATCTCTAAAAAACGTTAGACAACATTCAGTTTCAGGCTTTGAGATTATGCACAGGGGCATTTAAAACAACTCCAACGGCAGCACTACAGGTGGAAATGGAAGAAATGCCACTCGAGTTGAGAAGAATACAGCTATCTCTGAACTATTGGGTTAATTTACAGGGCCATAGTGAAGATCATCCAGCACAAAACACTTCAAAAATCTTGTTGGGAAAAGGAGAGGAGGGAGACAAAAAGCTTTGGGTGGACAGTTATACAAAAAGCAACAGAGTTAGAATTAACTGATTTAAAATTCAATCCAACAGTACCACTGCCAGCAGTACCACCTTGGGTACCAGAAGCGACAGTAGATCTAACACTATTAGAAAAGAAAAACAAGGACAGCGGGTTTATTTTGAAATCACCAGTAAGATGGAAATAAAGAGCATTATTAAACAGAAGCTGAAGGAAAGGTGGCAAAAGCAATGGGAGGAAGAGAGGAAAGGACGGTGGTTTTACATAATTCAGAGGAAAGTGGGAGAAATGAGATGTGCAGGAAGAAACAGGAGAGAAGAGACACTTATATCTAGACTTAGATTTGGGCACACAGGATTAAACAGTACTTTATTCAAAATTGGTAAACATAACACCGGCAGATGTGAATACTGTGAGCAACAAGAGACAATCGAACTACACGCCATTGGGCAAAAATTTCTTTACAAGATGTCTGTCTGATAGTGCTGTAGCTAAATTTAAGGATGCGATTCCATCAGCTCTAAATACATTATCTAGTCACAAAGTAACAGAGGACTCCTATGCTAGTTTCAGTCCCTCCCAAATCGATCATCTTGTGGATAGTGCTGCAGGCTCGCTGTGAATGACACTCGACTCTGTAGCCCCTCTAAAAAAGAAAATACTAAAACAAAGACGGTTAGCTCCATGGTATAATACTGAAACTCACAAATTAAAGCAAATATCACTGAAACTTAGAAACAGCTGTAGAACCAGATACATGTTTAGACTGTTTTGCTTCCCTCAATCTTTACAAACTAACTTCCAATAATTTCTTCATCTAAACCATCAACCTGCCTCTTAGACCCCATCCCGACTAGGCTGCTTAAAGAAGTTTTACCCTTAGTTAGCACTTCTATACTAGATATGATCAATCTATCTCTATCAACAGGCTATGTACCACAGTACTTTAAAGTAGCTGTAATTAAACCTCTTCTGAAAAAGCCCAAACTTGATCCGGATGTTTTAGCCAACTATAGACCTATATCTAACCTTCCATTTCTCTCTAAGGTTCTGGAGAAAGCAGTTGCTAAACAGCTGTGTGACTTTCTACAGCGCAATAGTTTATTTGAGGATTTTCAGTCAGGATTTAGAGCTCATCATAGCACAGAGGCAGCACTGGTGAAAATTACTAACGACCTCCTTATTGCATCAGACAAAGGACTTGTCTCTGTACTGGTTTTATTAGATCTTAGTGCTGCATTTGATACCACTGACCATCACATCCTATTGCAGGGACTGGAACATTATGGTTTAAGTGCTATTTATCAGATCAGTTTCAGTTTGTACATGTTAACGATAGCTGTGTCTCAATTCAGGGACCGCATCCTTCGAAGGCTGCAATTGAAGACCGAATACGTCACAGTCGATGCGACTAGGCTGTCCCATTTCGAAGACTCCTTCAAATGCAGCCGACAAATGAAGCCTTCTTTTCGATATGGACATGCACTGGAGAAGGTTGAGTCCTTTAGGTTTTTGGGAATGGTGTTTGATGCTAGGTTGACATGGGCTGGCCACATTGAGAAAGTTATAGTTAAATGTAAAAAGATATTAAATGTGATGAGGTGTTTGGCAGGAGTGGACTGGGGGGCGAGTAGGAAAGCACTGAAGGGTATATATGATGCACTGATTAAATCAGTAATAGATTGTGGTTGCATAGCATACAGAGATGCAGCTAGAACCACATTGGCCAAGTTGGATGTTGTACAAACACAAGCAGAGAATATGCACTGGAGCGTTTCATACGTCTCCAGCAGTGGCAATGCAGGTAGAAATGGGTGAGATGCCTCTGCAATTAAGAAGGGAACAGCTGGCAGCCAACTATTGGGCAAACCTCCAAGGACAGGGGAGGTCTCACCCCACAAGAGCAGTTATGCAGGTATGCTGGGAGCATGAAAGGGTTATAAATCACAGTTTTGGATGGGTGGGAGATGCAATTGGGAAAGAGATGGGACTTGAGGGAAAGGAATTTTGCCCAACAGTTCCGCTGCCAGTCAGACCACCTTGGCTCCTTTTGCAGACTAGTGTGGACCTAGAGATTTTAAATAGCCACTCAAGGAGTAGAGCGGGGGTGGATGTATGCCAGATATTTTGTGATAGGATGAATGAAAAGTATAGTGACTATTTGGTCATATTCACTGATTGGTCTAAAGACCCTGAGTCTGGACAAGCTGGATCTGCTTTCAGTGTACCAAAGATGGGAGTAAAGATGCAGAAGAGACTCTCTGAGAATTTATCAGTATTCACCGTGGAGTTGGTGGCTGTTTGGTTGGCATTGCAGTGGGTAGAGGAAGTTAAACCAGCAAAAGTTGTCATATGCTCAGACTCTAGGGCAGAAGAGTATGCAATCGTTTAAGTCACAAGCAAGACAGGACATAGTATATGAAGTACTGGAACTTTACTCACAGATATGTCAGATGGGGGTAAGGGTGACCACCTCTTCACCGGGGCAAAATTTTCTGTCAGCGTGGCTTGGAGGTAATAATAGCCTTTTTGTAATGTCTGCATTTAATCATCGTGTACTTAAAGTTACAGTTAAATGAGCCCCCATCCTATTCAAAGCCTTTAGCAATAAGAAAACCAGTAGATGGGGCAGCCATTTGTTGTGTTTTTGTGTCTCTGTCCTGTCACCTTTTCCAGTCTTCACAAAATTACCATTTCTTTTGTTTCTCTGTGATTAGGACAATTTTGGAGAAAATGGGCCTGTGGGGGAAGATGACTTCCCTCCAAGCAAATAAAAAGTGGCACAATTAAAAAAAAAAAAAATTCAAAGTATGTATGTATGATTTGAAACTTAATTTTTGTATAAATTGTTCACTGTGTAGCATATGGGGAACTATAAACTGCATTCATCTTACAACCCTGTTTTAATATAATACATACATTTACCTTGTACATTGTATATTCATTTAATTCATTTTAGTCATGCACGTTAATAAACACAGTTGCTGAAATTTGTTTTTCTGCTGTTGTTATTTACCATGATTGATTTCCTGTGCCTTAGGAGTGCAAGTGTCCAGTGTCAGGAGAGGGTGTAGGTGGGAAGCCCACTGCTGCAACTTGGCCCTGGTTTGTCCTCATGGATGAGGTGTTGGGACAGAAGCATTCCACCACCCCACCTGTCGTAATTGCCTCTATACCTGAGGACACACCAGGGCCAAGTGCTGCAGTGGGTGACCAGGAGGAGGAAGAGGAGGAGGAGGAGAGCCAGCCGAGAAAGAGAAAGAGGTCCCTCTTTCAGAGGATGAGCTGCTTCAGCTACTGAAGGAAGACATGAGGTTGCAGAGAGAGGCAGAGGAGAGGAGAGCACAGGAGAGCAGAGAGAGGATGGACAGGCTGTTCTCTCTACTAGAGAGACTTGCCGAAAAATATAATATAAATAATTAAATAATAATATATAATATTTATTAATTTCATTTCATTTCATTTATTTATTTAAGGACAGTGCACATTAATCAACATTTCTGTAAATGTGCCAGTGTCAGCCAGCAGGCTAATTTTCAACTGTAGTCCATTGGCAAGATGTTATACTAGGCACATAATGGCGATTATCATTTCAAATAAAATATTTGTGGTCTTTATAACTAATAGTATTTACAGCATATTTACAACATTTATTCTGAGCAGGGAGACCCTGGTGATGCTGCTTGACCTGGATGGGCTGCCACAATAAAGACCCTGGTGTATTCTGTCAGCAGGACATCATCTGGGGTGGTCTGGGGTGGACACAGAGTGTGTCGCAGGTGTGGATGCATCTCTCCAATGTCCACCGCATCTTCCATCCATCAGTGGGTTTGCAGGGCTGGTTCAATCGACGGCTGCCATTTCACTAAGATGTTTTAGTAAGAGGCAAGAATAATAAGCTGTGCACACAAAATACTAATTCACAATCTTATTTAGACAAAATAAATCTCTACAAAATATTTCAACAGGCAAAATTGTTAAGATATGAATAGGAATTTACCGATCTTTTACTTGCCTGTTAAAAATATTGGTGGTCAGGGGGCACCTCCTCCAGGGCAGACACCTCTGCAGACAGCTGGTCACGCCAGGGAGCACCACTGACTGTCTCCAAACCGTTCTCTCCCACATCCTCCTCAGGCTCATCCTCTGGGGCCACAATGTCACCAGCCCCAAGGCAGATGTTGTGGAGGATGGCACATGCTGTTATGACCTGAAATGGTTAAAAATATATTTCAGTCTAAAAAAAAAATTTTATGGTTTTTGTTGAATCAGTCTGTTGATTTACTCATTAGTATAATTTAAATAAATACTCACGTGAGGTACAAAGGTGTGGTGCACCTCCAACGCTTGCAGGAAGATGGCCCGGAACCTGGTCTTCATCATCCCAAAAGCACGCTCTATAATGGAGCGTGCCCTGGAGTGATGGCTGTTGAAGCGCTGGGTTCCCACACCTTGTATTGGCCTCTTGTAGGGAGTGATGAAGGGGGAGTGGGTGTTGGAGGCACGGGTACCCTCCGTCTGCAAGGATGAAATGCCCTGGAGGAGGGTAGAGTGAATTCCTGTACAGTGGGCTGTAGCGGAGCACTCTGGAGTCGTGGACCGACCCAGGCCAGCCCACGTAGGTGTCAATGAAGCGGCCCTGATGGTCACACACAGCCTGCAGGATGATGGATGGAAACAGTTTCCTGTTTCTGTAGCACTGACCATCAGGGCCGCTCGGTGGCTTGACGCAGACATGGCAGCCGTCGATTGTTCCAGCTGCTTTAAAAAAGGCTCTGTGTCTTGCCAGCCTTGCAAACCCACGGGATATCGGTTGTAACTCATCCTGGGTCTTCGGTAGGTGGATGACCTTGTGGCGAATGGCCACCACCTCCTCAGTGACTCTGTGGACGATGCGGTGGACAGTGGATCGAGGCATTGCAAACACTCTGGAGACCACCCTGCATGATGCCCCGCTTGCCAGCAAGAAGAGAAACACCAGGGTGTCAATCGTGGCACCCCATCCGTGTCTCCGTTCCTGGTTTAGGAGGCCCGGTAGCACTCCCAGGGCCTCCCTGCTTAACCGGAAATCCGGCCGTGTGTCCTGCTGGCTAAAAAACCTGTCCAGCACAGGCACAATCAGATTTATCCTGCAGTACAGGGGCTGGGGCTGGTGTAGAGATACAAGGAGAAGAACAACTGTTATGAAGTGTAGAGAGCTTAGTTAGATAAGGCTTGTATATCTTTCTATTCAACTTGCTTTAGCTGATCAATGACAAAAACACTGTCAATATTTATATAGCTTTTCTTTAAATATTAAATTATGTTGTTAAAGTGAAATGGTAGTAGGAATAAACTACATTAACTGTGGTTAACATCACTGTTAGCTTTAGGAAGCCTATAGTGCCTAAATACATATAAAATGTAATGTTTCTTAGTTACTTTCTCCCGTATTTACCTCTCTCAGCCTAAGATACATTATGCAGCGGTGCCGGCGGTGAAGTACCTCTAGTTCCTCTATTAAGAGGTAAAATATCAAAATTAAAATATTCGTCTCCATGCCGGTGGACCACAGCTGTGAAGGTTGCTGTGAGAAGATGGATGGTTTGAAAGAGGTGTCAAGGAAGCATCTACACCAGGGTTGAGAAGCCGTCACTGAACAGGGGAGGGGGTCTACGCCACCACTTATCCCCCACTTACAATGCTGTCCTTTCATCACTTCCCAGGAAACTCAACAAACGTAACCTATTGGCCTCAGGTGAAGATACCAACGATGGTCGTTCAGTCTTGGCCTCGGGTAGTCCTAACGACTGTAACGTCGTCACAGCAACAAGGAACACTAACGAACCAGCGGTATCGATGACCCGGGATAACGACCCCACTGAGGTTAAATAGCTGAGTTTCCCTGCCAGTCAGTCAGAACTGAAGAAGTCCTTTGGATGAGGGACGAAACGTCTTCCAGTATCTTCAACCAAGTCCAGTTGCCCTTGATTTTAACCTTCTGCTACAATTATTGTTACTAGTCCTATTGTTATTATTGTTATTATAATCATTAACATTACAATTATTATCATTAACACTACTATAAATATCTGTACCATTTTTCATTTAGTCTATAGCAACATCACCTTTACTGTCTGTACCTCTGTGTGTACATTGTGTAGGCTGCCTCCCTCCCCTCTCTCCTTCCATCCCTCTCTCTTTCTCTCTGTTCCTCTCCTGCTCTCTCTCTCTCGCCCTCTCTCTCCTTCACCCCCAACCGGTCGAGGCAGATGGCCTCCCACCCTGAGCCATGGTTCTGCTCGAGGTTTCTGCCTCTTAAAGGAAGTTTTTCCTTGCCTCTGTCGCCTAGTGCTGCTCTTGGTGGGAACTGTTGGGCTTCTGTAAATATCATCACAGAGTACGGTCTAGACCTGCTCTTTTATGAAAAGCGCTGTGAGATAACTGTTGATGTGATTTGGCGCTATATAAATAAAATTGAATTGAATTGTCGCCCCGCTCCATTAAATAGCTGGTCCACCAGCAGAATCTGATTGAGTACCAAACCCTCAAAAAAGAGTGACTTGTTTTTATATAATATATCTCTGTTATTCCAAATTAGATACCTCTGAGGTGAGAAATTATGCTTATAAATGAGAGACCATGCTAAAAAGACTTGCTTGTGAAAAGTGGACAGTTTAACAGGTTTGTCCACATTGTAGTTACAGTTTAGAATAAAGCCCAGACCACCAAAGCGAGAGAATATATAGTGGGGAATAAAGTTCCAAATCGAGACAGGGTTTTTAAGAAAATGCTTAGCCCAATTAATCTTAAAAGTATTATGTAGAGTATTTAAGTCTAAAAAGTTGAGACCACCAAATTCATAATTATTCATAACAACACGTTTTTTGATATAATTGGCACAATTCTTCCAGATGAAGTCAAAAAGCATTCTATCACTATCTTTACAAATTTTACTGTCCAGGTGCAAAGAGAGAGCTTCGTCTGTAAGCCGGGATATCCCTTCAGCCTTTGTAAGTAAGACTCTGCCTTTTAGATAAGTCCCTTTTCAACCACTTTTTTTTTTAATGATTGGACATCTCATTTTCTGATCTTTAGAGATAATAATACCTAAGTACGTAACTTCTTCCTTGATTGGAATGTTGCAAATAGTTTGTTTATTACAATCTTTTAGAGGCCTTTGAAAACTGCTTAATTACTTGAATGGCGACAGGTATGTGGCTTACCTTTTTTTTAAAGATTGTGGTATCGACGCAAGCTGACTGATGATAATATCCCTACCCACAATAGAAATTCCTTGTACTGTTACCGACATGAGTAACAGTACAAGACAGATAAGGGGAAATCGGGCATCCCTGACGAATTCCCTGTTTCAGATTAAATCTAGGAGAAGTTCCATTTTTCAGTTTGATAGAGCTATTCCCAGCTTCTCAAGTCTCTTAACTGGGCCAGCCTGGCCGTACATCTGATCCAACAGCTCCTCAGAGATCGCGCCTCGATTCTCGGAACGCAAAGAAGAGCTTTGGGACAGCCTGTAGGATGGCAGAGCGGAACAGGGAGCGAGGAAACGACAAATAAGAGATTTGAGAAGCACCCATAGGCCTACTTATGCTCGAAGATCGAGGAGGCTTGCTGGAGGAGCTATAAGCGAGGATACACTGGTGTATCCTTTGCGGTAGTCTTTTCAGGCGCTGTGATGTTTAAAGGAGGCATGACGTGCAGCTGGATCAACCCATGGCCATGACTCTACAGCAGCCCAGGCCACATCCGGCCCCAAAGCAACCTCCATGTGGCTCAGCTCATAATCTAATATATATGACAACCACAGTAAACTACATGTATGGTGTATAGACGTGGCTAAAGAATGATCTATATCGTTTCCTTATCATCTTTGTTGAGGATCACGTACGCTGTACCGATCACCGCCAATCAAGGCTCAACACGTCCAACCTGCAGACTCTCCGCTTCTGTGTGTCTGCAGAGCGCCTCCACACACACACACACACACACATGCACGCACACGGCGCGAAGATCAGTGGACTTTACCAACGTTGACAACAACTACACTCGTTAAGTAGGCTACATGGTGCAATAAAAACTTAGCGAGTAAAAAGCCAATACCTTGTTTTGGTTTTACACAAACAGAACGGTAGTTCAGGCTAAAGTGAAAGCTGTCTGTCTTTAGTAACTGTTTAGTTTGCCAGTACATTAAAATATGGCACATTAGAAACTCAATCAAACTTTCCGCCCTTCACTGTTTGTGTAGCGCCTCATAAAGCGCTGTTCTAACCGCATTCCATAATGTCATTTCACTTTGACATCACTGATGTTGATTTTGTTGAATGTGGGGCGAATTCAATCTCCAAACGTTTTGCACTAGTTTGCAGCGTTTTCGGAATGAATGACATGTTTCCTTGGAACGTTGTAGAACGTGCCACAACGGGCTTCGAGGTATGTTTTCTCCCATTTAGTGGGCGTGTCACAGGTGTTACCTAATCGGCTGCGACAAGTTTGTAAACACAACGGTGTTAAAAAGGCAGGAAAATGGAGTGCGCTTGTGTACACAATAAGGTGTTCGAGGCTGTAGTTTGTGCGTTTTATTAGCACTTCTCTATCCTTTTACTCATAAATTTTCGTACACAAAGTGCTGTCCATACTGCTGTCTGTGGACGTGTTGCTACAGTGTAGTATGAGTAAATTCTGCATGGCTAACCTGGCTAATTGTAAACAATGGCTGGCTGAGCAAGGTTTTCAGAATTTTTGTAATTGGAACGCCGTCAACTCAGATGCAACGTCATTCCCAGATCCGACCTCCGACTTCCGAGGTAAATGGAATGCACCAACAGTCCAGGTTCATACAGTGAAATTGTTTGGAGTAAAGCAACCGCCCTCCAGATAAATCCTCAGCTCTGAAGGAGCCTTAATAAAGGCAGGGATCAAGGTGGATGTCCTCCTGAGTAAATGTAATGTATTATTTATATACAGTTATTGGGATTCATGTTGATAAGTGAGAGCAAGCATTCAACTATTTGGTGACTGATAGGCTACCGTATACGCCTTTTTGCAACCTTGGTAATGAAGTAATATATTCCACCGTGTTGTCCACCTTTAGACGGCCTGCATTACAACAACATGGGGCGCAGTGTCAAAGATGCACTTTTTGTAGTCCATCTTCAGAACATTGTAGTTTCATCATGGCAGGTCACGTTAGTAACATCCATCGTTGCATAATTACGTCACCTAGATAAGAGCTGTCGGATTTTCCTAGAGCCACTGTTGTCTTTTCCTAAGTCTTTATGACCTCATGAAGTTTTCCATCAAGATCAAGGAAAAGTGGTAAGGAAAGGACTTTTGGACCGCAGTCAAGAGGGTTGTATCCAAGACGTATAATGATGTATAATCACAGCAGCAGAAACGTTTAAATTTCACACACAGATTATGTATTATTTTTTATTTAATTTTAATTTTGTTTATATCTTAACCTCTGGTCTATGTATGCACTCTGTCTTTGTTTTGGAATTGTAATAAGGAACTGAAAATGAAAAAAACTCTCCATAATTTCCAGTACTTATAAACCCCTATTTACATGTGCGAAAAGGAGTAGGAAGAAGTAAAACTTGTGTACTCCTACCCCTTTATACCCTTACTACCATATTTATATTTTTATTTATAAATAGCTACAAAATAATAGGTCTACAGAGATAATAAATCTATAATTAAAATTATATTCACATACATATTTTACACAAAAACATTTGTACACATTCTTCAAATTATTCAATATAACCCCAAGTGATTATTAGCACTGTATTTCTCTGTACCTCTGAAATATAATTTCTTTTAACATCTTTTTAAAATGGAATATGTTTTAACATTGCTTTAATTCACTTTTTAGTTTATTCTACAATTTAACGCCACCAACAGATAAACACAAACTTTTCTTAGTAGTTCGAAAACTGGGGGTCTTCAAATATCACTTTCCCCTTAAGTCATAGACCCCCTCTCTTTCAGAAAACTTTTATATTGCCAGGCAATAAATTGCTTCTAGCCTTGAACAAAATCACTGCAGTTCAGCTAGATCAAGTACTTTTAATGCTTTAGAGTTTTTCTAGAATTTTTGAGAATTGTGGCAGTAGAGACAGGCCTGTAATTTGTGAAGTAGTGTTTATCTCCAGTTTTGTATGGAGGTATGACTTTTGCTGTATGACTTTTGCTGTTTTCATTTTTGTTGGAAATTTACCAGTTTGGAATGGCAAATTAAAGATATGAGTTAATGGTTTTAATATCCCCTCAATTACATTTTTTACTATCTTCATATCTATCTCATAACTATCTTCATATTTTGTTAAAATGCAAAACTAAAGCATCCACTGATTAGATGCATTTTTTAACAATGTCTATTTGTTTTTCTTCTACTGCTTTAAGAAACATTGAACTTTGATTTCTTTCAATAAGATTTTCATATCTATTTTCGATTATCTGCGGAATAGAAATTTTTCCAGCTAAATCTGGTCCTACATTTGCAAAATATTTATTAAAATTATTGACAACGTCCTTCATGTTATTAATGTTCTTTTCATTACCAGTTAAATACTGGTGCATAATTAGTCGCATGCCCTTCGTTATAATACTGTTTAGTATATTCCATGTACCCTTCATATTATTTTTATTATTATCTAATAGTTTACTATAGTATAGTGAAGCACACTCTTCTCTTTCACATTTTTCTGGTGAGTCGGTTGAATGATGTTTAAATGTTGCTATCATTCACTTATTTTGCAGTTCACTAAAACCGAGCAGCTTCTGATCTGTGCCCAAACCTGCTGGAGGTGAAGAAAAGCCACATTATTTCCATTTACAAGGGCAAAGATGTTTATAGTATAGTTGTGCCATTCCCAGAAAAAATACTTCCTTTCGCTATGTTAGAAACATGAAGTGCAGCGTCACACACTGCTGACGTGTGTAAAACACATGACTTCTATGTAAGCCCACACTGTCTCTTGATGTACAGCCTATGTGCATTGTCATGTTGGAATGTGTACCAACAATGACATGTCCACTGCAATAGCAATTTTATTTCATTTACTCCCCAGATCGGAACATCCCAGCTACTGCAACCTGACTTCATGACATGACAGTGTGAGCTATGGGCATCAACCCTGATTTTAAAGTATTTAACCTGTCTTTGAATCCTAAACTCATGAAGCAAAGATTAGGTTATCTGTTGCTTGACCACACCTTATAGCATATCTACATTGTATCTGCTTAGAGTTAATAATATTGGCTGGCCAAACTGATAGTTTCATTGGAATGCTCAGTAGTTCATCCACTAATTAGCAACCCTTCTAGTATCACAAATTTTATATTATATTCCATGTATGAATCATGTCCCTTTACCCATCTTACCGAAGAAAAAGAAAAGGTTATAATATGAAGTTGTGTGTGAGTGTAAGGTCGCCTTCAGACTGAATTTAGGTCCGTTTGAATATATATTGAATGAGGGCAGTCTGGCAGGCACACCAATGCAGCCCTCTACGTTGTTTTAATGCATGGCTGTTTTCTGTCTGCTTGCAGGCCAAGAGGGCAGGCAAGTCATCATAATATTAGCAGATATGAATGAAATGAACAAACAAATCTGTTGGCTGAGTTGTGGTATAGCTTGTTTATTAATGGTATATTTTTGCATAGGGAAACATACTCATTTCCAGTAATGAATCCATCAGCATTTACTGATAGCAATGGCTATATATGGTTATAATGACATATTATCAAAGATGTTAATATCCCCCACAGCAGATGAATAACACTAGGTCAGAAACACTGGTTCAGACAGCTGTCAATCAAACTACGATACATTCAAACAACAACAGAAAGTCCAACCTTGAACAGACAACTGTCAGTCCATGACTTCAATTTAGATGGCTATAAGAAAACATATATATGCTGCAGTGTTCCTGTCCCTGTTTAAATGCAGTGTTAGAGGAACAGTTTACATCATGAAATAAAGGTTGATTATTGACATTTGCTTGAGCTGAACAACATCTAAAGGAAAAAGTACGCTCTTGTTAAAGCTGCTACAAACTGTATCCAGTCCAGAGCAGCAGCCTTTTCCACAGTGACCATCTCAGGCCAGAGTTAGCCCACCGGCGCTCTCAGGCTGGAACATAGATTTGGCATTATTGCTGGTTTCTGATTGGCTGTCAGGTGTCAATTAAAATCATATATTAAGACAAGTTAATTAGTCAAATCAGACAACAAAACTCTGGTATAGTTAACTGGTCTATTGGTAACCATAGCAATAGTACTCATGATGGTTTTCTCAAATGTGTTTCCGGTATGTTAATGCACTCTGAGGTCACAAAATAGAAAAGAATAGACTCAGGTCAGAGGGGGACCTTATCATGTCTCATCAATTGCCAAAGATTTTGGGTGGTTATTCTGTAGCTAAATGAACAATACAATGGCCTGATGTACAGTTAATGTGGTCTGCGCAGATTGTAGTCATGCAATAACTGATGAAAGCTGAACATGCCTATGCTCTCTCTGATGTAAGGGATATATATCTTAAAGCAAGCAAAGCAGTCATTTACTATTAATATTTGAAAAGTTCTGAGAAAAAATCCTTAAAATATGAGACTGCATTAAAATTTTCTCTGAGAAACAACTTTCATTCATTACAAACTTTCTTCAGCACATGGAGTAAACTGTGTGCAGAAGCAATGTACCCGCAGATACAGAAAGGAATCAATATGGCATCACTGTCAGAAAAACTTGTAGCTCTATAAAATCTGATTTTCAGAAACAGAATTCAGAATTACAGAAACTGTTTCGAATGGCCATTTAAAAAAAACATTTGCATTGTGTGCAAGTATGAAACAGATAAAAGAAACACATTTAAGTTTAAGTAAATGGTTTTCAGGCAACAGCAGCAGTAGGGTAGAGTGTTGAATAACATGTACAGTTTATAGAAAAGAGCCCTCTATGAAAAGATAAGATATCCAACAGTCCCTTTGTTCCTCACACAGCAGTCAGCTTAACAGGAATCACTAGCAGCAGAACTACTATTCACTTAGTTATTACCGCCTACAATACATAACCTGCCGACCACAATCATAAAGCAGTTCTGATATGATGCATCTTAATTTATTCTCTACTAACAGTGCTAACAGTGATCAGAACAGCAATTGGTTTGCACCACAGAGTAAAGAAAAATCTAGAGGGAACACCAAAACAACATCGTAGTCAACAAATTTCAGATCTTAGACAATGCACTTTTATAGAAAGTGGCTGTCAGCTCTACAGTTAATTTTTCAACCTACCATCAGGGCGAAACTAGAATCCTGTCAGATTGGCAGCTTCAGCAACTCTGTTTTTTTAACTGTCAAGTTGAACCAGTGGTTACTTTATTAACATTGGGGATTCTGACAACTGCAAAACTGTAAGTGGTTTCCAAATATTATGGAAGAAATTAGGAAGTACTAATTAATGCATACTTAGAAGTGCAGGACCTTTACCTTCAAGCCCTTGTCAAACTAGTTCACACAATGCTGATTAAGCCTATCACTGCCAGAAGGGGGAGACAAAGGTCCCGCACTGCAGGTTTAACTAATAGCACCCCAGTAAATCAAGAATTGTAAAGTAGAATAAATTTATACCAGATCTGTAAATGAACCAGTATGCAATGATTTATTCAGTTCCTGTTTAGTTCCAGTTATTAAGTTCCTGAATATCTCATGCTGAAGCAATGCTGGATCAAAGGCTAAACAGCACATAATCATTGACTAAATACTGTATCTTTATTATGTAAATATTAGTCTCTATGTGTCTCAGGTTATGTAGCACATTATACTCAGTTGTCACTTTGCATACATTATTGTGTCCTTGTTAATATGATATGTTGAATTACGTGTTAATGTAAATGTGCACTGAACATAATGCAACGGACCCATAGTACCGTAAGCACAGGCCATTTCCTTCAAAACAGCATTCACAGCTAACATCTCTCTTGTCTAATGCTGTGGACTGAAAGCAATTTAACATAACAACATTAATTAAAGGAGGGACTGGGTTGTTTAAGTCATGATCTAATGGCGCCTTCTCCATTAAAAAAAACATACAAAAATAGTGGTAATTAATGGTGGATTAGCAATCAAGTAAGGATGCATTTGAAGTAACAACTAAGTATAATGCAGCAATATATTACACTATATTAATCAATGACTACAGTAATTAATGTGTGTAATAGTGCAATGATCAGTTATATGTTATGTCTCATTTAGTAAATGATTTACAGTTAATCAGCAACATACCTTTTTCACAGTAAATATTTTGACTTTTTATAGTAGGAAAATCACAGGTGTTATTAACATAATTAACAATGGCCCAGTAAACCATGAGAGCGTGTGCAAGGACAGTGAGCCAGCATGCAAAATGCAGGACCCTGAAACTTAAGCAGCCAAACGGATTTCAGCCATCATTCATTTTATTACCTACACCTGTGCTTTTCCAACTGTGACGTGGAAATTATCATTAACACACTGGATCACTACTGCTATTGTTTCAACACTTTTCAGGAAATACTTGGTAGCTAATCATCTATTAGCATTAAGTTGCTAATGGGTTCCCTATTCCCTCTTTGGTAAGTCTTCAAATGTTCACTGCCTTGCTGTAAATGCTTTGCCATACTTTTTGCCTGATTTAGAATGGACAGCCTTTTTCCAGTGCTACTCTGTAAGGAGGTGAAAACAGGACACAGCTGCAGTCCCTGAACATAATCCAACCTAAAATAAAGAACCATGAGTCTCTCAGTGTTTCCTCTAGGTTTTCTTCAACTCTTTGGGTTGTTTTATGGCTTGTCACCTCAGGACCTGGACAGCCCATCCTGCCTATACAGGGATGGTAATGTTATCAACACTGAGCATCACCCCTAGGCTAAAGGGTCTCACATGGCCTTGGACACATATTGCAAACCACAGCATACAAAAGAACTTAAATTAAATTAGCAGTAAAATCATAGGCACTGCTTGTTTTTTTGGTTGGTGTTTTTTTTTTTCAGTTGTCATGCTGTTGACCTGCTGGTTTATTTGAATAGAGCAGAGAAAGTAATGAGTTTGCAAGCACTTTTTTCTTGAGGAGAGGACAATGTTTGCGTGACAGCTGATCTGATGTGTATTGTTATCAGTTCAATTTTATTTATATAGCGCCAGTTCATAACAAAAGAGATTTCACTGCACTTTTTTTAGAGCAGGTCTAGACGTACTCTTTGTAATATTATTTACAGAGACCCAACAATTGTTTTCTCTCCAAGTTCAATTTCATGACAAACACATTATCCTCACCTCATTAAAAATTTTGACTTGAAGGTGGGGAATTTCCAGATTGATTGTTAATAACTGGACTTTTCTACACAACGTCCCTTCTCACAAGAATCAGAAGTATCCACTTTGATTGGCAACTGTGATATGAATAGTTACTGAGAGCAGCATGGTATTTTACCTTGTTTAAGAGGTTTGACATAGAGGCCTGGGCATAATTTATGTCTTATTGCATGTAGCTGACACACCTTTAGAACACAGTGGATTAGTCTTCCACTCAGTTGGCGGTGTTCGGTAGGGAAGCTATTTGGCTTTCTTTTGTAGTTTCTGTTGTCAAACTGACAGTGATAGAGAAAAGTAGAAAGGAATAGAAATGAAGAGGTATCACTTCATAACCTGCTTCAACACAGAATCAAATCTCTTCTGACATACATCCAAATAATGACAAACTCTGAAAATGCACTGCTTTTAAGCTATCTGCCTTTAAATAGTGCACACATCATGTCTACAAGTTAAGGTTTAGAATTTAAATCAGTTTTTATCTTGGCTAGAAGCACAGCTTTCTGGTAGACAATATGAAGCCGTAATAAGATTCCCAAAGTATGATGTGCACAGTGATTTTGGTCATCAGCTGGAGAAGACACAATAATCACAAAGCCACTACAGTTTTCTGTAATACAATACATCAGCCCTACAATATATACAACCTTTGTACATCTTACAGCATTCATTTATTTTAGCTGTAGAAGAGAGGTGATTTAAATGTATAGAACATTTTGACTGAAGTTTTTGGTTTAGTATTGACTTGTGCAGTGTTATATTAAACTGGTTTTGGTTTTATTGTGTCCACAAACTAAGACTTTAGTTCTGTCCAGCTTTATTTTTCTGTCTGTGGGCCCAGATGTTCTCCCTTTAATCCCTGTAGTGCATTTGCTAATAGGCAACCAGTACACACGTCACACACACCTCACAACTGAGTGAACCACAGTCAGTCCTATCATGGGTTAATACTATGCTGTCTTAGATCACCATGGTCATACTGTTTGACATTATTATGATTGATTGAAAAAGGGAGTACAAACATGAAATTGTAATTACAACTTGGTCTGGTATCTGTGAAAGTAGCCAATCGCTTTCAAGTTGAACAATCACAGTACTAAAATCAACTTCACCCCAAGCTGCTGTTACTCTTCAGTAGACAAATTTTGAATTATCTCCGACCAATTGAACTGATTTCCATCAGATGTTTCAGTAGCAATAGTACCATCTTGTGGCCATTTATAAAACACTTAACTTAAATTCCTAACGAGAGGCGTTCATGTGTGTTGCTAATATTCAAGACCCGGGACCTGAATTAGCCAGGTCTGGTAGTGTCCTGCTGTACTGCTGCAGGTCTCAGGTCTGTGTGTCAATATGTCTAATACCTGAGGGATCCAAGCAGATTCTCTATCAACTCTGATCAGATGCTGTATCATTGTTATTGCAGGAGAAAATGTTTTTTAAGCAGAGTACAAACTGTAAAGTGCAGAAACATACCATGTATTACTTTTTTTATTTGTTGGAGCATCATCATCATCATTCTGCCAGTGTTACTGTTCTCCCTCTGGGTCCACCACAATTTGGATCAAATGTTTGGGTATCGGACGGGTCTGACTGTCCATTTTGGATCATATATAAAACTGGAATGGTGAACACTTCTGCTCCAACCTTCCTGAACTGTGAATGTTGTGTTAAGACAAATCTATTAGTTTAGTCTATGTCCATTTCTGACTAAACAAATATTCTTCTGCTATTTTAAATGTTTGGTAAAACTTTTCTTACCATTTAACTGGTCATATTAAAAGTGTGTAATTTTGCATAATTCATCCCATACAAAGCCCACATATTTCAGGACAAGATTTGGGTATTCTAAAACTGTTGCTGGCAACTGCTGATTCAGTGAGTGATCAGTGTGCAGTGTGCAGCCTTAGCGGAGGTATGCACTCTTAGGGTGCATTCCAATTCACACTAACTTAACTTGACTTCACTGCCATTTTCACCCATCACCATTCATCATCCCTCACATGACTAAACTATACTACCAGCCAACCCACAATTTTTTGCATTTCATGGGTCCCTTACTCTGTGGCACCATCTTAGGAGGGCCAAACTAAAACGCACGAGACTTACACATTCTATGCATCCCTTTAATAACTGAATCCATGTTGTACATATTTTCATACACACTCCTGTGTTTAAAACTACAATTCTACAAGCAATATAACTATAACAACTCAAGAAATAACTAAAAAGTTGAGTAAGAATAGTGTTAAGTGCATGCATTCATATAAAACTCAAACTCATCTACAGCCTTTTGTTGTATCTTGTCACATGATTAGTCATGTGGTCAGTGTCATTATACAGGCAAATGGACGGAGTACTATTGGCCAATCATAGAACTGCAGAGCCTTGGAGCCCAAACCAAAGCATGTTTAACATGTTTCCATTAGATGGGATTGAGTGGCTTGGCCACATTGGCTAAATGCCTGACAAATTATTCAAATTTTTATATAGTATAAGACCTTCCCTGCAATAAATACTATCAAATGTGATTGCATGTATTTAATAATTAATCTCAAAACAGGATGTAGACAAAGCAAAGTCCCATTTTCAGATCCAAGGTAGCCATACTTTAAGAATACCCTAAAATAACGTTTAACACACGTCAAATTTTCAACACTGTGTGAGTGCTGTGTCACACACAGTCAGTGGGTTCATTCTGTGTCAAATCAGATAGTTTTATATTTACATCTTAAATTTTGATCAAACCATGAAAAATCTTGTTACATTTAACCATGAAGACAACATGGAAGGAACTTTTAATTTCACACACAAAATGCCAACATATAGACCCCATTTCAAACTCACTTTCATGGTCCTAGAAATGAGTTCACATGGCCTTTTTGCCATCTTGCAAAAGCAACAATTTGCAAACTTGGCTTGCCATATATCAGTTTCTGTTTATGCTGAAGCCCCTGAAATTTTTAGTATAACAACAATCAAATACTGTATTATCAGCCTGAAGTATGAAATAGCCATATGTTTATACAATGCATCCAGTGTTCACAGCGCTTCACTGTTGCCACATTTTCTTATGTTACAGCGTTATTCCAAAATGAAAGAAATCCATTATTTTCCTAAAAATTCTACTAACAATACCCCATAATGACAACATGAAAGAAGTTTGTTTGAAATCTTTGCAAATGTATTAAAAAATAAATTACATAATACACAGCATCCTGTTTCCACTGTTCATCCTTGAGATGTTTCTACAACTTGATTGGAGTCCACCTGTGGTAAATTCAGTTGATTGGACATGACTTGGAAAGGCACACCCCTGTCTATAGAAGGTCCCACAGTTAACAGCACAAACCAAGCCATGACGTCCAAGGAATTGTCTGTAGACCTCCAAGACAGGATTGTATCGCGGCACAGATCTGGGAAAGGGTACAGAACATTTCTGCAGCATTGAATGTCCCACTGAACACCGTGGCCTTCGTCTTAAAAGAACGGGAGAAACTGCCCCAAACTAGGAATGCCAAGCTTGTAGCATCATACTCAAAAAGACTTGAGGCTATAATTGGTGTCATAGGTGCTTGAACAAAGTATTGAGCAGTGCTGATTGTGCTTTTTTGTTTTCTATTTTTAATAAATTTGCAAACATTTCAAACAAACTTCTTTGAAGTTGTCATTATGGGGTATTGTTAGTAGAATTTTTAGGAAAATAATGGATTTCTTTCATTTTGGAATAAGGCTGTAACGTGACAAAATGTGGAAAAAGTGAAGCGCTGTGAACAATTTCTGGATGCACTGTACTTTGGGAAACATCCGACGACTTTCAGAGGAAGTCGTCCTTTAATTAGTTGGCAACTGCTTTCTCACCTCATCGTGGAACCCCCTAACCCTAACCCCTAACCCTAACCCCTTTCCTGAAGATACTGAACCCTAAAAATGGCCTATGACTTTTTTTTACGGGACTTACTTTTGGTCTTAAACAACATATACGTAAAGTTTGAACACAATCTAAAATGATTTGACCCAGAATGACCCAATGTCAATTTACTTAAGTCCACACACACCTATAAGCCAACACTATTAACAGCAGAGCCACTGAACCAGATCAGTTTTCATAACCCCTATGTATGATCACAAACAAGTATATTTTCCAAAATATCATACTGCTCCTTTCACACTGTAAAAATTTGCTGTGCCTTTAGTTGAAAAGTAGTAGTGAATTTACCTCTGCTGAAGCTAATGAACGCTTTCATTGAGCTAGTATCTCAGCTGGCAGTTAATACACTGCCATTGTTTAACCTAAAACTGTGTACCTGCTACACTGCTAAATGCCAAGCAATCAAACATGCAGCTTTTTTTAAGTGCTTCAAGCTGTACCATGAAAAGTATGATCACGTTCACATAATGCATTATTCTTTAACTAAAGGCAAGGCACATAATGTGTTTTATGAAATATCGTGCAAAATAGAAGTTTAACAACAGGGCTATTATTAAATTTAAAGAAACAGACAGCCCTTCCATCCACTGCTTTCTGATGTAGTACAGAGTACAGACAGGGGAAGGCGAGGAAGAGGAAGAGCAGGATAGAGAGGAAGAGGTATCATCTTTGAGCCATGCATTCATTAGGTCAGCACAGCGACCAGAACAGCACCATGCAGTATACATCAGCTTTAAGCTAACTTTAACCAAACCTTAAACCTAGCCCAACCAAAACCTAACTCAAATCAGCACCTTCAGTACAAAATCTGAACCCCTAATAGGCACTGGCTGCTGTCAACTTTAACCCCAAACCCTGGGAAAGGAAAAGATACAGACACCTGTATTCAGACTGAATGCAAAGTGAATTGTGGGGAAAAGTGGAAATGCTTCTGTGAGAGTAGAAAATATTTCACCTTATCACACTTATTTCAACACGGTATGACACTAAAATGTATAAACACAAAGAGACAAGAGGAAAACGGACAAAAACTGGAAGAAAATATCAGACTGAACTATGTTTTTATCCAAGTTGTCATACTTAAACAGCCACTCTACACACATGGTCGATGTATGCGTTGCAAGCTAGTAAGGCGGTGTACAGTTGGTACGCTGGCTGTTTGGACAGCCCCATTTGTAACCTCACCACGCACTCTGTGAACTTTAAGGGAAATCTAAACTTTACCTTTTTTCTATATCCCACGGATGTCTGCTTTCTAAAATGTCTTCCAAATATAAGAATCCAGTACACTCTACTTGACTCTTCTTCTTTACTGAATATTCACTGCTCAGATTTATGGCAGTGGCCAGAAATATTGTAATATACTTTGGTTTTGTTCTTGGAAAATATCGTACAGGAAAATATTAATGTTTTGATGTAACATCTACAGACAAATACACACTAGCAGTAACACAAGACGGAAATTTGCTTGCTATTCAATCTGATCGCACCTCAACACAGAAACACCAATCCACATCCCCAGGCAACACATTTCACTTGCCTGCTTTACAGTTGCAAAGCCTTGGAGATTTAAATATGGCACATATTAGAAAGTATTTTTCAATAAAGATTTATTTCCAATTTATTTTCAGTGTTTTCATCACCAAAAAATGCTGTAGGAAATATAAAAAGGTCAGGGTGCACATACTCTACTAATAGAATATTGGTTTTGGATTTGCATTGAATTTAACATATTAATATTTATGGTGATATGTATGATAATTTGATTCTGGATTTTATTCTGCTTCTGCATTCAGATCTTTGACTACACATAGTTGTTGCTATCCCTTGATATGACATCTTGTTCTTTGTTACGTCTATGGACATGTGGTTTTGAGGTGTCGCCATTACAGCAGAAAAAGATTAATGTTTCGATTCTATTAAATGCTAACCTTATCAAATGTTTAAGAAGATTGTAATATAAGTCAAAATGCAGCATGTACAGTTTTAAGCTAGTAAATTCCTTTCAAAAGATTATTGACTAAACAAAACTGTGAAAAGACAGCCACAAGAGAATATTGTTTCACTAAAACACTGGCATAATGCAAATATTTTGTCAAGGTTGGACACAAAAAAGCAACCTCATGTTGCAAGTGGTAAACCATCTAGGTATGCCTTCAAACCAACCATGGCACTGTGGCTAGCCTGTCCTTTCATTTATATGCCTCCAGCGCGCCCCTGCCCACACCCTACTGCTACTGTACCAGTCTTCAAGTTGGATTGGGGTTGAGCTATACAGTGCAGAACCAAGGACACTTTCTAGACCTCCACTCATTCTTGGGCGAGACAAGAAACCTGGATTTTGTGCTCAGGTCAAGTCAGTGTGCACAACACTTGCTGTCATAAACACTGACTATACACTATACCCTACCAGCCTGGCCACAGCATCACACCTTTCTCAAAAAGCAATTTAACTTAGGAATAGTGCAAGGCCTACTATGTCTCTTTCTAATCTACCTACATACAAGTACAAGCCTCGTCGTTATGTTCTCTGAGACACAAACAAAATCTACATATCTCCTCAAAACAGTGCAGGGATGAGTTTGGAAATGCAGGAACCATACACACACGCACACACACACACACACACATACTGCCACAGTTTCCCACATTAAGCTCAGCAGCCAGTTCTACCGAGACTTTTGTTGTGGAAGGTGCATGTCTCCTTCAAACATTGTGCCTTTGGCCGTTTGGATAAGTACTGTCATGACAAATTGATCAGCATCTGAAGGGAAGGAAGCTGCAGGACATTCATGTAAAAAGATGTCCTCTGCTAATGAGGGCTCCCCCTGATACCAGTACTACTGGGCCTATACTGGTGTCACAATTCTAGCATTGTGTGTTGTGTTGGAGGAGGCATGAATACACCTTTTATTTTCCATATTGCGCATTGTTTTCTGATAAAAAAGCACAATCAAACAGTCTTAAAAACATGAGCCTTAGCAGAGCAACTTAATGGCGGAAGATTGTCAATAAAAAAGACAAAGCCTCTGTCTTTTGGTGGGAAGAGAGAGAAAAAACTGCGCTGTTTCAACTCTTACTTTTCTTCAGACGTATCAATAACATTAAAAAGTGCAAAGAAACATTACATATTAACAACAGGATCTCTCTTTCTAGTTGGTTCAGAAAATAAGGGAGGCTTATTTGCATATATTGTAAGCAGCACCTGAAGCGGAGAGGGGCATTCTGGGTGTTGAGGGGTATGAGGTCTATGTCTATATACTAGATTTAGTGTAGAAACCCAGGGTACAGGGGTAAAGACTGACATCCATCTCAGGGGAAAAGGCCTCATCCTGTGGACACAGTCAGGTTACAGGCTTCTTAGAATCTGGTGTGTTGAGGCCTGGTTCTGGTCTGCAGTTCATCTGGACCAACCAGACATCTTCATCACTCCCTTACTTAAAAATCACAACTCCCGTCATTTGTGAGAACCATTTAGTGTCAATATAGCATAGTTCATTCTGTGGCTGCAAAATGGCTGAGTAAGAGCAGCATCATTCTTCCATCCAGGTCTCTTCTGGGTGCATAAACATATATAAATATATTCCACTGTATATTTATATGTGTGTATGACCACAAGTTATGCTTCTACAAAGCTGAATATATTTTTCCTCTGGCAATGTCTTGATAACATTGTTTCCTTCCTTCCAGGGCAGTACTGCCATGACAATCATCTTTCCTCCAGAGTTCACTCAGTTGCCCAGGTACCAAGACTGGAACAAAGACAAACACACAATTAAAATGTACATGAGTCAGATTCTAAATGTATAATCTCCGGCTGATTTCAAACATTTTGAAAGAACATAGAACTTACTGCTGATTTACCTCAGTCAACAGCAATAAGAAACAAAAAGCATATTTTAGCTCAGTACAGAAGAGATTAGTGCTGTGGTGCTCTGTGTTCACTTCACAACTGTCTCTTCTAGCATCCACCCAAGTGTCAAATCATCCAGCTCAGCGGTGTCCAATCAGCTCATCAGCCATTAGCCTGCAGCTAAACATTCTTAACGTTTTTAGGCCCCTTATACACTGTGCAATTTTGAGTTGTCCGGCAATCAAAAATGCTGTTTCTACATTTCTCTGTGCGACACATCTGACATTAACAGGGGATTTACAGCTTGACTGGCTTGTCAAAAAAGTGACTGCTGAACCAATACACTGAATACACTGGTCAATCCTACTGTGCACATGTTGTATACAGATACCTTTAGATACCACTTGGGAATGTAATTATCTACAGTATTCTAGGTGCAGTTTTTGAATAAATGCCAGTGTTCTGGCTAAAGCTTGTCTTTCGCTGCATTTTCAAAATATTAGAGCAGATAAATATTACCCACAAGTCTGTGCATCGTTGTGCTACCATTCACCAGGTATTCATTACACACAGTGTTGGGCTATAACTAAGTACATTTACTCAAGTACTGTACTTAAGTACAGTTTTGAGGTACTTTACTTGAGTATTTCCAACTTTTCACTCTACTACATTTATTTTGACAGCTTTAATTACAAGCTACTTTGTAAAATATAATAAATTGTATTGATTTAATTCTATGGATTAAGCTACACAACAGTTACAGTCCACCTTTACCATCTCCAACATTAGTGATGTTTACACATTAGTGCACCAAGACAATAATATATATTAATCTGAAATAAGACTTTCTGCATAATGACTACTTTGTCTTTTGGTATTTTAAAGGGGCAATATGTAGCTTTCAGAGGCCATTAGCAGATCCGTTTTTAGATTGCAACCTGATGTGTGCTCATACACGTTTGAAATCATGACCCAGCATAAATACATGACACCCTTGAGACAGTTTTACACAACATGCTGGAAACCCAGGTACACTCAACAACATTACAGTAACATTTTTATAAGCTTGACGTTGAAGTAATCCGTGCTTGTTACATGATAATGGATCATCACTTCCCAGGAAACTCAACAAACGTAACCCATTGGCCTCAGGTGAAGATACCAACGATGGTCGTTCAGTCTTGGCCACAGGTAGTCTCAACGACTGTAACGACTGTCGTCACAACACCAAGGAACACTAACGAACCAGCGGTATCGATGACCCGGGCCAACGACCCCACTGAGGTTAAATAGCTGAGTTTCCCTGCCAGTCAGTCAGAACTGAAGAAGTCCTTTGGATAAGGGACGAAACGTCTTCCAGTATCTTCAACCAAGTCCAGTTGCCCCCTTCATTTTAACCCTCGTTGGATTACATGATAACGTTACATTGACTGCATTTAGCTGACGTGATTAGTCTGCATTAGCTAAATTTATTGGACAATAACGAAAATGGTTAGTGAGCTAGACTGAATATTATAAATTAGAACACTTTTTAACAGTTAGACCGCAGTAATGTTACAAGGTACAGGACACAAGGTGTCACACTCTGCCTGTCTGCCATGCGGTGTTTTGCCCTTTTGTGTTTAGTTAGCGTTATTTTGGTCTGTTGGGTTTTGGGGGTCTGTCTTGTCTGTCGTCTAGTGTTCGGTAACCCTTGTCATGTCTGTTACCCAGTGATCCCTCTGCATGTCTGTCCCAGTTTTCCCCTGCTCTCTCTCTCCCTGCCTGTGCCTCGTTAGCCTCATGTCTTTCACCTGTGTTGCTCCCGCCCTGCTCGTTAGTCCTATTGTCACCCAGTGTTGCAGTTTGTTCTCGTGTCTCCAGCCTTACTCACCGTGTCTCCCTGTTACCCTGCTCAGTTTTGGATTCTGGTTTTCACCCTTTTGGATTTCTGTTGGACAGCCTTTGTTTTTGGACTCAGTCAATCAGCCACTCTGTTTGTAAGTGTGCTCGCCTTTTGTTATATTAAAACCCTTCACTGAACTACACCTGCTAGCCTTCGTGTCCTGCGTTTGGGTCCTCCAACCTGCTCAACCCTGCCTTCACCACAAAACCGTGACACAAGGTAGATTTATTTGTCATAAAACAGTTTGTAGAGTAAAACTGAGATCGTAACTCCCTTCTGCTACGTAGCAGACAATATACAGTAATATAAAAGCAATTATAAAAACAAAAATATGAAGAAAATAAACTATATTCAGAGGAGCAGTGCTGAGGATGAATTTGAGTTAAAAGTCTGATAGCTTGGGGGGAAAAGCTGCTCTGCAGTCTGGTGTGGCAGCAGAAACTTCTATATCTCTTCCCAGAAGGCAGCAGGGTGAACAGGCTGTGGCTGGGTGGGTACTGTCCTTTAGTATCCTTTGGGCTCTGTAGGCACCTCACCTCAATGATATCACTGATGCTCAGGAGATGAGTACCAATGATGATCTGAGCAGTTTTAATCAGCCTGTACTGTAGTGAATGGGTCTTCCACTGTACCGTTGTCCTGCGCTGTTACGTTGCATTATTGTATGTTATGTGGGTCACATAAGTTACTGAGACGGTGGAGAAGCTGTGTACCTGAGTATTGGTAAAACGATTGGTATAAATCTCAATTGATAAGAGCAGCAGCTGATCCGTGCTAATGTTATGTTTGCTGGCTGCTCCTGCCTGACATAACTATAGGTTAGTATAAACAAATTGCTCCACATGTACTTCACATGCTTTGCAGTAATGTTGGTTTAGGATGAAAGCCTACTATGTGTCTGTGTCAGTTTCAAAACAAAGCGGAGGTCTCTCCATGACTCAAGCCTTTCTGATGTTTCTGTGAGCCTGTGTTGTGCTAGGAGCTAGAACCCGGCCCGATTCCTTACCATCAGAAGCAGAATAATGGAAGTTCCAAGAAACAGAGAAAACAGGCGTGTGGCTCATTTCTAAGAGGTTACAGCCCATTGATAAATAGGCAGTAAAAAGTGATTTATTGAGAAGTGATTTTATTGAAATACTACATATAGCCCCTTTAAATAGATTTTAATGCTAATACTTTTTGTAGTATTGCTACTTTTACTTCAGTAAAAGATCTGAGTACTTCCACTACCGGCCTGCCATGGGTCAAAATCATACAGTCTGACACAGATTGCAACCAAGATTTAGACAACTTTATTTAGACCTATCTAAGAAAGACAAGCAATGAACTTGCAAGCACACACAAACTTTCCATTGGTTTTGCTTTGTCAGATGTGAACATGGTGAAGATGTTCTTTAGTAGTTTTTTTTTTCCAGCAACCTGTTTCACCATTTGCAACATGCAATCAATTATTTGCAACATAATTTCCTCTCTTGTTAATTTTGACATTCACTCATCAAACACAACAATACTTTAATTGAAACTGAGACTAGACTTCAATCACATTAAATACCCCCAACAAACTAGTTACCATCAGTCATAGAACTCTCACCATGTATTTTGTTGGAACAAATTTTGAAAATACACAGGGACAGGCAGAGAGTGAGAGACAGAGAGGAAGAGCGAGGACTTCTGGCTCACCAGTATTAGCTGAGCTGTTTCTAGAGCAGAGGCAATGCAGTGCAGCCGCAACAACACAAACCAAAATGAACACAGAAACTCTCTCTATAAACACACATACTGAATCATGTAGATAAGTTTCTAAATACCTCAACTATCTACTGATGCACACATTTCACCACCCTACCACTACAGTCAACAATCATCTGCCAACCAAACTTTTTGGCAGACAGATTATAGTTTTACTTGTATTTAGGCCACAGAGCACTGACCTTTTTGAAAGCTATAATACTAATACTAGAGAGTGCCAGTAGGAAGATACAGCATTCTCTCCTATGGACGAGTTCAGAATTTTCACTATTTAAAGATATATATATATATATATATATATATATATATATCAATGAAAGTTTAGTCTACAGTGCTGGCCATCCTAATTTAGCACTAAGGGAAGAGAGAGACAAAATTTGACTGAAATGCAAATGTTTTCTTTAGCTGACTTGCTGATAAAATATAGCAATAATAAAGGCTTTGAAAACTACAAACTGGAACTGGCAGAAGTCTCAGAGGTGGATATATTGAAACCTTAGTATATACACCAATCAGCTATAACATTATGACCACCTGCCTAATAGTAGTAGATCCCCCCCTTTTGCTGCCAAAACAGACCTGACCCGTTGAGGCATGGACTTCACCAGACCCCTGAAGGTGTGTTGTGGTATCTGGCACCAAGATTATAGCAGCAGATCCTTTAAATGTAAGTTGCGAGGTGGGGACTCCATGGACTTGTTTGTCCTGCACATCCCACAGATGTTCGATTGAATTGAGATCTGGGGAATCTGAAGGCCAAGTCAAGATCTTGAACTCGTTGTGTTCCTCAAACCATTCCTGAACAATTTTGGCTTTGTGGCAGGTTGCATTCTCCTGCTGAAAGAAGCTGTAGCCATCAGGGAATACCGTTTCCATGAAAGGGTCTACATGGTCTGCAACAATACTAAAGGTAGGTATTACGTGTCAAAATAACGTCTACGTGAATGGCAGGACCCAAGGTTTCCCAGCCTAACATTTCCCAAAGCATCACACTGCATCTGCCAGCTTGCCTTCTTCCCATAGTGCATCCTGATGCCATGTGTTTTCCAGGTAAGCGACACATGCGTGTGATCAATCAGACCAGGCCACCTTCTTTCATTGCTCCGTGGTCGAGTTCTGACGCTTGCATGTCCACTGTTGGCACTTTCGGCAGTAGACAGGGGGCAGCATTGGCACCCTGACTGGTCTGCGGCTACTTAACCCCATATGCAACGAACTGGGATGCACTGTGTGTTCGGACACCTTTCTATCAGAGCTAGCATCATCTTTTTCAACAATTTGACCTACAGTAGATTATCTGCTGGATCGGACCATATGGGCCAGCCTTCGCTCCCCATCAATGAGCCCTGGCCATGACCCCATCGCTAGTTCACCGCTTTTCCTCCTTGGACCACTTTTGATAGGTACTGACACCTGGGGACCAGGAACACCCCACAAGAGCTGGAGTTTTGGAGATGCTCAGACCTAGTTGTCCAGCCATCACAATTTGGCCCTTGTCAAAGCAGCTCAAATACTTAATAAATATAAAAAATTTAAATAAAAAAGGGTATTTTTAGCTTACCCAATTTTCCTGCTTCTAACAAATCAATTTGAGGGCAAAATGTAAACTTACTGCCCACTGACAGGTGCAATGGTAACAAGACAATTAGTGTTTTTCACTTCACCTGTCAGTGGCCAGAATGTTATGGCTGGTCGGTGTACGTAGAAGCATCTTCTGCAACTACTTGCAAGGCTAGATTCCACAATGAGTAAGTGGGAATGTATTTGTTGTCTTAACAGATCCTGAAGGCTCTTAACCCTCCAATAATCTGGGTTTTGCAGGTTCAATTGAATCATCCCTAAATGAGCTTGACAATATGAAATGAACCATACTAACCTGGGCTTGGTAGAGTCCACCTGGGTCTCGAGGCGTGACTCCAACGAAGGAGGTGCGATTGGCAGGTGGGGTCCCAGGGGCCGAGTATGCTGAGGATGTTTGCGTTAACAAAATCAGTCTTGTAATGTCTCTCATAATTCCATGTTACTTGTAAAGTCTGTCCATATCATAAAGGTGCTACAAAAGAGAACAGCATCAAATCTCTATAACTGAGTCACAGATTTATCCTCTCTGATAAAACTCTGCTGTCTGTATGATCACTGGGAGGGGAATAAGTTAATTTCACACTGGACACTTATGTTTATCTTCTCACTCAGTCTTTGGTTGTTTTATATTGTACCAACAGACAGCAAAGACACAACAGAGGCAACAACTCTGATATTGGTGAGTCTACCTTTCAATGGACAGAGTACTGCTCCTCTCTTTCTTTATTCTCTGACTATTGCAGGTAGGAAGACAAACTCCACCCAGCTGGGTTTTTTTTCAAATCTGACCTGAGAGGTATTCCAGATTGTGAAACTGTCAAATTTTCCAAGCTCTAGCCTATTTTGACAAAAAAACAACACCTGGTACTAACCCAGGACTTAAAATATAATGTAATGTGTATCCATTGTCACACGTTCTGCTTCTGTTTCCTCTGTTCTCTGCTTTGGGGTGAGTTTTTTTGGACAAAATTTCTGCTCTGTAGGTGATACTAAGTTCCGGGCCGGCAGTACTTTGATAGTGATTGGTCATCACATCACAATACTGATGACTACAATAAACAAAACAACATTAACGAACATATTATGTATGGAACAGGACAACCAATACTTGCGTTCACCAGAGCGAAGCAATGACCTATGAAGTCGCTTGACTTGCAGAACCCTTTTAGGTGAACCAACTGGCTTGTGTGATTGATCCAGGGACCTGGACAATCATTGGGAGTACAAACTTGTATCTCATATTCTCAAATCGTAAACAAAGGTCAGCATTTTTAGGATTGCAACTTCATCCATTATTAAGTATTGCACAATTTCACTCTTCTACCAAACAGAGAAAACGATTGATGATTGAAAGCTTTGGTTGCTTTGTCAGTTGCGGTCAACTGCTATTTCTAAGGTCAAGAATTAACTTTAAAAAACATTATTACATTATTTAGTTATATGACAAAGTATAGAACCACATGTTGCCTTTTAAATTCCATATATCCAAATGTCCCTGTTCGCAAAATACAGTGGCGGCAAAAAGAGAACCTTCTATCAAAACCTCAAACTGTTTCATACAATAAAATTTCTTAATTAAAAGCTGCAAGCAGCGTTGGGCGGGCCCTCGCACTTGTAGCGCGTCCGGATGTGAGCCAGCCGAGTTGCACATTCTGGAGCTCTGCCGGTACGGCTGTGAATTTGCTACGCAGTTCCGACGCCACATGAAGGTGCTATATGTCACTTCCTGTGTCCCCTATGTGGAGCTACATAGCACTTGCCGCTATGAATATAAATCGGTATTGGTATGTAGATGTCTCCGGGGTGGGAGAGTTATCAAGCACGTAAAGTTTGGTGCAGATGTGAGCATGTACACTGAAGTTACAACAACTTCCTGTGTCATGGCGAAGAGTTGATCTTTGACGCCACGGACACACCCATTGACGAAAACTCGCAAATAGCACAACTTTTTATCGTCAATGCCTTTAGAAGGCACAGCAGAAATTTGACGTCGATCCGACAAAATCCCTAGGAGTTCATTAAAGTACGGAGTGTGTAAATCATCCAAAAATGGCCGTAAAATTCGAAATGGACGACTTCCTGTTGACTTTAGGCTATGGGTTCTTGAGGCTTTTTTGTGCGTCTTGATATGATGCATGTCCCCAGAAAATTTCGTACATGTAGGTTGAACGTGAACGAGGGGCTAATCTTTTCCAATTTTCTAGGTGGCGCTAGCGAGTCATTTTGCCACGCCCATGTGCGAAACTTGTAGAATACGAAATTTTTCACCGGCTCTGACATGTTTGCAAATTTTGGTGAGTTTTCGAGTATGTTTAGGCCATGTCATTTGGGCCTACTTTGCAGGAAAAAAAAAATAAAAAATCTTAGCAAATTCAATAGGGACCTCACACGGTTGTGCTCGGGCCCTAAAAATATAATCTTAGCAAATTCAATAGGGACCTCACACAGTCGTGCTTGGGCCTTAAATATATAATCTTAGCAAATTCAATAGGGACCTCGCACGGTCGTGCTCGGGCCCTAATAAAAAAAGATTTAACCTTGGTATAGATAAAGGCTTTCCAGTTCTCACAGTGATATTGAATATGTCTAAAATCTGAATATCTTCTTTGATGTAAGTTCTGCTATATATAAAATAAATAAATAATGCTGTTTATAAATAAATAAATAAATAATGCTGTTTATCATTTATCATAGCTCTGTTTTCAGCTTATCCGGAAGGCTGCGGCACATGTTCTAAAAATAACCAGGAAAAGAGATCATATTTTTACTGTTTTAGCTTCTCTGCACTGGCTCCCTGTGAAATCCAGAATAGAATTTAAAATCCTCCTGCTCATCTACAAAGCTCTTTATGGTCAGGCACCATCTTATCTCAAACAGCACATTACTATAACAATCTGTACCATTATTTAATTTCAGTCTGTACCTACTACCTTTACTGTAGGTAGAAATTAGGGCTAGGCAATTTAATGCGTTAACAGTTTTTGTTATTTATTATTATTTTGAAACGCGGTTGCTCACTGGCTTCGAATACACATACAGTCAAACCCTGGGTCACAGGAGGGGCGGGATGTTGATCAGCCTGCAAATCACCCACCCAAACAAGCAGCGGAGGGAGGCTTCGGCAGACTACGCTGGATGCAGTGTGTGGGAGAAGAGAAACAAAAGCAAGACAAGCGATGATCAAATGCCATAGTGAAGTGGATAGCTACACACTGCATGCTGATTAGTACTGGGGAAGATGTCTTAGGAACGTTCTTAAAATCACAACGTAGTCGCTTGGCTCTGTGGGGTTGCTCTTTGCTCCGGTGATCAGACAGCGCTCCGCAAGTAAACGGCAGGCGCTCTCTCCTCCTCTCTGTCTCTCTCTGTCTGTCTCAGTGTATTTCTAAAGTTTGTCGCAACTAAAAGCATGGTGCGATTTATTTTAAAGGTATAGGAAATATCTTTTTTTATTTTCATAATTTTTTTAATTTTTACATTTGAGAATTTGCTTATACAACATTGAAAAATAAGACTGATTGGTAGATGTGGCCCAGATCTACCCAATCAGCTGGCCCAAAGAACCCTGGCCAACCCAGGTAAAATTGGTCTTTAAATCATAAGTCACTAGGTGCTACAGGACAGCGACAGTGGCAAAATGTCTGATAGAAAATACAATAGTGGAGCATAAAAACGGAAAGCACAACGGCTGAAAGAAAACCGTGACAAATATCTACTAAAGAAAATCCCCAAATTAACTTGATATTTCAAGGCTGCCGCAGCTAGCCCTGCTTAAGGCAAAGGCACTTCCCAAGCAGACCATGACCATGCCTCACAACCAGGTGACTCAGATAAGGAGTCGGAGTAGGAGGGTCCGATACTTCAACCACTCAAAACACCAATAAGCTACCACCACCAACACCTCAGGAATTAGTCGTTTAATCCCAGCTGCCACAAATCCCTCCATGATGGCCTCACCTATTGCTGTGGAGAGGGAACAAGAGTCTACAAATCATGCTACTTATAGCTCGCATCCTGCTTGCTGGGATAAAATTGATGAGCACATACTGGGTCAAAATAGGACCTGAAACTTGTCACAACAAACAAGCAGATGTCTCTGCCTCAGAAAGACAACACCAAAAGAGGTACTTTTCCAAAACCCTGTTTAAAAGGAAGGTGGCAGATGGTAAAACTGTGCCAAGAGAATGGCTGCTTTATTACCCTTCAAAAGGCCCTGTGTTTTGTTTTGCATGTTTGGGGACAGTGATCTTAGGTCTGCAACACAGCAGGCTATAGTGACTGGAAAAATGTCGCCACAGGTTTGGCTGAACACGAAGGATCAGAGAGTCACAGAAAGGCTGTGTAATGCGCTGTGCTGAAGCTGGGTGTATAAATTCAGAATACTGGACTGAGGTTTTAAAGAGGGTGGTTGAGGTGGTGTAGTTCTTAGTAGAGCGAGAACTACCTTTCAGGGGACACAGTGACATTTTTGGCCAACCTGATAATAGGAACTTTATGGGTGTGCTGGAAGTTATCAGCGAGTTTGATGCATTTTTGAAAGCGTATATAGAAAAGTATGGCAATGCTGGCAGGGGAACACCATCATACCTCTCATCATACCTGAACTGATGGGAGAGTGGGTCCTCACAGAGATAAGTCCAATAAAAAAGGTCAGTTTCGATCAGTGTCAGGGGGTGCCGTGTACTGCACACAAACTCAATTTAGTGGGGCTGAACAGTGTTAACTGCTGCCTTGAGATGGGGGAATTTTTTAACTTTGTACAGACACTTTTTATTTTTTCCTCCAAATCTACATCCATGAATCTGATGAACGATCAGGGCTAGACAAGTTCACAGCCACTGTTTTTATGACTGTCATAGATCAACTTGTTGCAGAACTGGATCGGAGGAATCACCCCTACAAAGATATTCAGCAGACATTTGTATTTTTGAACAATATTCCATCTATCTCTGTACAAGAACTTCGTACAGGAGCGGCTAATTTCCAGAAGATCTCCAAATTCAGATAATTTATTAAAGAAAATAAAGACACCTTAGCAAGGTCATTTCTGCAACTTATAAGAGGACGGAAACTACAATCAGTGTTTCCAAACGTCTATATAGCACTCGGACTATTTATGACTTTGCCTGTAACCGATGCCAGCGGGGAGCACTCTTTTTCAAAACTTGGAATAGTCAAGAATAGACCGAGATACACAATGGGCCAAAACAGACTGAACCACCTGCCTTTGATGTCAATTGAAAGTGACACTTTACCAGCCTCATTAAGGACGTCTCTGTTAGAAAAAACTTTTGTAAGGTAGGAATATGTATGATTGTGCTGCTGTGGATTATTGCTTGCTTTTATGTGCTGCTGTTGTTGATGGCATTTGTATGGCTTTATTTCATTGGATTATTACACAGCGGTTCGATTTGTGTCTCTGTCAGGATGTTATGATTTTGGCTTAGTTGTTGGTTTAGAAAGGTAAAATCTGGTAAAATAACCAGCTTGCAGGTGAATTCTCAATTCTTTTTTGTGTGTGGGCTGTAGACCAGGAGCGTTGTACTTGAGGCGTGTAATAAAGGCCTACCCTTTTACACATGGCTCATAGCTTTGGGACAGCCATCTTGCTGGTATGGTTTATGAATTATGTTTAAGAATTATGGTTTTATAATGTGTATTTTGATTAGTATTAAGGCGGTCATGTTCTACTTTGACTTTTTTCCCTTTCCTTTATTTTGTTATACAGTGGGAAGTATTTGATACACTGCTGATTTTGCAGGTTTTCCTACTTACAAAGCATGTAGAGGTCTGTAATTTTTATCATAGGTACACTTCAACTGTGAGAGACGGAATCTAAAACAAAAATCCAGAAAATCACATTGTATGATTTTTAAATAATTAATTTGCATTTTATTGCATAACATAAGTATTTGATACATCAGAAAAGCAGAATTTAATATTTGGTACAGAAACCTTTGTTTGCACTTACAGAGATCATACGTTTCCTCTAGTTCTTGACCAGGTTTGCACACACTTAAGTGTAATTTTGGCCCACTCCAGATCCTTCAGGTTTCGGGGCTGTCGCTGGGCAATACGGACTTTCAGCTCCCTCCAAAGATTTTCTATTGGGTTCAGGTCTGGAGACTGGCCAGGCCACTCCAGGACCTTGAGATGCTTCTTACGGAGCCAGTTGCCCTGGCTGTGTGTTTCGGGTCGTTGTCATGCTGGAAGACCCAGCCACGACCCATCTTCAATGCTCTTACTGAGGGAAGGAGGTTGTTGGCCAAGATCTCGTGATACATGGCCCCATCCATCCTCCCCTCAATACGGTGCAGTCGTCCTGTCCCCTTTGCAGAAAAGCATCCCCAAAGAATGACGTTTCCACCTCCATGCTTCACGGTTGGGATGGTGTTCTTGGGGTTGTACTCATCCTTCTTCTTGAAGTTTAGACCATAAAGCTCTATTTTTGTCTCATCAGACCACATGACCTTCTCCCATTCCTCCTCTGGATAATCCAGATGGTCACTGGCAAACTTCAGACGGGCCTGGACATGCGCTGGCTTGAGCAGGGGGACCTTGCATGCGCTGCAGGATTTGAATCCATGACGGCGTAGTGTGTTACTAATGGTTTTCTTTGAGACTGTGGTCCCAGCTCTCTTCAGGTCATTGACCAGGTCCTGCCGTGTAGTTCTGGACTGATCCCTCACCTTCCTCATGATCATTGATGCCCCACGAGGTGAGATCTTGCATGGAGCCCCAGATCGAGGTAGACTGACCGTCATCTTGAACTTCTTCCATTTTCTAATAATTGCGCCAACAGTTGTTGCCTTCTCACCAAGCTGCTTGCCTATTGTCCTGTAGGCCTTCCCAGCCTTGTGCAGGTCTACAATTTTATCCCCGATGTCCTTACACAGCTCTCTGGTCTTGGCCATTGTGGAGAGGTTGGAGTCTGTTTAGTTGACTGTGCAGGCAGGTGTCTTTTATACAGGTAACAAGTTCAAACAGGTGCAGTTAATACAGGTAATGAGTGGGTAATCATACAATGTGACTTTCTGGATTTTTGTTTTAGATTCCGTCTCTCACAGTTGAAGTGTACCTACGATAAAAATTACAGACCTCTACATGCTTTGTAAGTAGGAAAACCTGCAAAATCAACAGTGTATCAAATACTTGTTCTCCCCACTGTATATATTTTTTGTGCATGTAATAGGATTGCATGCACAAAAAGTCCACCTAAAAGGGAGTTACAATCTGCCATAGAAAACACTGCTCCTGAACTACAGCTCGTTTGTGGTCCAGCCTTTACTTCCGTAACCTATCTGCGTAAACTTTGTAACACGTGTCCTAATGCTCGCCTGGCGGCTAGTGTGGCAGCCTTCAAAAACACTGGTGGAGAAACACACTGAGCTGCAGCATATACAGTGACAAGATATCCGTCTGCTGACTCCCGTCACCCCCACCCTCCCTACCGAATGTTAGGCGGTCAATGAACATAAAGTTGTTACTGTGATGTAGAGACAGTGCACAGTTAAAACGTTATGTATGAAAGATACAATTTGTTATAAATTAATAACTTACCACTCTGAAACTCCTGCTCCAGTCCAGGCTGCAAAGCTGGTTTGGGAACATGTACAGCTTAACCGCAGCCGTGTTTACCGGCTTGTCAGGACCCGCCCTACTCTGCTTCTTCACTACTTTCACTACTCTTCTGATGCCACAGTTGATTTTCAAGATAGAAATAGGTTCTGTCATTCTGATGTTCCTTTATTCTTTAACCTGCCTCCAGGCAGCATATGTCTATTTTGACTGTATTCTCAAGCCAAAAGTTGATTTTCAGAATAGAAATAGGTTACTCTGTACCTTCTTAGAAAGATATGCTAAGGATGTCTGTGAAGATTCTCAGTCATCCAGGTCACAGTTATCCAAAGACGGTTGAAGTCAAAGGCAACTGGACTTGGTTGAAGATACTGGAAGACGTTTCGTCCCTCATCCAAGGGACTTCTTCAGTTCTGACTGACTGGCAGGGAAACTCAGCTATTTAACCTCATTGGGGTCGTTTGCCAGGGTCATCGATACTGCTGGTTCGTTAGTGTTCCTGTTACAGCAACACCCCAAAGACCGCACACCCAAACACAAGAAAAGCAATCTAGTGTATGCGGTCCAATGCAGTGAGGAATGCACAGACATCTATGTTGGGGAGACTAAACAACCACTACACAAACGCATGGCTCAATACAGAAGGGCCAACTCCTCAGGTCAAGACACTGCAGTCTACTTACATTCGTCTACAACACACGTTTGAGGACCACCAGGTGCACATTTTCGACAGAGAAGATGGATGGTTTGAAAGAGGTGTCAAGGAAGCCATCTACACCCGGGTTGAGAAGCCGTCATTGAACAGAGGAGGGGGTCTACGCCACCACTTATCCCCCACTTACAATGCTATCCTTTCATCACTTTCCGGGAAACTCAACAAACGTAACCTATTGACCTCAGGTGAAGATACCAACGATGGTCGTTCAGTCTTGGCCTCGGGTAGTCCTAACGACTGTAACGACTGTCGTTACAGCAACCAGGAACACTAATGAACCAGCAGTATCGATGACCCGGGCCAACGACCCCACTGAGGTTAAATAGCTGAGTTTCCCTGCCAGTCAGTCAGAACTGAAGAAGTCCTTTGGATGAGGGACGAAACGTCTTCCAGTATGCCAAGGATATGTTTCTACATTAGAAACATTGATTATTTGAACAACTTGGTTTGTTATGAGTTACTTTTTTATAATTTGTCCCCAGACAGGAGATTTTGACTGTATTCTGATGCCAAACATTTATTTTCAGAACAGAAATAGGGAATTCTGTAATTTCTTAGAATGGCTTGCTAAGAATATGTTTCTACATTAGAAACCCGACATTCTCATGTCCACGTTATCTCTCTTTCTGTTTCTCTGCCAGTGTTTAGAGTTTCCACGCAGCTAGCCACATGTTCCAGCATTTGTGTTTGTATAAAGCCTTTTCAGACAGGTAGTGACCCTCCTTCTGTGTCCTCTTTGCATCCGCAAGGTCTTACTGCGCTCCCCCTGTGAACAAACCGGCAAACAAGCACTCCGCAAGGAAACACCGCTCTATAGGTAGTAACCATGGCAACGGCTTCTGTGCGCTACTTAATCTCTGCAACTGTATTTTCTTTAGTGACCAGTCCTATGAAAAACATTAAATATAAGTTATCTAATAGAAGTTATTGAAAGATAGATGTGTTTATTTTTGTGCTGTTTGCTTTATGGACACCAGTGACTTTTTCTGTGATATTCATTAAATATATGTCCATGAGGATTTATAAAATGAGCTTATAAAAAGTTTCTATGGTACACCTAATGTGTGTTCTTAGTGTTATAAATAACATTATCTGTTATCACAAAGACAAATTACATCATCAACAGAAATTGTAAGTGGGCAGCATTATAATGGTATTTATTTTTGAATAAAAATAAATCAAACTTTTGAATATATAGCTGATAAAATAATGTTGTCTTTAATACAACAAAATCAATAAACATTCATTAAGGTTTATATTTTTATACTATGACTTTTTGTGTACCTGACAAGAGTTGACAAAATTCAGCTACCCACAACAAGGTCTTGTCCCAATTGTCTGGAAAGAGTGATACTTTAGCATTTCACAAACAGTCAGTCTGGAATACCCCCCAGGAGGCCTTTACACCAGTAAACCATTTGTGTTGTCTTTCTATTCTATCACCCATCAGAAGGTTATGTATATAGGTATACATTATGTGTCATGCCACACGTCAATACTGTCAGTGGAAGTTTGTTAGCATTTTGACCACTTACTGGGTGATGTGGGGGAGTTTGCTCCCCCATCAGAGGAGGTGGTAGTGGCCTTTGACTCTGCAGACAGTGTCAGTCTTGGGAGGGAGGATGGGGGAGGAGCCAGGGAGGGTGCTGGTCCGGGGGGTGCCAACATCTGAGAGGAGATATAGTGACTGGGCACTTTAACCTGGTTGCTGCCATTCAGCTGGAAAATTTGAAAGACAGACAACTGTACTACTATTTGACAGGTGCTGCAATGTGCTATACCTAAAGTATACATCCTAAACATCTGTTATTTATTTTCACTCTGAAGCTAAAAGCCTTATATAAGTGGTTTTCCATCATGTTTTCTCTCGCGCAAACTTAAATTATGAATATGAATAGACGGTAACACTCAGGGAGTGTCACATACAAAGCAGGTAAGACTAAAGTAGGTGCTATTGACTCACATTACTCTAAGTGGTTGCTTATAAAGTCATATAGAACTTCACAGAACTATGAGACTCACTCATTCACCTTTAGCAGGCTTCAGATTTTGCACATGGGGTAGCTGTTTGGTCTTTGTATGACTAGTAAATAAATGCCAACCTGCGCCATCCAGAGGAGAGGAAAGTTATTACAGCAGCAGTGGAAACCTGTGCAGACATTTTGATGTTGCTTCAGCAGTCAGTGGTCCTACCATTGCTGTTTCTTGTCTCTCTTTCTCTCTACCTGTTTTACTAACAACTAATATGTCATAGCCTTTAATACAAGTTTAATATGTGTATATTCCGGTATAAGCACCAAACAGATTTTAGTTAACCTTCATGACCAATTTTCTTCTAGCTTCTGTCAAAATTGTAGTAGCTTGTACTTTCTTTCTTTCTTTCTTCAGTAGTGCTAAACTGCTGCTGGTATTACTCTTTCTATTTCCTGCAGGTCTTGAACTGCAGTTGTAAAACTGTTGACACTGTGGCACCGCAACTGCCTGGTATTTGTTTCTTAGCTTTACAGAAGTAGAGTAGAGGTGGACTGTGTGTAATAACAATGCATAAGTCAGTTCAGTACACACTGTGACCCAAACAATTAGTCACAATAGTTTATTTATATTTACTACTTTTACATGAGGAACAGAAATTCTAGAGCTTTAGCAGCGCACCAGTTGCTGTCTATTGATACAGTTGTAGCATACTAGCCGGCTTAGCCCAGTTAGCCTGGCTTGCATGCTGCAAAATGCGACCAGAAATAGTAGAACATCCTGGTATTTTAGCATTTTGCACTTGACAAACTATGTATTGTGACATACTAACAAAGTGCTTGAGTCATTCTACAATGTACCTTCATCTGTGCATTTGTCAGGATGCCTGCCCTGTATAAACGACTGACATTTGTGTTATTTATTTTTTCTTATTGACAATATGCCAGTATTTCAGTGCTTAACTGCTACACTAAGAACCATGACCAATGAGCCACTGTTGAATGTTTCAAAATAAATGACTTAACTTATATTTTTTAAAAGGTTTTTGTTTCTACACTGTATCAAAAATGGACTCTTCACCCTAAAACCAAGGTACATACCTAACTGTGAATTTTGTGTGCCATTACAACCCCTTGTAATCTGTCTGCAAAGACATATGTAATTATTTGTGTCATTAAACTCCAGCTGTTAGCCAGCTAAAGTAGTAGTATTTGGAGCTCTGTGGAATTCTTAAAGCTGAACTTTTGACTAGTTGTACTCACCGAGCTGGGAGTTTGATTGGCCGGGTCGCAGGCCAATGAGACCAGATCTTTTAGGGGGTCCTGGGCCAGGTGAGGAGGATAGCGGATTGCTCCATGTGGGAAGTAGGAGGACGACGGGAAATGAAGAGATGATGAAGGGTGGGGACTCCGAGACAGACCTGGACAGAGAGAAAAAGACAAGACAAAGAGGGAAAGAAATGATACAGTGAATTACATTTTCTTCTTTGTGTTCTCCTTATGGGAGAAACGTGTGTGTGTGTGTGTGTGTTACTGACCACTGTGAACAGCTATGACTGGCCGGTGGTGCTGAGTGAAGGAGCCCAATCTTGGTGAGTCTTCCTGGGGAGAGGGACTGTCCAGCTCTGCCTTCTTCACTGGAGGAGATAGACCTAAAAAACACACACACGCACGCGGACATATTTATTGGTGCAAGCACTAAAGATGCAGGACCCCCATTTGTTAACTTGTTGGTTTGAAGAGCAACTTAAAGAGCAGCTGTAAGTCTTGTTTTTGCTCTTGGCTTTTTCCTCCAGTGCCACCAATACATTCTTGGCCTGTTTTGTAATTTTGTCACCATAATTAGATGCCTCAGAAACGCAAAGAAAAATTAATCTGGACTTTTGCCTCAGACCCATACACACCTAAATTATAAATATTTAAATAATAATGCATTTTAAATAATGAAAAAATAGCAGGAAAAAAGCATTTTATTGAAGAAATTGAAAAATTGCATTATCAAGGGTCCCAGAGGGGCTGAGGGCCCCGCATGCACGGCAGAAATGAAGCCGTGCGTCTGGCCCAATGTCTGAATGTAGCGTAACTATAGCAAGAGCCATCAGGAGTTGGTAGCTTGAGCAGTAACAACATCAAAGAGGAACAGAGAAGGTGACAAGACTAAACAGGCAAAAATGTGTGTGCCGCTTTTATGACGACATCACATATCCATAACACACCCGCTCCGCGACACGGGGGGGCCACAGCCCTCATGAAAAAAATCCTAGGGGAAACACTGATGTCACATTCACCCATTCACACACATTACACACTGATGGCAGAGGCTGGCATGCAAGGTGTAAATTCAATTCAATTTTATTGATATAGCGCCAAATCACAACAACAGTTATCTCACAGCGCTTTTCATAAAAGAGCAGGTCTAGACCGTACTGTGTGATGTTATTTACAGAAGCCCAACAGTTCCCACCAAGAGCAAGCACTAGGCGACAGAGGCAAGGAAAACTTCCTTTAAGAGGCAGAAACCTCGAGCAGAACCATGGCTCAGGGTGGGCGGCCATCTGCCTCGACCGGTTCGGGGTTGGGCTTCAATATCTGAATAAATGTAGCCACAGGCACAGCAGGTCAGACTTGCATCTCCTCTGCAGCCCGCCGGACGCGGCTTGTGAAAGGGTCTTGGACCCAGTTAATGCCTGCTTGCTCTAGTTTTGACTTTGACTTTGTACTGTGCTACATGGAAAGAGAATACGTATAAAGCTAACACTCAAACCCCAAACCTCCTACAGAAAAGTGGAAATCCTTACCAACTACACCACTGGGTCCACACCACCACAAAGCAGTCCCATCTCATGACAAATCAACTGTGCCCTACGCACTAGATCCATGCAGGGGGCAAAACTCCAGCCTTAGCTGGCCCTGGCCCAATAAAGTGCAATTTTTCAGCCCAAATCCACCCTCAGACTGACACCAATAGCACTTTAAGCTCTCCCTGACATGCACCCTTTCTGATACACACAAAACACACACACACACACACACACGCTACAAATAGGTACATTTATTATAGGCCTCAAACAGTGCCACTGATGATGATGCCCACAAATATTGATAGTGACTGTCCATTACAGAGAAATATAAACATGCAGTAGAGAATTAAGACCTCCAGACAGCCGGTGTGTGTGCCCATGCTCTGAGATGTTGTAGAAATTAAGTGACAAGGATTGGAACTGGTATTAAATGGATGATGGTCCTGGTTCCTGTCTGGTCAGAACCACTTATCTACTGGGCGGTATTTTAATGTCATTCATTGATTTTTTTCACACTGCCTACTGTTTAATCTTTTCCCTGTGTCTACGAGCAAATGATGGTGAGTTCCAAAGCATTATGGCACTACATTGTGTTTATGTTCTGTGCGATGTAGTTATGGTCATATATATATAAAATACACACACACACACACACACACACACACACACACACACACACACGCTCGTCATATAATTAGAATATCTTCAAAAAGTTGATTTATTTCAGTAATTCTATTCAAAAAGTGAAACTTGTATAATGTATACATTCACTCCACACAGACTGATATATTTCAAGTGTTCATTCCTTTTAATTTTGATGATTATAACTGACAACTAATGAAAACCCAAAATCAGTATCTCAGAAAATTAGAATATTGTGAAAAGGTTCAATATTGAAGACACCTGGTGCCACACTCTAATCAGCTAATTAACTCAAAACTTTAAATGGTCTCAGTCTAGTTCTGTAGGCTACACAATCATGGGGAAGACTGCTGACTTGACAGCTGTCCAAAAGACGACCATTGACACCTTGCACAAGGAGGGCAAGACACAAAAGGTCATTGCTAAAGAGGCTGGCTGTTCACAGAGCTCTATGTCCAAGCACATTAATAGAGAGGCGAAGGGAAGGAAAAGATGTGGTAGAAAAAAGTACACAAGCAATAGGGATAACCGCACCCTGGAGAGGATTGTGAAACAGCTGGAGTCAGTGCTTCAAGAACCACCATGCACAGACGTATGCAAGACATGGGTTTCAGCTGTCGCATTCCTTGTGTCAAGCCACTCTTGAACAAGACACAGCGTCAGAAGCGTCTCGCCTGGGCTAAAGACAAAAAGGACTGGACTGCTGCTGAGTGGTCCAAAGTTATGTTCTCTGATGAAAGTAAATTTTGCATTTCCTTTGGAAATCAAGGTGCCAGAGTCTGGAGGAAGAGAGGAGAGGCACAGAATCCACGTTGCTTGAAGTCCAGTGTAAAGTTTCCACAGTCAGTGATGGTTTGGGGTGCCATGTCATCTGCTGGTGTTGGTCCACTGTGTTTTCTGAGGTCCAAGGTCAACGCAGCCGTCTACCAGGAAGTTTTAAAGGACTTTATGCTTCCTGCTGCTGACCAACTTTATGGAGATGCAGATTTCATTTTCCAGCAGGACTTGGCACCTGCACACAGTGCCAAAGCTACCAGTATCTGGTTTAAGGACCATGGTATCCCTGTTCTTAATTGGCCAGCAAACTCACCTGACCTTAACCCTATAGAAAATCTATGGGGTATTGTGAAGAGGAAGATGCGATACGCCAGACCCGACAATGCAGAAGAGCTGAAGGCCACTATCAGAGCAACCTGGGCTCTCATAACACCTGAGCAGTGCCACAGACTGATCGACTCCATGCCACGCCGCATTGCTGCAGTAATTCAGGCAAAAGGTGCCCCAACTAAGTATTGAGTGCTGTACATGCTCATACTTTTCATGTTCATACTTTTCAGTTGGCCAACATTTCTAAAAATCCTTTTTTTGTATTGTCTTAAGCAATATTCTAATTTTCTGAGATACTGAATTTGGGATTTTCATTAGTTGTCAGTTTTAATCATCACAATTAAATGAAATAAACATTTGAAATATATCAGTCTGTGTGTAATGAATGAATATAATATCCAAGTTTCACTTTGTGAATGGAATTACTGAAATAAATCAACATTTTGATGATATTCTAATTATATGACCAGCACCTGTATATATATTTATTAGGGCTGGGCTAACCCTAACGCCGACAATTATTTTATCGCACGTTAATGCAGTTTTTATTTTATTATTATTATTTTGAAAGTCCGTTGCTCACTGGCTCTGAATACACATACAGTCAAACCATGGGTGACAGGAGGGGTGGGATGGATCAGCCTGAGAATCACCCACCCAAACAAGCAGTGGAGTGAGGATTCGGCAGACTACGCTGTCATCTTTTTCCACCCGCAATCCGTTATCACGGCAGCAGGTGAGCCGCTTGCTTGTTAATGACGCAGCCTATCAAACACCTCATACAGTCAAAACCAACATCTGTATCCTGTGTTCAATGTTGCTTTACGTTACCTGGTCTGTGCTTGTAAAATATCCACCGCGACTTGTAACGTCATTTCAAGTTTTTAACCGAGTGAAGTCTGTGCGAGTGAACACACGCACCGACCCCGCTACCCCCCCCTCCCATGCCATCGTCCATCCTGTCTGCTCCCTGATAAAAGATACCTGATGCTGATACCTGTTCAGAAAAAAAAACACAATAAAATTGGACTCTGATGGTAACTTGTTTTAACAAGCTAGATAAAAAATAATGCAGGTTTACCAGGTTTAATATTTGATTTGATTATTTTAATGTTTTAGTTGAGATTTACAAGAAATGTTTTACTGCTACTGTGTAAAGGGAATACTGCTGGTAAAAAGCACCTTATTTGTTTAAAGTGTTTGTAAACCACATGTTATTATACTTTTGTGTGTATATAGCAGTACATTTAAATTAAAATTACAATACACAACTTTAGAATTAATTATTAAATTTTATGCATAAATTGCGATTAATCGCAAGAAAATCAAGTGATTAATAGCAATTTAAAATTTTTATCGTTGCCCAGCACTAATATATACACACACACACACACACACACACACACACACATTTTTCTTTTATCAGGGAGCAGCATAAACAGTCTATGTTAAGTAGCAAGTTTCCCTGTTAGAGTGAGGTGAAGTGGTCGCCTCACACACATGCCCACCCCGCTGCAGAAGTTGAATTGTCTTGAACTTTTTGTTCAAAAAGACTCGCTGTTTGTGAGTTTTCAGAATCTATTACTGTTTACTAAATAGTTATCAGGATATCAACAGGAGGGAATTTGCATGGCAGAGCCGTAAAACTAAATGAAGGCCTATCAGGTAGATTTATGTAGCCTACAATTTTAACATAAGTTAAATAGGCTACAGCTGTGTAGTGCACAGAAGCCGTTGCCATGGTTACGCGAGTAACTGCAGTTTACTCATGGAGCTGTTTTTTTGGGTGGCTGATTTGTCAGAACCAGTGAGCAACGGACTTTCAAAATAATAATAATAAAAACTGCATTAACGTGCAATAAAATAATTATCGGCATTAATTATGTGTGTGTGTGTGTGTGTGTGTATTATATATGTACATATAAGTATGTATTTAAATTGTTTATGAACTCTCCATATTGGTGATAAATATATATATCCTATATATTGATAATGATAAATATTTTTCAAATGTGGTATTTCGTTTCACAATAATTGCTTGTGCAATTATACAATGAAAGATCAACTTAGGTACATCAAACACTGGCATGGGCCTTCAGAGTAGATCTATTAGGATCAACACTAAAAGACAAGAATTAACTCATTGTTCTTTATCCTAAGTGCTTAGTACACCATGGTTTCAGTATGTCAGTAACATATTCAGTTATTCCCAGGCTTTAGTGATAAATACTATTTGTGTAGTACAGACACTGGTCACTGTGGGTCTTATTCTCGTCTTATTATGTTACCTCCTTCCATGTCATCAGTCCAGTTCCTGGAGCTGCTGGCAGGAGAGGAAGGTGAGTGGTAATACTCCCCTCCTGGACTGTCAGCCTCTTCCTCCATTGAGCCAGACTTATGACGCTTACTCCTGCAGACACATATATGGACACTCAGACATTTAGGATCATGGTTTAATGGTGAAGTGATGAAAGTAAAGCTTAGGAAAATATATCTTCTTCGGTTGATTTGTCAGGGTCAGTGGCTAAAAGTGCTGAGGGGACTCACAAAAGACAGATTTAAACAAGAATGGTAAAAATTGAAGCAGCACAGGCCAAAATATCCTGACCCTTAGTCCGTGTACAGTAGATGAAATGAACCAAGTGTAATGTAGACAGGTTGTGCATAATGAGAACAGAGAACATGTAAGAACATGATGTAGCACATAAATATATTTACTGTTGTGACTGTGTGTTTAACAGCTTGTAAACAGGTAGTAAAATAAATATATATATCTATAATGGCCAGGAGAGGGCTGGGTGTGCAGTCCTGAGGGGGCCGAAGTTAAGAGTCAGGGTGGAGAATGCTGTCATGCCGAGCTGCAGTAGCTCAACTCTCTGGAGAGTTGTAATGTATGCATCAGTCCATGCTTTAAGTTGGCCATGGAATTCCCTGTCAACGCAGGGCTTCTGATATGGTCTGTACAGCAATCCTCCATATTATCGTTTTGCTGATGTAGCTAATAACCACGCCTGTGTATGTGTCTAAGTTGTTGCCCTGAAACACACACCTTAATGCTGAACAGTGACCTAGTATTAGTCTGATTCATCTGACCACTGCTGAATGGTCTGCCACATTGTTTTGTCCTGTTTGAGTTTCTGATATCTCGGCAGGACTTTCAAGTCTGTGTGGAGCACACATGGCAGCCATGCTGGTGCTATCTTTAGTTTGCCTGGTAAGTGACCACATATTTCAAACTTCAAAATTTCACTTTGTAACACAGACTTGATATACTCACTGGCCACTTTATTAGGTACACCTTGATAGTACAGGGTAGTACATGATAGCATCACACAGTTGCTGCAGATTTATCAGCTTCACATCCATGATGTGAATCTCCCGTTCCACCTCCTTCCAAAGGTGCACTATTGGATTGAGATCTGGTGACTGTGGAGGCCATTGGAGTACAGTGAACTCATTAATGTTCAAGAAACCAGTTTGAGATGATTTGAGCTTTGTGACATGGTGCATTATCCTGCTGGAAGTAGCCATCAGAGGATGGGTACACTGTGGTCATAAAGGGATGGGCATGGTCAGTAACAATACTCAGGTAGGCTGTCGCATTTACGATGTTCAACTGGGCCCAAAGTGTGCCAAGAAAATATTATTATTAAAATATTATTACAACACCACCAGCCTGAACTGTTGATACAAGGCAAGATGGATCCATGCTTTTATGTTGTTTACGCCAAATCCTGACCCTACTATCTGAATGTCGTAGCTGAAATCGAGACTCATCAGACCAGGCAACGTGTTTCCAATTAGAGCTGAAAAAATTCATCAATTAAATCGATAAAATCGACACAAATTCTTTGCATCGATGCTTCGTTTAATCCATTTAACTACAGCACAGTGATCAGAAAGCCAGCGAACCACAGACAAGGTAACAGTAACTTTAGCAATTAACTGAAATCATGATTCATTGTTGAGTTGAAGCCAAAGTAAGCTGCAGTCCTCAGCTGAAAATGTACACGTGCGTTTGTTGTTCTCCTTTTTGGGCCGTGAGTTGTAACCTCACGGTCAGGAGTTAACTGGGTGTTGGGGAGCTGCACCTTTTAACTCACCCCCAGCTCTCTCTGACGCTCAGACGTTTCCTGCTACCTGGGTGTGCTAATCCATCTTTTCACCCAGATTCTTTGTCTTTATAATTGCTATCTTTATAATAACAGACAACAGCTGTTTCGTGTGCAGGATCACTCATTTCCCGTTTCACGTGTGTTTTCTTGACACAACGTGGTTTGGAGACCAGCCAAGCGTCGTGTGACACAGCTGTCAGCTCTTGTAGTGTGTGACCCACTGTCCCCGACTTCAAGACTGCTGTCACATGACTGCAAGTTGTGTAGTGTGAACAGCACGGCCAGCAGCCGACGCTGAAAGTCGAGTAGTCTGCACGAGCCTTTAGTATAACCTGTATAGTACTCGGGGGATGTTTGTGTTTGTAAAGCAGCTGTCTGGTTGCTGGTCTGATGTTTGCCGAATGACACGATGAATTTTCTGAAAGGACTAATAAGTATCTATCACCTATAAACGTGCACAGCTGATCCCGTTACCAGCCGGCAAGCAAAATTACTTCTTAAACGACGCATCGATGAATCATTGAAATAATTTATCGAAGCTTCGAATACTAAAATCATCGTTAGCTGCAGCCCTATTCCCAATCTTCTATTGTCCAGTTTTGGTGAGCCTGTGCAAATTGTAGCCTCAGTTTCCTGTTCTTAGCTGACAGGAGTGGCAGCTGGTGCGGTCTTCTGCTGCTATAGCCCATCTGCTTCAAGGTTCGACCTGTTGTGCGTTCAGAGATGGTATTCCGCGTATCTTAGTTGTAACGAGTGGTTATTTGAGTTACTGTTGCCTTTCTGTCATCTGGAGCCAGTCTGCCCATTCTCCTCTGATCTCTGACATCAACAAGGCGTCACACAACTGCCACTCACTGGATATTTTCTCTTTTTTGGACCATTCTCTGCATCTTCTCAAGATTAGAGCGGAGTTACCGTGTCACCCCCTCCCCCACACTTAAATCCCCTTTCTTCCCCATTCTGATGCTTGGTTTAAACTTCAGCAAGTTTTCTTGACCGCGTCTGCATGTCTAAATCCATAGTTGCTGCCATGTGATTGGCTGATTAGCTATTTGTGTTAACAAGTAATTGAATAGGTGTACCTAATAAAGTGGCTGGTGAGTGAATATTTGTAGTCTCCAAACCAAAGATGTGACTATTCGTGATGATATCATCAGGGTTGATTTTCTCAGACTTGACAAAGTTCCTCCAGTTTGTATTACTCCTGAACTATATTAACTGAAGAAGCCAGAAGAGTAACTATAAAATTAAGCCGTAGCATCTCTCTAGATCTTGTAATGGGTGACTCTGTGTCATTAACAATCCTTCCATTGTGAATACTTTTCTGGTGTGAAAAGTACAATTAGCACATGGACAAAATCCTTGTGAGTTTGTTCCAAAGTGAGTTAGTCATGGTAGTCATAGTTATATAATAAAGATTTCACACAGACTATTAGTTTGAGACTAGTTTTGCCATTCACCACCATCATACCCTTGCTTTACATAATATGAACATCACACTACTCAGTGTACTGACTATTCTAAAACGAATTATGAACCCCACTCACTATTGCAGGATAGAATGAGTAACATGGTGTACATTTACCATCCTGTTAGATGACCATCACTACCACATGCATACACACAGTAAAAATATGCATTTTTATATATATATTCCACTATATTATGCACAAAAAGAACAGTTAAGCTTTTGAATGCAAGCCACAAAATAGCACATGACTAACTGCATCAAAGCACAATTCTTGACACCACAAAAGCACTGTGATCATTCATGATACAACCTCTGTTGCAGCTGTCCTTCCATTCCACCAGCAGTTCAAGTTTAATAACGAAAAACCCATCTGTGCAGCTAAAGACAATGATCCTTTTCTGCTGTCAAGTTCTGCATAGAACAATAGAATAGAGAAACTAAAACTCTGACTACCTCCTTCGTAGTTCCGATTCTAATCCAAACACTGTCTGAGGCAATTTATACACACATTTTTTATATTTGTTGAAATTCTCCTTACATCACAACAGCAATAAAATCAAATGCTGCTACAACAATACAAAGTCTACTGCTTATCTACCTCCCTGTTCTCCTCCCCTGTTTACTCTGAGCTGCATACAGGTGAATCCATTAGCCTACAATATAATTTTGTATATTTCTTACTTTCCCCCTGTTGGTCTGAATAACTTACTCGATTTGTCGCTTGTCACTTTTTACAAGTAAAGTCTCTGAGGGTCTGAAAAAGGTAGGCAGCGGACCAGACCACTGACCACAGTTGAGAAGAGAGGACATCAAAACTTAAAAATGCACTGGACTCATAGTACAGAACAAGAGCTGTTGACATTGACTAGACACTGACGGACAACAGAGGTTCTATTTTATTTTACAATGGTTGCTAGGGACTCGTTAGTAGTCGCTGGATATTGGAAGGGACATGTCCCTACCATCCCTGCTAAATTCTACACTCTTGCCTGCATATCTTAGTGGGATAAAACCGGAGCCACTGGAAGAAACTCACACAGATAAATGTTAAAATACATTTTTTGAAGCTAGTAGCTCACACTCAGGTTTTCACTACAATCAAGCCACCACCTTTTTAGGATGTTACCTACACAGGTGTGGCCATCAAAATAAATTATCTAAAGGCCACACGGTAGCATCATCCTCAGTTCTTAACCAAGCAGAAATCTCCGGGTTTGAAAAGTCAAGCCAATGCGGAAGTGCCTTAAACCTGCATTCTTCCCAGCAGCGGCGACTCCACAGGTCGCAAAAAGAAGACCGATTGGACAGAAGTGTATGAGAAAATGTTTCTACTTCTCAGCTGATTTATTACCTCAGTAAACACTTTCCTAATGAGTTTATGGTCTCGGTTGCTAGTTTCAAGTCTTCTTCAACACAATATGATGTTCATTTAGTAAATGATGGTCCCATTTAGAGGAAAACAGACCAGGAAGCAGGGGAGGCTTTAGGGCATAGCTATTCTGTGTCTGGTTCCAAAAAAACAAGATGGCGACAGTCAAAATGCCAAATTCGAGGCTTCAAAACGGCATTCTATTGTTCTTATCCATTCCTTAGTGACCGGCACACAATGGATTTGAGATTTGGAAGAATAAGATTAATTAACAAAGCAGGTTGTGCACTTGCTGATTTTCTGATGCCAAAGGGTAATACAGATGTCAGTGCAGATGTATATCATTTTGCAATGTGTGTGTGTGATTACCCGCTGGATGAGGTGCTGGCCAGTGATCGTCTGAGGCTGACTGGCTGGTTGACAGACTGGTTGAGGTCGTAGGCCAGATGACCCTGGAGTTCCCCCATAGAGAAACTAGGTCCTACTCCAGTAACTACTGGAGCTACACACATAGGGAGAGCTTGTGTTTGTATCTTTCAGTTTCAATTTCAATTTATTGATGGATAGCCCCCTGAGATGCAGCCAGTGGCGTTTTCTCCCACAAGCCAAGGGAAGCCAGGCTTCCCCTGTTTTTATCAGACTCTATTTATCATTTCAATAAAAACACAATGTTTATAGTTTCAATAAATCTTATAAGCTGTTGCAGTCATCTCTTCCCCATTTCTCACTATCTTACAAGAAGTGAAACAGCGCCCCTCTAAATGCTATGCGTTGGATGTGTGGTGAAACACTATACTGCACCACCGTAGACTGGCCTTCAGTCTGACTACGCGAGGAGGCTAGGCAGAGTTAGCATCCCTTTGTGAAAAAAAATGTAATGATTAACCAATCAGATGAGGCCACTGCCTAACTGTGATTTGTCAGGATGATGCTAAAGGGAAGCCAGCCGCGGTCTGGCTTCACACCAATCAAATCACAGCATGCGATCAACGTCATTCAGATGAAATAACAGGAGCTGTTAGCAACTTTAGCTGGTGCAGTTATGGAGGGTGCAGATTTGAAGTTTTTAGTTAATAAATAGTTTTACTAAACTACCACTACAGCAGCAACTTAAGATTAAATCTGACGGAAGACCAACACCCAAACTGGAGCTGGCCTGGAGAGGAAAAAGGGGTTTTGGACGTTCAATGAGGAAAGCTATATCTGTACAGTGTGGATAGCTTGTAGCGCCAAACTTCAAATGACTCTGTTGTTGCGGAGGACGAAAAGCCAGTGGGAAATTCTATAACTTGGTTATTGACCACTTTGCCTCCATGAAAGACAGGAGAATGGCCTTCCTTTTCAAATAGTGAGTGAAATGTCACCTCCTTCTCTCTCTGATCTTAACTGAACTGCAGCTATTTGTGTAATTTTTAATGTGGTTATATTGTTTGTTTTGCTTTGCTTGCCTGGATTTAGCTGTGAATGAATAGTCAGTTGAAGTAACCTTATTGTTTTTTCTGCGGTTGTGTACGCATAGATAATGAGCACCACAGACGGCACCTGCCACAGGGCACTGGGCCAGGCTACCTGAATAATTGTCTATACTCTGTTGGTCGGGTACTCGGTTGTTGTCCAGTGATGTTGTGTTATGAACATTTGGCCAAGCATTAAGAAGTGTGTTTGAGCTTGTGTGATTGAGCTTGTGAATGCTTCTTTTATTCCTAACCCATAAGCAGCGGGCTATGTATGCTATTTGGGGTGAGAGAGAGAGACTGAGTGAGTGAGAGAAAGAAAGCGTACATCCCGGTAGATGCAACTTTCAGCGTCTGTATTGATAACAGATAGTGTGCATCTTTAAAGTTTGATTCAATTTTGTGTAAAATTATACCCTGCATTGTAATAGCACAATGCATTAGATAATTGCCCTGCAAAAAGGATATCACCTCTCACTTAGCTTCCCCAAAAATTTACCCCACCCCACCCCACTGGATGCAGCATCTCATTTTCAAGAGGGTCCAAAGACACACATACATAATACAACAGGAAAAAAACTCACCCCAGACCGAAGACACAATAAGTACATCTCATTTACCTAATTACACAATTGGTACCCATAATACATTAGAGATTCAATACAAAAAGGTATCACATAAGAAGGATAGAGGTCCAGTCCACAGGAGGTAAATCAATTAGACGATTACATGAAGCAAAATACAATTACAAGCAATACTGTTTAGTACAGTATCAGTAACATGCACACACATTGTTAACTAAAATCACATGTTGTAACTAAAATCAAACTTTAAAAAACCTTTATTATTTTTGTAGGTTTACTCTAAAACATTTCCCATATATGATGGATATAGTGTGTATTGTCAATGCACAATATTCTCACAACCACAACATTGCAAGACATTCTCACATGGCCAACTCTGCAATCATACAACTGTCTTGAGTTGTCCGATGACATGACATGCTCAATTTAACATAAGAGTGGTGTTACAATGAATGGTGTCAGAAAAGTTGGGAAGGCTGCAAATGTTAAAGTAGACTTACTCCTTGAGACCTGGACCAGCTCAGTGACACTGAAAACTCCCGATGTCACAAAACTCTCCTGGAACTCTGGACCATCTGTAGAAATACAGCAGCAATTTGTGTGTGAGTCTAGAAAAGTAGCAGTTAGTAGTTTCTTTTGATGGCTTGATTTTATGTTTTGTTGCCCCCTTTTTATTCTGTTATTTCAGTGTGTGTCGTTTTGTTTTTCAGTCTGTAGCATTATTATAATTTAGCACACCACGAACGATATGGGCTGTGTTACTACATTTATTTATATTTTGAAAACCTTTTATCATAATACAACAGCAGTGGTCCTAAAAGAAGAAGGAGAACAAACTGTCAGGTTTAAGGTAGATACAGATATGTGGTACAGCCAAAACATTTTCCTACATGCAGATGATCTGTTATTTTAACTAATCACAATGCTTTGCTAATATTTTGAATATCCTTAATGACTTGGTTCTCATCTATTACAGCAGTTCCCAACTTTTTAGGCAACGCACACCCTTCTACATCTTGACCGGGTTGCTGTACCCCCTTTCTCTCTGGGTTTGCATATATATATATGGCAGTAAAAAAATTTTTCTCATACTGTGATGGTTAAACTTTGCAATCAATCCACAGTTCACCTGCCTGCCGAACCATGCGGAGGGAGGTGGAGGTTTTTATTTCTAAAAAATTCCACAAAAAATAATTGTTGAAGTTATTGCACTACTACATCACCATTACATTTTTCCTGTCGCACACCCCCTAGAGGCAACTCATGCACGCACCACACTTTGGGAATCGCTGATCTATTATATGAAACAGAGCTGTTGGCCTATTTAAGTAATTACTGGTATTACTAAAGACCTTAACTCAATCTTTGATGGTTTATTATTATTCAATTTTTAGTATTTTTTTTTTAACACACACAACACACTTACTGTTTTATTATTTATTTTATTTTAATATATTAAAATTTTTCTAACACACACACACACACACACACACGCTTTAATTACTTGTTTAATGAAATGTATGGGGTTGATTGTTCTTATGTAGTTTGTATGATGCTTTGGCAATATTGTTGTTATACATTCATGCCAATAAAGCTAATTTGAATTGAAATTGATGGGAATGATATGCTGTATATCAACAAGAATCATTTGTTCTGTAATTTTAACTGTATTAAAAGTAAGCGTTTTGCCATCTTGAAGATGTTTCAGTATAGAATCAATTATCAATGCCCTGTAATTCCTTCAATGCTGCAGGAGATGTTGTTAGTCTGGACAATGACACAAATATAACTGAAGACTGGATGACATTAGAGAAAAATCATCCATAATGCTTTATTTTCTGTAATTCTCTAATATAGTAGCAAGTTGTTTAAGGTAAGTAAGTTTAAGGAAAGAGACAATTAAATTAACATTAAAAGAAGAAAAAAGAAAATTAGCTTATGAACAGGTAAAATGTTAAAGAGTATGCATGTTACATGTACAAGATCCTACATTACCCATTGTGGCGGTTCGACTGTCCTCCTGATCTGAGCCCACTCCCGTACGACTGGGACTGCTGCTCTGCTCTGCCTCTGAGAGAGAGAGAGAGAGAGATTGATTGATGTTTAATGAAATGTATGGGGTTGATTGTTCTTATGTAGTTTGTATGATTCTTTGGCAATATTGTTGTTATACATTCATGCCAATAAAGCTAATTTGAATTGAATTGAAAGAGAGTATTCCGGATTTCAGCTGATAGATGTAAACCCTTTAAAACTTTATTTATCAATAAATCAATTTTAATGAGTCAGCAGATTAACAGTCAGAGACAGAGAACATTCCTGATCTCAGATGAAAAAGCCAAGCAAAGGTGAAGAACACTTCACAGCAGAAGTACAGGATTGATGAAGAATATAATTGTATGATTTTTAAATAATTTATTTGCATTTTATTGTATCTGATACATCAGAAAAGATAAGATCATACGTTTCCTGTAGTTCTTGACCAGGTTTGCACACACTGCAGCAGGGATTTTGGCCCACTCCTCCTTACAGACCTTCTCCAGATCCTTCAGGTTTCGGGGCTGTCGCTGGGCAATACGGACTTTCAGCTCCCTCCAAAGATTTTCTATTAGGTTCATGTCTGGAGACTGGTAAGGCCACTCCAGGACCTTGAGATGCTTCTTACGGAGCCAGTTTCCCTGGCTGTGTGTTTCGGGTCGTTGTCATGCTGGAAGACCCAGCCACGACCCATCTTCAATGCTCTTACTGAGGGAAGGAGGTTGTTGGCCAAGATCTCGTGATACATGGCCCCATCCATCCTCCCCTCAATACGGTGCAGTCGTCCTGTCCCCTTTGCAGAAAAGCATCCCCAAAGAATGACGTTTCCACCTCCATGCTTCACGGTTGGGATGGTGTTCTTGGGGTTGTACTCATCCTTCTTCTTGAAGTTTAGACCATAAAGCTCTATTTTTGTCTCATCAGACCACATGACCTTCTCCCATTCCTCCTCTGGATAATCCAGATGGTCACTGGCAAACTTCAGACGGGCCTGGACATGCGCTGGCTTGAGCAGGGGGACCTTGCATGCGCTGCAGGATTTGAATCCATGACGGCGTAGTGTGTTACTAATGGTTTTCTTTGAGACTGTGGTCCCAGCTCTCTTCAGGTCATTGACCAGGTCCTGCCGTGTAGTTCTGGGCTGATCCCGCACCTTCCTCATGATCACTGATGTCCCACGAGGTGAGAACTTGCATGGAGCCCCAGACCGAGGGAGATTGACCGTCATCTTGAACTTCTTCCATTTTCTAATAATTGCGCCAACAGTTGTTGCCTTCTCACCAAGCTGCTTGCCTATTGTCCTGTAGGCCATCCCAGCCTTGTGCAGGTCTACAATTTTATCCCTGATGTCCTTACACAGCTCTCTGGTCTTGGCCATTGTGGAGAGGTTGGAGTCTGTTTGATTGAGTGTGTGGACAGGTGTCTTTTATACAGGTAACAAGTTCAAACAGGTGCAGTTAATACAGGTAATGAGTGGAGAACAGGAGGGCTTCTTAAAGGAGAACTAACAGGTCTGTGAGAGCCGGAATTCTTACTGGTTGGTAGGTGAAATACTTATGTCATGCAATAAAATGCAAATGAATTATTTAAAAATCATACGATGTGATTTTCTGGATTTTTGTTTTAGATTCCGTCTCTCACAGTTGAAGTGTACCTATGATAAAAGACATACAGACCTCTACATGCTTTGTAAGTAGGAAAACCTGCAAAATCAGCAGTGTATCAAATACTTGTTCTCCCCACTGTATCTACCATCTTCTACGTCATGCTTGTTGTCATGGTCGCCTCCTGCGTGTTCCACATCAAATTTCTCAATCAGGCAATGAAAATGTTTGATGCCACAGAGGTGGTCCCTATCAACTTTGTTGTGCTATTGTTGCAGGGATAGTATTTTACCAGGAATTTGAAGCCTGGCTTTACTGAACATTTTTGCGTTTACCACTACCACTACACCTGATTTAAAAAAAATCAATACACATCCATTTTTGGGATGGCTAATACTTAGCGATTGGATTTTATCTAGTTTGTTAGTCAAAATCATAGAATGGATTTAAAAATCAATCAGCTGAGAGATGTGTGCGAGTGGCGAGTTAGCTACCTTAGAAAAGCTCTCGTAGCTTTTTTAGTAGAATAAATAAACAAAATATCAAAACAAAATGTCACATAAAATAAATAGTTTTACACTTGTTTTCTTTATCAAACTTTCATCGAACTAAAAGCCTTAAATTGTTAAATTATAAGTTGGTAAATTATTGTAAAACATACTTCATTCAAACTTGACAGAAACTAATCAAAACTCCCCAAAACCATCTTGGTTAGTCTTTCCACTGTTATTACCCGATATGTGATATGCTGCTCCCAATTTATTTTCATTATAATATGAATTCGAGCTGAAAAGCAGGATGAAGTTAAAGCTAAATCTACAGGAGAAAACTTTACTAAAAGCTATAAATAATGCCTGAGAGCCTCACTGCATTATATCCTATTATATTTTTACATTTTAAATTGTCACCTCACACCAGTTTGTGTTTCCTTTTATATAAATAAAAACATTTCCACCATAAAATAGTGCAGAAAAGGAAGAAACCCAGAGGAAATTAAGTCTTTAATGCTCAAAATCTTCTGGGGGTGGACCCACAGACCCCCCACTTAGTGCCCCATACAAGAAAATAGTCTCTGGGTTCACACACAGTTTCTGGGAGGACTTTCACTTTTTCATTAAATATAATTACTTATTCATATGGATTTTTTGTTCCCTGGGAAAATAATAAATGTGTAGTTTGCCATTCAATTATTGTTTTTTTTAATAATAACAACAACTATTAACAACTATTAAGGGCAAACAGCCAACATCTTTTTTGATGGTGGGCGGTAAGGGACCTGGATAAAGACCCAAAAATCATCATAAAGTGCTTCTACGGCAGAGATAGATAGCAACTGGCCAATCAGTAGCAGCAGCCAACTAACAGCTGTAGCAACAGTCGCAGTTTTGGGATTATAAAGACAAAGCTGGTTAATTAATCAAAGTAATCAAACACTGGTGTTTTGATTAATGGATCTGTCCTACTAATAAAATTTTTTACACATTTTATGCCAGAAGAGGGCAGGGCACTGAAATACATTTTTCATGGCACACATTTTGACATGTCACAGAGGTTTAAATAATAACATTAATGGCTACTTTGTATTAAGGTGGGCTGGGTTATGAGCAGGCTGGCACACTGTGTCTTACTTGGATGAAACAGATGCCGTGTTACTCTGCTACAACTTTGAACCTTGGCAAAATATAGTGTAGGAAACAGTTTGTACAGATGATCATTGGGGATATGCAAACTGTACAAGAAATTAACCACATAACCAAGCTACGCAGCTGCAGCTGTCAAATACAGGAAGGACAACGGGCAAAAAATTGTGGGTGTATGTAGATAGAAATGGCTCATTCAAAAGGTAATAAAAACATAACGGTTCATTATGTAAGTTTTTATACACCACGGAAAACATAATTATGGATATTATATTGCATTTCTGTCAACACATCCTCGAAATATTACTAACTTAATGAACACTTCATCAACTTATTTCTTGCACTACCATATGGCATATACTGAGCACATTCATGCTCCCCAGACAAGCGGGAACCTCAGGGTCTCAGTGCTGTAAACTGCCATTATTTATAATGGCCAGCAGGGGGCGAGTCAGTTAACACATTTACCTCTGTAAACACTTTCCTAATGAGTTTATGGTCTCAGTTGATAGTTTCAAGTCTTCTTCAGCACAGCATGATGTTCATTTAGTAAATGATGGTCCCATTTAGAGGAAAATAAACCACAAAGCAGGGGATGCTTTAGTGTGGGGCTACCTTGCTCTGAACACACTGGCCAGCGCAGCACTCAAAGCTTACCGCTTATCAGAGCTTTCAACCACTTCCAACGGTCTTCTTCAAACTGGCAAGCAGGTGTCATCACGAGTCCTCAGGTCAAGAACAAACTTTGATATACTAGCGAGCAAAGAGAAATCTAAAACTGTCACTATTAGTCACCTGTGTTCATGTGAGGACTGACTAAGCATAAAGACCAGCGTACATGAAACCACCACACAGACCAGTATCACAGTTTGAACTCTAACCACCATTAACAACATCAAAGATCAGTGGCGAGGACTCCCTGATAGAAAGAGTGTCCAACAGATACAATTAGTTGATAATGGTTCCCAGTTCTGGGGGTTTGCAGTACAGTGTTAGAATTAAAATATTAACTGTATTTGTTTAAAGATAAATTCATAAGGGTAGTTGTAACCAGAGTTAAGTTTAATTGTATAAAGATAACCAGCCAACTGCGTGGTGAAATTATATTTTAAATGAGACCAAGGTAGATGCTGTAATCATATACTGTATATGTATAATCAGTTTAGTTTAGTGGTGATGGTAATGATGATATAATATACACTATGTTAGGTAGACCTGGTCAATTGCTTGTTAACACAAATGGCTAATCAGCCAATCACATGGCAGCAACTCAATGCATTTAGGCATGTAGATGTGGTCAAGACAACTTGCTGAAGTTTAAACCGAGCATCAGAATGGGGAAGAAAGGGGATTTAAGTGACTTTGAACGTGGCATGGTTGTTGGTGCCAGACGGGCTGGTCTGAGTATTTCACAAACTGCTGATCTACTGGGATTTTCACACATAACCATCTCTAGGGTTTACAGAGAATGGTCCGAAAAAGAGAAAATATCCAGTGAGTGGCAGTTGTGTGACGCCTTGTTGATGTCAGAGGTCAGAGGAGAATGGGCAGACTGGCTCCAGATGACAGAAAGGCAACAGTAACTCAAATAACCACTCATTACAACTAAGATACGCGGAATACCATCTCTGAACGCACAACAGGTCGAACCTTGAAGCAGATGGGCTATAGCAGCAGAAGACCGCACCAGCTACCACTCCTGTCAGCTAAGAACAGGAAACTGAGGCTACAATTTGCACAGGCTCACCAAAACTGGACAATAGAAGATTGGAAATATACGTTGGCCTCG